AAGATTTATGTCAATTGGATATTGAATAGCATTATTTTCTACGTTACAGATACATTCAGGAAAATATTCGTCAGAATTTTTGAATTTCAAAGGTGGAATAACAACAGAACCATTATCCAAATTTCGGATAATTAATGATTTTTTCGGGTAACTATACTGAACTGGATTGTTTTCTCGAATTGGCTTAAAAGAGGTGTTATAAGTAATTTTACATTTATCAGTAATAATCTGATGTTTAGTCAAATCAATAGAGCAATTAAGCTTTTGTAAATCATAGAATCCTAATAAGCAGTCATAACGTGAATGCCAAGGAAGAATTAAAAATTCAATTTCAGTTTTATTCTTCCATTCAGAAAATATGGGAATTTTACAGGCATATTGACCTCTAAAATTGGACGTACATGAATTAATTTCAAAAGGATGATCATAAATACGATCTGGAAAATATTTAAAAGCAATTTCTGGATTGATCAGGGAGGATGATGCACCAGTATCGATTAAGATGATAAGATTAAACTGAGAACAAAAAATATACGGAAGGTGGGTTTTTTGATAATTATTTATATCTAAGTCAAATTTTGAGACTGGCTCGTCGAAGGAAAATTTTCTTCGTCATTGTTTTCAAAATAAGATTCATCGGGGATATACGTATAGTCTGAATCGAAATCTTGGGTATATTCCTCAGATTCATATTGTGGCGTTCCTGCAAAAGTTTGTTCTTCCTCATTTTCAAGATGAGTAATTTCTTCGACATAATAATGGTTTGGTTTGGGACCTACTTGAAAGGCATTAACTCTAGTGGGCATTTCTTGACGATATGGGTTTTGTTGGGGTTTCGGTGTGCGTGCTGTAGATACAGACATAGGTATAGGATTACTTTTTTGTTGGCCTGGAATGGGTTTTTTGGAAAAAACATTCTGTGGTGGTCTGAAAGCTTGAATGTTTGTAGGGTAATGAGGTTTAAAATTTTGTTTAGGTGGTGGTAGTTGCGTGGGACCTGTAGGGAAGGTTTGTTGTGGCTCTAGCCAAGTTTGACTATTTTGGGCTCTAAACTGATTGGGCTTTTGAGAAAAATTAAAATTAGACCTTTGGAAATTTTGATTTGAAGCTTGTACTTTATTCTGAGACTGTGGCTGTTGTCGTTTATATAGGCTCGTTCTTAAGAAATTTTTGTAATCAACTTGCATTTGCAAATTATCATAATCACGACAATATTGAACACAAGAATCAATTGTAGTAGGATTTTGCTGTCTTACATAAGACCTATATGGTTCATTCAAACCAGAGATAAAGGAGCTCAAAGACTGTCTATCATAGTCTCTCAATTTAAAAGCGATATGATCGGGATTATCATGGTATTCTAAATTTGCAAATTCTTTCAGGCTCTGTACCTTAAATTTAATTTCTTGATAAAAGTCTTCATATTTTTGGTTAGGTTTCTGAACTGACGTATATAAGGCGGTGAGAAGAGTTTCTTCATTTCTAGGATCTTTATATTTGGATAATAATAATGATTTTAAATCTGGCCAGGTTCTCGGACTAGTTAGATGCACTAAATCTCTTACTTCGCTTTTCAGCTGAGAAATAACGTATTGGAAAGCATACGAAACAAAAGGTGTATTAACAAATTCTGCAATAAACTTTTCTGAATTATCCAAAAAATAAATTAGATCTCTGTGACCTCCATGATATTCTGGTACCATATACTTAGCTACATTGAATTTAATTTGTAAATCTTGAAGAGACATGGTTGACTGATTAAAATTAAGACGTGAGGGTGTCAAAATAACTTGTCTAACAGGTGTATTTTCGACTACAGATTCAAATTCAGAATCGGACATTAAATATGTGCAATTAAAGTCACTAAATAAGTTTACTTATAGATAACTTTTACGAGTATATATAAATGTAAAGCAATAGAGGGCGAAAAAGTTTTCGAGAAATAAATGGAAAAATCACTGAGTATAGCAAAAATTGTAAATGTTGTTTCTTACGCTACACTGGGCACTAGCAGCTTCATTTGGAGAGATCTGAGATACCTCCTTGGGCCAATACAGCTCCTCCTGGTTGACAGCTTGCCTGCCGTGGATCCAGCACCTCGCTCCTGTCAGTTCCTGTCGTTTTCTCAAGTGTCGTTGCCTGCTCCCAAAATACTTAGCAAGTATTTCGGCCTGGTACTTCGATGGTGATGTGCCTGCTCGGTGTAGCCTTCGAAGTTCTTTGTGATCGACGTCAAAACGATTGAAATCGTACCCGAACACACCGGACGATTTTTTGCACTTTTTCGGTCTCGATTGAGCGATACTCGTGAATCAATACCGCCGATTATCGATTCGGTACGCCGATATCCTGTTCGCAGCGCCAATTAAGAATGTGCAAACAACGAACGACTTTTTAAAAAAGCGACTTTATTTAACAGAAGACGAATGAGTACTGGTCACCTTGGTTTACATGCATCTCTTACTTATAACCTACCCTAGAACAAAGGAATTGAAAAGTGCAAACCTAAGCAACTCTACATATTAGATCATCATCATAGCAGTGCCGTAATTTACATAATTCATGGGATGGATTCTCCAAAGAGTTGGTGTGTCGGTGCAGATTTTGCTGGCAATAAGGATGTCACATATTAACAGAGGCTTACAATTATAGGCACAATAGTAGCTGCTGCGCACTGTTACCTCTGTTTTTTACTATATGTCTATATAACCTGAATCAAATAGATACTGTGAGATCAAACATTTTTTATTCAATACAAAATAACAGAATTATTCTAATTTGAATCCGCGTCTTGCTTTTCTTTCAGCAAAAACTTCCATCGCAGAATCCAAATTGAACGTATTAGCTACTGATCTTTCCATATAGAGGTTGGAGAACTTATTGAGTGTGTCTGTAGCCAAAGAAGCTCGACGGTATTCTTTACTAATCTTCAAAGAGCTCATGATACGTTCAGCACTAGCTGAACCGATAGGCAAGTCAAAAACAATCTGAATAAACTGCAGCTCTCTGGAAAACTGTCTACAAAATTGTTTGCAATCATGAACTTCAAATAATCTAGCGGGCCGATAGGCAATAAAGTCAAAAACAACATTATATGCCAGGTAATAATATATCACTGTAAGCACAAAATGGAAAAATAACCCCTCCGCTCCTTGAGAAATAAAAGGGTCATTTTTTTAGAAATGAGATAATCATTTTCCAAAAAATTTCAAAATTTAAAGCCGCCACTGTGACGGACGGATTCAAAGAGATGGTGAGTATTAATATTAATCGATTTGCAGGAAGACAAAAAAGAATTAATTTTGTTATTTAACAATAAATTGTTCATGTTTAAATTAGATTTAATATTTTAATCACTTTTAGGCTGTACCCTAAGGGTACAAGGGTAGGGTTGTCATCTGCCATCCGGCCGCCAGTCAAGTTTTTAATTTTTATGTCAGAGGCACTGATGTCATTCAATCGAAAGTGTTGGCAGGAACGAAAAAACTCTGAATAAGATTTTTGGGTTTATGAGACCTACAGAATGAGACCACACGTAAAAATATCCCACTAATAGTAAAAAAATTATGGCCGAAGACCGAGGCAAAATGCAGGTTTGTGGCACTTGTTGCTCTTGGGACGATAATTGCACGCAGCTACTTGAAATTCTTCAAATCCGAAGCCTTCTTACTTCTAAATCACCGCAACAAAACTGGAGTCGATTCGTCAAGTAGTTTTTGAGAATTTCTAATTGTTTATCCCCCTTCCGGCCATCACTACTACTTTGAGTAATATGAAAAATTTTGTAGGAGTTTAAAATTGATGGTTTAGGGTTGAAGGGGGTGGAGGTTTCAGTCGGGTGTCAATATGTGCGATGTGGTGCCCGGGATGGACAAGCGTCGTCGTCGATAGTCGCGTACGTTGCAGCCGGCAATCGCTTCCGCACTACTGTGGTGTAGTGGACTGGTCATCCCAAAATTTTCAAACCAGTAGCTAATTCACATGGTCCAAGTTTAGGATGTTTCAAAATTGAGATAAAAACTTTAATCCTGACTGTGGGCCCAGAAGCACTTTTTTCCAGCCTTGCGAATAGATATCGAAGTGACTCGGAAATTCATGAAGATAAACATTGTGGCAATTTATGTCTTTTTTAAAGGTGCTAGCCTCAAACATTCTTAAACCGGTTTTTAAAGTTTTAATAGCCATTTATCAAAGTATCAAGAGATATACATAAATGTTTATTTTTTGAATCGTATCGCACATGAACGCCCATTAGGGGGCTGACTTGAGAAGTAAAATATACCTAATGGGGTACTCGTTTCTGAAGCAGAGTGACGTTTTTTTTTTTAAAAACGTCCTTTACCTTGGTAGATCTGAATTGTGCGTGCGTTTTTGTATACTGAATCGCTTATCATCAAAAGCGTTATGATTATAAGTCTTATTTTGGAATGGTATATTTGAATGTAAAATATAAAATATAGAACATTAATTTAAAATTTTTAAATCGGATGTTCCATCCATGTTTATCACATATCGTTTTGATGAATGTTTGCAGAGTTTTAAGCGACTCAATGTAAAAAACGCTCTAATTTGTCAGCCATTTTGAAAGTTACGTGATTTCAGATTCCAGGGAGCTTGAAAATGAGGTATTACATGGCACCCCATTCTCTTTTAAAAAAATGTTCAATTTCTTGAAAGCTCCATTTGTGCTGCACTAAAATGCATCAATTCCACTGCCCCAAATCAGCTTGCTTTGCACTGTAAAAAATAAGTCCTGTCAGCCCCTTGCAGATTGCGGACCGCAAAAATAGACTTCGTATCGACTGCATGTTTTTAGAAAAAAACTTTCCTAAAATAATGTAATTTCTGTTTTTGTTTTTAGATAAAGTAAAAAAGACGATGAATTTCGGATGTCTCAGACATAAAAACAATAAAGCATGCACTTGAGAGGTTGAATAAAAAATGATTATTTAATCACGACAGGTTTAGTATAAGAGACTTTAATAAAACGACCACTAAAATATGGTTGATCAGTTTATTTGCAACGTATACGCATATTAAATTTAACAATAATCAAATGATTTAATATGTAAGTGGATACACTATTACATCACAATCAATTCTGCCTTTGTTGCACTCCTCCCACAGAACTTGTCTACAAAGGTATATTCGAATCATCGTGCTCCATTTGGATGCCGATATAAGTATACCAAATTTAGACTACCTTTCAACGCACAGTTCGATTCAGTCTGAAAGTGAGGACTTCTCTAATGAAGTTCTGAAAGTCCTTTGGTTGTTTCTCTGATCCATCGCGTTTTTCCTGCCCATTATTCGTCAAGACTTCATTCATAGTTTATTCTTTGTAAAACGCTTCCGTTTCAGCCGAAATAACGGTGACATATTTAAAGATTATGTATTTTGTGAACAAAATATGTAAAGCTATGATCTTTCAACTTCAAGTTTGTAAAAAAGATCTGACTTATTTATAAGCTATGATCTTCGAACTTCAACTTTGTAAAAAAATTATTATTTAACACTGGTTAAACAAGATGTTTGCGTCCGCCCGACCAAGAAAAGAAGACAGCCAACCATGGACAGGTGTTTCGTGCTTAGGTACTCACCAGCATGGGATAGGCTTGGTCTCTTATCTCTGGACGAACAAACGAAAACATCACAATGATCCTCTATACCGGAGGTACGGTTTATCAGTATGAGATAGCGCGAAGCGCCATCTATCGCACCAGAATCGAATCATTGTGGATCGCGCACCGCTGCTATTAGTCGGAACTGTCATGGATCTCAGTTCCCGTTTAATGCCGCTAGATGGCTGATGATTCTGGATGTGGTCTACTTGCCATTGAACGGAAGCACGCCATGAATGGCTGTCTTCTTTTCTTGGTCGGACGGACGAAAGCATCTTGGTTAACCTGTTCAATGGCAAGTAGACCACTTCTACATTCAGCCAGAATCATCAGCCATCTAGCGGCACGGCTATTAAACGGGAACTGAGATCCATGACAGTTCCGACTAATAGCAGCGGTGCGCGATCTATAATGGTTCGCTTCTTGTGCGATAGATGGCGCTTCACTATCTCATACTTATTTTTATCCTGAAAAGTCCCATATGTAGACTGAAGTTATGCACAATCTTTCATGATTGTAAAATACATATTTGCATAGTTTTGTGGAAAAGTATTACTGCAAAGAATCATATTGGTTGGATTGGCTGATATCTTGACAGGTTTTTTGTTTGGTTACTATTGAGAGAAAATGCAAATGTTTTAATCCTCAATCGAAATGTTCGCTAAAGGCATACTGAGACCTAACTCATTCATATAAATATTTAGCATACATCTTGCATCCTTTGTAAATATTCTCTGTAATATATTTATATGTATACAGCATATCATTCTTAAAACTTTAATTTATCACATTTATTAAAAATATATAACTTAAAAATATATGTATAAAGCAATTGAAATGCAACATACAATCTAATGCAGGAAAAGATTGATAATATATTTTAGGATCTGCTTTTAGACCTTCAGTTTTGTACTATTTAATCGAATGTATTTTTTGAAACTAATTAGGATGTGGCATCTCTTCTTTTGTCGATATATTTCTAAACAAAATGCTCATTGCAGGGTGTTTTTCATAGTTTGATAGAAGTGGAATATTATTATACTTGAAAATAATCACAAAAATCTTCGAAGAATTGAACATTTTCGAGACAATTTCATTATTTAATTTAAAACGACGTCCACTTCGCAAATCTCAGGAGAAACACCCTGTACAGATTTGGCACATTCACTAAAATATGCAATTCTTAACACACAAATTACATGTGACGTCATACACTGAACATAAAATACAAATGTTATACAGTAAAACATATGATACACGTGCATAGAAATAGAGAGAGAGAGAGAGAGAGAAGATATGTACGTGTAAAATGGCACCTTAGAGATAAAATATACAATAATTACAACTAAAACAATGTGTAAGAATGAGACTCATGAGTTATAAAAATGTCCAATGATTTTTTCAAATGTGAGGAGTGTTGAAAATCATCAGACGTTCTTAGATTGCCTTATATTTTAACGGATAGACATTTTATCTTCACATAATTCTAGGACAAAAGCTTGCTGTCTTATTACAAATATAGTCAAATGCGCAGCAGGGTATAAGCATGTCAAAAGATGTCAAAGCCTCTAAAAAAGCCTAACCAGCTACTTAGTATGTTACGGACAGCAAGCCTATGTATTATAATTTTATAGTTCAAGAATCAGAGCCAATATGAATGTGCAATTGAAAAGTTTTAATACTTGTAGTATTAATTTACTCAAAATTTAATAATTTGGGAACATCAGAACGCATCGTTTAAATCTTGGGAATGACATCCAGAACATTTTTGAAAAGTCGATTTTTCCACTTTAATGCTCCCACATAAATATTCATAAAAGTCACAGGTATTTTCAAAATGGTACTTAACTTTTTGTTTCTATTTGCAGATGAAACAATGCTGGATTAAATTTTATTGTGAGGTGCATTTTTTGTTTGTGAATGGTACAGGGTATCTGACGATTGAGCTATTATGTGAATATTGTTAAATACATTTAGGCCATGTTTTTTAAGCTAATATCTAATGTTGGAAATGAGCAATACCGAAATACTCTGGGTACAACCATGTGGTTTTTATAGGTAACAAATATTGTCTAACAAATGTTTTAGAAAATACATACCTCCAGAGTATTACTTGGACGTGTTACAAAAATTAGTTCGATTTTCCCTTTGAAAATGACGGACAGTCAAGATTACGTCTACTAAAAATCGTTTCTAGTAGCCATATAAAATATAAGAGTAAAAAGTGTTTCTAAAACTCCTAATAAAAATACTACGTGTAAAGTTGAACACCTACAGTATATGTACATTTAATTCCGAGGACACGAAACATGTAACATTTATACAAATCCAGAAAATAACATTTTTAAAGCCAACTTCGACAATCATGCAAACATACACATATGATATATTCGTTCTCGTACCCAAAAATTGTAATATGCAAAACATATTGATGATAAAGTTTATTTAAACGATTGCACTGCTTTATTTTACATTCAAGTATCTTCCATAGGCGCCAGGGGGTTTTATCTCCATCATATTCAAAACTGTTGAAAAATACCATGTATAAGCATTATCAAACGAAATGTCAGCAATTAGTGCAATGCCACAAACAGTCACACGAGTTTTTCTATAATTTTAAAGCGAGATGACAAAGCTACGGATTTTTATAGCTCCAATGCTTGATAACTTAAAAATTGCTAAAGCGATAACAATTTGAAAATGCATTGATAGTAGTGTTTTATTAATCACTTTTTCTCTCAGACGTGCAAATATGTTGTGGGTCCTACAGTCTCCTCAGGCCCAGTGAAACTAGCGCCTATGGTATAATCTTTGAAGATTGTTATGTAGAGCAAAATTCTAAGTGCAAATATATATGTACTTATTTGTGAGCAATACTTGAACAGTTTCTACTTATAGCTTACCTAAAGAAATGCAATACAAATATTCTTGCAATCTTAACGTTTCTACCTGTTTGCCCTTAGCACCAAAATTTTAATGATCTATGTTTCCTTTCGTTCAAAAACATCTTATACGAAAATATTTAGAGTGATCCATAGAAAGCTAAATTATTTGCTATTTCCTTATTCAAAAAATAGGCTTCCTAACTTTTTTTTGAAAATCCTGTATAGTCATTTCAGTTTCATCTCAGGATTTGCATATCTTAGTGGATAATCACTGTGCTTAATAGAACTTCAATTTACACCAATCATATATATTGGCTGATGAATAAAATCACAGATCTAGAAGCAAAATTTTACTTCAATGGCCTTTTCAAACAAAAACTTAATGGAAAACGAGGTGGACAACTACCTGTATCTATATGTCTTCCAGGACACAGTACTAATTTGTTTTGCCATTAGTTACCGGATCTGTTTGGATAATAATAAAGTACGTCGGTGGAAACCAATCACTTCAGGAATATTGGATTAAAATATTTGTTAATTTGCTGAAACTGAAATTATTTTCAAGTTAATATAATGAGTACCTCGTTTTGAGCTTTTTCACCAATATTTGATATTTATTTCACTTTTTATTTAAACGGACTGGTCTCCTTGTGTTACCTTATCCCATTGAACACAGTGATTCAATTGTTCAAATTAGTGAGTTTTAACAAAATGTTCTAGTAGTTGTCTCGAGTCAGGCAAGTTTGTAACAGTAAAAGAGATTCTATATGCAGAAAGTATAACTATCTTCCACTGTATACTCTTACGGCAGCGCAACTAGCGGGGTATCATCAAACCTCACCTCTCCATCCACTCTTAAAATATTCGCAGGAACATATCCAGTCTGGAAAAGGCGAAACCAACATGAAAATTTGTTGTATCATTTACCATTGAAGGCAGGGCATTGACATATGGACGCCCATTTCCGGCGGGCAATTTTGTCAATATTTTCGTATTAACGTCTTTACCCAGCCATTGACGGTGATGACCAAGAGGGGTAGAGCAATCAACAGGTGAAAATATCAAAGATATTCGCAGTAACGGAAAAGAAAAACTTGAAAAAAAAAACAACACTGACTAAACCTGGATCAGGAAGTTGACATCAAATCATTTGATTCTTAATATCAACAATACGATTGTTATATTCCCCAACATTTAAAAACAATTCATTGTAATTATGTTTAAATTCTACATCGACGATACATCGCATCAGAATATCAATCAGTTTGATTAGCAAAATTTTATACATTAACTACCAGTGCCCCCATAAATAAAACATAACATAACTGCACATTGTGTGAAACTGAATCGATCACTCCACTATGTCATTATGGTCATTAACGTCATTTCCCTGTCAAAGATTTTAAAAGCAGGCTTGTGTTAGGTTTTTATCAACATTGCCCAACTTGACTGAGCATTAACGTCATTGACCTTTTCAGGTTGCTCATCCTGCTATATGATTTAATGTTGCTAACATCTACAACGTATTGTGGACTCTACTGTTATTACTCTTACCTCATGGCTTTCAGTTTTAATTTTCCACCAGCCATTTCTGTAGCCCTCTTTCCCTATAACTATCACATTCTGGTTTTCTCTAACACTTTGTTGCGCGGCATCTTTGGCTTCATGATTCACCTGGACAACTGCTTTCAACTGCCTGAAAGGCCACAGCAGTTTAGTATTCTCGTCCAACTTATCAAAATTCTCCTTCAGACTGTTCCTTTGATAGTTGAGCACTAGTTCTTCGATGCTGCTGAAGTATTTCGATTGAGACAGGTAATACTTAGTCGTGTTGCCTATTTTCTCGTTTCTGCAGCATATTTTCATATGTTTTACTGCGTTATCAGTCCTGGAAGCAAATATTGATAGAATAATTCAAATTAGATTAAGAGATTCTAAAAACCAACAAAATTATGATTGACAACAAAGTTGGATTTTAAAAACAAAAAATACTATGGATACTATTTTCACATTATTCCAACAGTTATACTCAAATTGAAACAACAAATAAATTAAAATTGCCCTTTTTGATACTTTTCCAAAGATTTCGACTGTAAATCATGATATACCATTGAAAAGAATTGAACCAATATGGTTGTACTAGAACATTCAATTGGTTTAAAGCATATTTAAATAATCGATCTCAAATTTTAATATTATCAAGATCTTTATTTCAGTTAAATGTAAACGCAGGAGACCTCAAGCATTACTACTACCTCCAATCATAGTTTTAATATATATCAATGATTTAATAAATTCAAACATTACTAGAAAATTCAGTTTTGTGTCATGATACCACAATACTTTGGCAGACAGATATAACTGAAATTAGGAGAAACATTGATAATGATATATAACAAAGCTTCTGGTCCGGACTTGATTCCTGCCATTGTACTGAAGAGGTGTGCAGCGCAGCTTGCTCCAGTTCTTTTGCGTCTCTTCTAGATACCTTATGAATCCGGCAGCTTCCCAGAAAACAGGAAATTTGCTCATACCCAACCAATACCAAAAAAAGGATCTAAGACCGACATTTACAACTACGGGCCTATAGCTCTGCTTTCTGTTATAAGTAAGGTGATGGAGAGGTGCATAAATCGCGAGTTTCTGGACTACCTCGAACGTCAATGCTTGATTAGCGACAGGCAGTATGGTTTCTGGCACCAGCAATCCACAGGGAACCTCCAAGCTTACGTCACGCAATTGTGGAGTAAACTAAGAGCCAGTTTTATGGTAAGGCTCATGACGTTGCTCTTGACATCACGAAAACGTTTGATCAGCTGTGGCACGCTGCCCTATTAGGCAAACTTCCATTCTATGGACTCCCAGAAAAGCTTTGCAGTTAGGTGGCTGACTTTATCTCTGGCCGCAAGATATCCGTCGTAATTGACGGGTTCTCCTCTTTATCCCACAACGTCAACGCGGATGTTCCTCAGGGATCGGTCTTGGCTCTGACACTGTTCCTGTTACATATCAACGACCTCCTTTCCTGCACGATCAATCCAATCCACAGCTTCGCTGATGACAGCACTCTGCATGCAGGAATTCAGAGTGACAAGCCGATCTCTGCCGCTGAGCTGGAAAAAAGCAGACTAGCGATGACTTCGTCTCTGACCTGAGACATTGAGGTTATCACTGCTTCGGGACGCAACAATCATATACAGTTGAATGCTTCCAAAACACAGTACTGTACCTTGATGAACAAAAAGCGTCCTAGCGCTCATCCGGTTTCAATGGATGGAGAAGTTCTGCCAAAGAGCCATTCATTTCGGGTGGTCGGAGTCCAGATCACCGAGAACCTGATCTGGCAATAGCGGCAGCTGCTGGGAAAAAGCTATTCTATTTGTTTAGGGCTAAGAGGTACACGATTGGGGTGCTGCCCCCCGACTACATTATCCATGCTCGATGCTGTCCAGAGGAGGGCGGTCCGACTGATCGATTACTCTTCTCTAACAGTCTCGGGACCCTTTGGCACCGGCGGGCCGTCGGCGATCTAGCTCTGTTCTACTGCTACACCAACGGGCTTTGCATCTCAGAGCTCTTTTCCATTATGCTGCCGCGATGTGCCTGCCGGACAGACCCGCCTGACTGTCTCCCATCCTAACCGTGTCGAACTTCGTACATCCAGAACTGGCCGCTATGACCGCTCCTTTGTCCCGAGGGTGTCAAGATTGTGGAACAATCTACAAGAGGAAGCTTTTCCCAGTTCTATTAACCTTGGTCAGTTCAAAAGTCGGATTAGCAAAATTTCTTTGGGATCATCAAAGCAGCCGCGGTGTTCCGGCATTTAGACTTCTGCCTGCGCGGCTGCTTCGGTATATAAAAAACACAACTAACAAAGAGTTCACTTGTTATAAGAACAATTAAAATGTAGGAGAAAGCACAACCTTAAGCAGTTAGTTTCTTCTTAAAATAATGGTTATCGTATCATTGTTCATTTTAGAAACAACTCATATTTTTAAAAATAAATCTATATTTGAATCAAATTACGATATTAGACGAAAACAAAATCTTAAATTAGTAGCAACTAAATTAACACTTGCGAAAGAAAATTTATAATGGTCTGATGTGTGTCTCTGATACTATCAATAGAATTAACAATTTAAACAGATTCCGCCATGATGTGTTAAATGTTTTAATACCTATATGGACCATATTGTACATTCAGACAATAAAGCACATTCATCTGTCTATCAAACCTGCGAACAGAAACTACAAAAAAATATGTATAATTTCGCGTCATATATTACTTTAGAGTTAAAGCATATGGATCCCTGTCAAATTCTCCCACTCTTAGTCGCACCAGATATGTTCCATTTTCTCTTTTTTCCAACTTCACGCTTGCTGTTACCCTATCCATTTCTCCAACAAACCATAACTTATCCTTTAGAGAGTTATCGGGACTACTCGTACCTGAAAAATCAAATTAAGTGTCTCATTAGTTAATAAATATTTTTATTATCACTGCTTACCATTGTGAAGTGAATGGCTAGAATGACTTGGAGACTGTCCACACTTGCCAGAGTATTGAATGCAAGCCTTGTGCGCACAAGTATTACATGTTCCGCACCTGTAGCCTTGGTATATGAGCCCTTTCAGGTATTTGGAGCAATATAGGCATTGGGCAGGTTGAGTGAAGGTTTGCAGTTCAAAATTGTGGCTAGTGTGTAGCAGCGCTTTTGGATGTATGCTATCCCTGGAAAATTGGAATTTGTTTATTTGAGCGCACTATATTTTTCATTTTTATTTTAAGATCATAGTTCTTTATCAACTAATGGTACTTACAGGGCATCATTGACGGCTTTGATAAGTTGTTGTTTTAGTTCAATTGTGCGCACAAGGATTGTATAAGCATTTTGACTATCATTCTTCACTAGGTAGAATTGATACGACGTCCTAGCTTCTTTGTTTAAGATAGGTCTGTTGTGAACTTCTTCTACATGGTAATCTACTATGTTAATGAGGTCACGAAATGCAAATTGGTTACCCTACAAAAAACGTAGCATTTATACACTTTTAGACATATTTAGGTTGAGAGTTTAAAGTTTAAATGGAACACCTAGCATAACTTCCCCACAACATCATTAAATGTGAGTACCTCTCATGAGGTACTGATAAGGAGAATCAAGTGCGGTATCATATGACCCCCATTCCACTTAAAAACTGTTTCAAGATGGCGCCCAGCACGCAACTTAGAATTTTAAACTGTCCTTTCAACGTTTAATTATGCAGGGTGTAAACGTTATGGTAGTCATTATTGAAATGGGTAATCGGGGGGATCAAAACAAGTCACAAAGTTCATATGACCCATTGTCCAAAAGTTAATAGATTTTTGTCTGAAATGGCTTTATAGTTTACAACTTTAAATGCTTTATATCGACCACAATCACCACAATCTTACTAATTTTTATAATCTAATCTAAAACGTTTTTAAATTGGGTAATTAACAAATAAATGGCATTAAGTTTTTCTAAGCCAAAATTTGTAGTCAGTAAGTTCATTGAATTGAATATTTAAAACACACATGACAACAGCGCGTCGGTCATCATCACTCGTATCGACCGGCAATCGATCGCAAACGGTAACAGTGGTTAGTATGTTGTTTTGTTTTTGTTCGCGTACGTCGTCGTATTTATTTACAATGTTCTCGAATCAACAGTTCACCGACATGTTGTTAGTTTACGGTGAAGCTCGTCAGAATTCAAACCTTGCAGCTCAAATTTATCGCGATAGATTTCGCCAACGGGTACACCCAGACATTTGTGCAAGTGTACCAAAGACTTCGAGATACAGGAAGTGTTCAGCCTACTAATATTCGCACTCGTGAAAGATAGGTTACTGTAGAGCACGAGGAACAAATTTTGAATATCGTGAAAATCAATACAGATATCAGCACTCGGGAATTAGACCGCCGCGTAGGACTATCGCATACCATAGTCCATAGAATCCTACGGGAAAATTTGCTTTATCCCTACCATGTACAACGAGTGCAGGCCTTGTTGCCAGAAGACTATCCTCGCAGACTAACGTTCTGTCAGTGGTTTTTGCACAAAAACATTGAAAACCCGGATTTTTTTAAAAACATTCTAGCGACGGACGAATGTACTTTTTACGCGAGACGGGATATTAAATTTCCATAATACTCACACGTAGGCACAAGAAAATCCTCATACCATTCGTGAAGGTCATTTCCAACAACGTTTTAAAATAAATATTTGGGCGGGTATTCTGGACGATCAGGTAATTGGCCCTTTCGAGTTAGGAGAAGGATACCTTAGCTTTCTAGCTAATAACCTACCAGAACTTTTGGAACAGACCTTAGAGAACATGCCATTACAACGGAGACAGAATTTGTGGTTTCTTCATGACGGGGCATCACCACACATTTTTAGAGGCGTCATTCAGTATTTGAATGAACATTATCCAAATCGCTGGATCAGTCGAAATGCTCCTGATCCTCGAAAATGGCCAGCAAGATCTCCTGTCCTCAATCCGATAGATTTCTGGTATTGGGGAGAACTTAAAAGGATGGTTTATGGGGCTGGTCCAATAACAACTGAAGCAGAACTTCGCGATATTTTTAATGCGGCTGAAATAATAAATGGACAACTTCGAGGACCTAGAGTAAGAAGAAACTGGGTTCGTCGTAATGAAGCTTGTGTCGAAAGTGGAGGACAACATTTTGAACACCTTCTTTAAATACAAAAAAATGCTTTGTGGGTTTTAAAAAGAAAAACAATGTATGTATCAAAATTGTGTTCCCTATTTATAAGTGGATTTTTTAATACGTGCAATAAACTTTCACACACCAGGTGAAGCGCTGAGACAGTTAGTGCTAACTCCGTTTTTTAAATGTTTGCATTTTACGAGTACATTATCAAATAATGAAATAATATCTAAGAGCCAAAAATACCAAACTCCATCTTTATTTACACTGCGTTCCGTCGTAATTTGCGTCTGGCATTACGGCGTTGTCAGATTTTATTTTACTTTAGTCGCTTTTCTCTAAAAAAATGCCGTTTTGACCCTCATGTTATATGAAACTTCTTGCTTCTTTTAACCCCCTCTATCACCCATTTAAATAGTAACTATCGTAGCGTTTACGCCCTGTAGTATTCATCCATAAATGTCATCATGCTATTTTTTACTACATCTCAGCCTGCTAAATTGACCCGTTCAAAAAATAAAGTGATAGGGAGCTTTCCGAAAATGGACCAAAAGCTCATTAAACTGGAAAGTTGTGTTTATACCTTCAATTGCTTGCAAATCAAAATGCATTTATCGAAAATGAACACATATCTATTCCTAGTCTTCTGGTCGTCGTGTGCTTTGATTTTGAGGCTGGCATCTTTGAGCAGTCGTCCGTAATCAGAAAGGCGTTGATTAGGACTAAGATTCCATTCTGTTATTGTCTCCTGAAGATTATTTATCACTTCTAAATGTTCACTATCCCTAGCTGCCTCATTTATATAACCTGCTACGTCCAACATCGCTTCTCTGGCTCGGCGTAAGTCGTTGTACTCTTCATGGTTCTGGACAGATACAGATTTTACACACAGGTCACAGGTTTATATCATCTTTTCAGGTAACTGATAAAAAGGTATATAACGCCTATGCTTTCTGTTCACCCAAACACAATAAAGTTAGGATTTGCAGACAAGGCGTCAACGTTGGCTACCATATAATACATCATTTTTTCATAACTAATTCAATTAATAGAAAAATACTTACCGGATCCGTATTTTCGATCAGCTTGTCTAATAAAAGATGATATTTCAAAATTCTTTGCATTGGCACGGATAATACATCCCTAAGTTTAAATCTTCCATTGTTGTCCTCCTTCTCATATTTCTAAAAATGGATATCATTGACTAACACATTCTACCTGAAGATAGCAAACCTATTACTATATTTCAGCGTCTAAAAAACTATTCGTGATAAAATAAGATGCCATGGCGTCTTCTATGAGAATTTTTCACATCTATGTTTATTTTCTACGCAATTAGAGATCTACTTTAAAAAGTTAATTTTTTCACGCCAAAGCAGCTGCGCAGGCTGAAGCCTAAAAGCCAGAACACTGCAGCAGCTATGAGGATCCCAAATTCTGTTAATCCGATTTTGAACTGCCTAAAATTCGTAGAACTGGGAAAACCTCCACTTGTAGATTGTTCCACAATCTCGACACCCTCGGCCCAGAGGAGCTGTGGTATGGATAGACGAAGTTCGACACGGTTAGGATGGGAAGGCGAAGTCAGGCGGATCTGTCTGGCAGGTACATCGCGCGGCGGCATCATTTATTAGAGCTCTGAAGAACAAATCCCGTTGGTGTAGCGGTAAACGAGCGCTAGATCGCCGACGGACCGCCGGTGCGAAAGGGTCCCCAGACTAATTGTAGAACAGTGTCATCGACCAGTCGGACAGCCCTCTTCTGGGCAGCATCGAGCATAAATAATGTAGTTGGAGCGGCACCACCCCGAACGTGTGAGCAAGCAAGGCTAAGTCTTATCTGGGACTTATATAGAGTGAGTAGATCATACGGAGAAAAATACTTCTAAGCCCTAAACAAATAGCCTAGCTTTTCCCAGCAGCTGCCGCTATTGACGAGATGTGTTGTTGCCAGATCAAGTTCTCGGTGATCTGGACTCCAACTAGCCGAAATGAACGGCTTTTTGTTCGTCAGGGTACTGTACTGTGTTTTGGAGACATTAAATTGTACAAGATTGTTGCGAGTTCACTGCTAGTCTTCTTTTTTCCAGCTCAAACGCAGAGATCGGCTTGCCATTCTGAATTCCTGCATGTAGAATGCTGTCATCAGAAAAGCTTTGGATTGGATTGATCGTACAGAAAAGGAGGTCGTTGATACGTAAGACCAGTGTCGGGGCCAAGACCGATCTCTGGGGAACACCCACGTTGAAGTTATGGGATGAAGAGTTAATTACGACGGATATCTTGCGGCCAGAGAGAAAGCCAGCCACCCATTTGCAAAGCTTTTTTGGGAGGCCATAGGAGGTAGACTCGGAGGTAGATGTCTGTAGGAAACTATATGATCTTATATGCTCATACAGCTGGCTACAGCCCTTTTCAAATTAATGACAAATTCTTACGATGTCTGGATACCTCGTTTCATCTCGGCTAATTTTTTTAGACGCTGGAATATAGTATCAGGTTGGCTATCTTTCGGAAGAATTCGTTATTCGATGATAATATAATGTTTTCTCGTTTCATCTAAACAATAATCAGTAAAAATTGATGCAACACTAGAATGTAGGAAGTGATTATTTAACTCATCGCATTTATCTGACAAGTGAAATATGTGTGAGACTTTGGCCATTGATCAATATATTTCAAGGAGATGCCCAACCCTATTCTGCATTTGGACCTTCACATACAATTTTCGACGTCATAGCCATATTGCCAAATAGGATCGCAGGAATTCCCTAAGATGTAATTAAAACAGGCTCAATTTCCGTTTTAAAGCAAATTGTTTATACATCGTCCTCACTCATTCTCAAGCTTCCGTGCTCTAAGAAGTTCTCAACGACGGAAAGGGAATCCCATAACATGCGGCAACAGTCCGGGAGATGGCAACATTGCGCAGGCACTTCTTTCAATTGAATTGGGTATCTTCTGGTGGAATATGTTAATCAACGTTTTGTCAAAAAACCTGATATGTCAGAAAACGGAAAATGAGGGAGGCACTTTATGAGTACTTACTATAACAGCTTGGTTGAAGGCTTCATCTGTATCACACAATTCCTGTAGTATCGTTGTAGCTTTCGTTAGGTTGGCACAATACATTCCATACACTAAAAACTTCTCCCGCCACGCCATAAAAACATTGCTTAATTTCACGGACGAATTCGTTCTAATATTTAAAAGCTCGTGGAGAAACTCCGAATGAATATCTCTTAGTTCCTGAAAGAAAATATTTGAAAAGAGTGCTACTGGACAGGAAGATAAACAATGATAACTTACCTTTATTTTGAAAAATACAGTACTATGGTGCTCAGGTTTCATCTGACTAATGAGAGGTTGCATAAAATTCTTTTTGAGCTTACTTAATACATCTACATAATTCTTTTCTGTATCTAAAAGTTCCTTTATAACGAAGTCTCGTTTCTCAAAAGTAGGGGGTTGCTAAAAGTGTGATAGGATTGAACATCATAGCATCACAATTTGGCTATTTTATTCTTTTGAACCAGCTTGACAATACGTGTGTTGATATTTAAATTAGGTTTACTTCTATGTAGATTAGCAATAAAATCAGACATTTTTATTCGTCTGAAGCTTTTCTTATCACGCTTCTCTCCATTTTGAATTCATGAGAATCGCCAAAATCACAAAGTTTATACAATGTAGTGTACAGATGGTCTTTTATAGACACTATTCATACAAAAATCCAAAACACCAAAGCATAAAGCTGAAAACACATCAAATTCCATATGCTATCAAAGTGCCAAGGTTTGGTAGAATTATTTGTATGGTTATTGTTTAGTTACATTTTTGTCATGCTAGTTCAAAAATATGGTAAGTCTGAATGAAGCAACATAAATAATAAAAAAATACCTCTATAGGCGAGGATTTAACACAAAGGTCTCTGTAAATTTCTTCACTATTTATGCCAAAAGCTTCTGTTTCTACTATCCCACGTGTTCTAACTGGCATCTCACTGTGTGTAAAAAAAGCCATGCAAAATAAAAAAATAACTACAAAAATATGCTACTAACAGCAATAGTCACATATTTTATCCACATCTACAGTCATAGTATGACATCAAACAATTCAGTTATTGATTTGATATGCCTTGCTTGACAGAAGATGGAAGCATGCCCAGGGTTTAAATATTTTTATTAACAATTTTTGAACCTCCTTTTACTATCAACCTGAATATCACGATGTTTATTTTGAAGCCCCTTTCAAGAATTTATCAATGTGGGATACCAAACATTAATGTTAACCCACAAATTCAATAAAATATCAAATATTATACAATAGGGTTTCTCTCAAGCACAGAGTGTTGGAGTATACAAGTATGTTTTGCGACTTTTCACTCGTCTGTCTTTGCAATATCCGCATTTAATTCCATTCTGAATGAACTAAAATGACGGATAAATATGCTGGATTATTGTGACTGTTGTTTGAAGTAGCATATCCTATACATTAGAATGAATATAAAAAATAAATTTATTAACTCAAGAATCCAGTTCAGAAAACATAAATGAACATAACTAGATGTTTTGTTCACCTCAGGGAGGGTGGCTGAAAATGTAACATAACACAAGTCATCATAAATCTCTTCTTCCCAATCTTGAGGCTGAGGACAGGGTATCTTAAACTGTAACCAACTGGGCTGTGCACTATTTTCTCCTGAATTTGTTCTTAGGTCTCTGTTATGGAAGAAGGTTGTTGAACAAATTTTCAATGGAAATGGTATTTTTACATTTTGATTTGTCTAATTACAATTCAACCAATGATTTCAACTTGCCAACTCCTCATTTGTTACTTAAAGTAATACAGTTATCAATAATAGCATTAATATGTTTCACCACCATCAAAAAAAATACATTTCCAAATAACATGTTACTTCGAAAATTGAAACTTTGTTGAATTGGATACTATTATACTTACACTCCTCTTAAACTCTGATATATGATTTCTTCTTCCCTACTATTCATACGTTTGGCATTGAACCCCCTAAAATAAAGTACATACTAAACAATTAATCTTTATACCAAGTAACCATATAACTTACGGTATCCTGAACCTCAGTACTTTAGGGCAAAGTGATAGCTTTGACAAGGTACATAATACTTTGTGGAAATTTGACAAGTCAAACAACATGGTATCTTCAAATAAGTCTGATTGTTTTAGGCCAAAACTTTCCACACAGGCCTTTAGGAATAGGTTTATGTTACGTAAACATAAAAACTGCAAAAAGCAAAGACTTGTTGAATAAAAGATCTCCAAAAATAATGGAAAAATGATACAAAACCAAATCTATTAGATCATGGAACTTATTTATAATATTGCAAAATGTTAACCTACTATCTCCATATTTTCATATCAAATAGATGAAATAAATAATTCCTTACTCCTCAAGGAACTTGTTATAAAAAAGATATTCTTCATCTTCCTGTTCTACTTTTTTATATGAGCATTCTTTATTTATCAAGTACCAAACTCATTATCTTATTGTAATGAGGGTGAGTGGTAATTTGCTATATTCCTTGATAGGCATGATAGGGAGCCTAAAATGCAACCAAATTCACCCTATATGTGTATAGCCAAAAATCCATGGTAAAAATCCTTAGTTTTCAGCGGTTTTAAATGTTTGATTCTTTAGCAATCATACAAAATTGGACATTTGAGACTTAATGATTAAAAAACTATTTAGGATGCTGCACAGATACTATGCACAACAAAATAACTCTTCTGAAAAATAATAAAGTTTCTGTTCTCATATTTCTCTAGAATAATAATGAGTCTACCTTTCCAAAAAGATATTAAACATCAGTGTAAAAACATTCTATTCCTAACAAACAGCCATTCAATCAGATATGGGTCAATTGACAATTCATTCGTTTTCAGAAGCATTTTAAATGAGTGTATTCTTTTTACAGAATTTGCAGAAGGTGCAGTAGAGGGCTATATTCTCTATTCACAATTGAGTGTGTTTTTTGTCAAGTCAATCCACTCATTTGAATCACTGATGAAAAGTATAATTTAGTTACTGGACTGTTATTTGACCAAAATTGGTTTAATTGCCTGTTTGTCAGGAACTGAATACTTTTATACTGATGTTTAATAGCTTTTAAGAAAGCAGACTATATGCCCGAGTTCTTCTAGCAATCTGTATGCTCAAAGTACCTAAAATTTTTAGAGCTAGACACACTTTTGTTCTGAGAAAAAAAACTTTTTTTTAAAGTGATTATTTTGTGTGTAGTATTTTTGCACTTTTTATGATTGTATTAGGTTAAATTAATATAAACTATGGATATCAGTTGAGTTCTCATGCTTTTCTTAGATAGTTTCTTCATAATTTACAAATTCTGTTGGGTGATTATTGAAAATCTCAAACACTATTAATTTTTGAACATATATAAATATGGTAAAATTTGCTGCATTTTGGGTCTTCTAGCAAGGAATATGGAATATGGCTAATTACCAGTAACCCTGTAAACAGGGTTATGCAGGTCTCTTTTTGTTCCCATCTTTATTTTTATTTTTTTATACTCATATAGCTTTGCATAATATATCCTGATCAGTCCTTGTGATAACGTATGTGTACAAAATTTCAAATGTGATTTAGAAACGAGCATTTAATAGCAGATTATTTTTTTATAGACAAAAGCCGTCCAGTATTAAAAACGGTAACGCGTAACTTGAGCATTGCCGGATCGATAGTTTGTTCAGTTGTAATCATATCATCAACAATTGGACAACAGTCAATCGAAACAAGCGTGCAAGCAGTGTAAGTACAGTGTGTACAGTATGTGGCTCCACCTTCAAAAAAGACAAGAGGACACCCAGGCAAGGAGGTGCATAAGGGCCCGCTTAAGCGGCCTATGCACTGGCTCCTTATGGTGGCCGGGATGCCTCTAAAATTCAAGATTCATTCATTCACACCCAGGCAAAGTAGCTGTGCCTCCTCAAGAGCGGTGAACCCATGGAACTTTACATTTATTGGAAGCACTCAATGTTCCTTCAGCTCCTCGATGTAGAAATGCACGTTGTACTCACAGATCTCGAATTAGGGTGTACAGTTTGAAAAATATTTCTACGTGTAAGCAAAGAAATTGTGTCAAAGAATTTCATAATTAAAATTATTTGGAATTTATTTTTCTTGTATAGCCTGTTAAAAATGTGTGTTCATTTTTTCAATAAAAAAAAATTAATGTTATTTAAATTATTTATATGAAACACTTTTACTGTTGCTTCGCGAGTCCATTTTTGTATTTTTTTTATTGCCTTCATATAATACTTACGTCCTAGTGTGCACATATGTGCACCAATTGTTTGAGAGTTATCTAGATGTTATTTTGAAAACTAAACAAATAAAACTGATTTCTGGATCCCCAATAACACGTATGTACATAAAAGCCAGAGATTGTCCTCGCATGTGCTTCTCAGGACTGACAAGGATATAATGTGCAAGGGGGTATATGAATAAAATGTAGTTAAAGGTGGAATCTTGAAAGTTATGTGTGTCAGTAACAATAAACAGATTATCCATTCATGAGTGGAACAATGATAGCTTACCTGAGCTAAAGTTGGCTTGAGATTCACATCCTTCATATCAATACAACTGGGATCCATCTTATGGATCAATTTACAAAGTAACACACCATCACGTAAAATATTGGCAAGATCTGCAATGCAAGCTTCTGGCCAGTTGGCTTTATGATCTTTTCGCAGCATCTCCCATCTGGTAAGCCAAGCGGCACACTGCCTCCAGAGCTCATCATTAGGCTCTGGACTGTACATGTTCATCTGGTTCGTTAGGTGGCTCAGCTGAAATACAGCAAGAATGTTATGTCCATTTTAGAGCTTATTACGTTCTTACAATTGCATCTGATTCAGCAAAAGCTGCTGCCATGGTTCAACAGCTATAGGTTCAACTTGTTTGTAGTAGGAGCTAGAATAAAGAGAAAGGATCAAGTGATGCAGACTCTGAACTCTGCGGATTATCTTACACAAAACTAATGCATGTGTGGCAATCGACAATTGCTAATTTTGAAGATCATTTCCTCGTTCAGTTGTATTCGAATGTTTATCAATACTGATAACAGTTTTTAAAAATAAAAAAATTGTCACTAATTGTCAGTGAATGTCAATTTTGACTCTTTTTGCCCATCGCCCATGTCCATGACATTTGACTTAATAAATTTGACGTTGACAGTGGGTGGGGTTGATTTCGAACTGATGGGAATTCGAATATTTGCAATATGGTTAATTTTTTTTAAATGAATATTTGGCCCTAGTAAAGATAACATGACCACTCAAGACAACTATTGAAATATACTCTACTAGACTACCCGTAGCAAAATCGTTGCACACCACTTGAAAAATGCAAATGAAGATTGGAAAACTGCCGCTTTGACGTACTAAAGGGTCATCCTTATCCCGGAATAGACATACGAACTTGTCATTCTTGTCACTTAGATTGCGGCGTTGCCAGCTAATCAGATAATTTTGATAATCCTGCTATTTTGCTAGACTTATAAAAAAAGCTTTGGATAAAATATTGAGGGATATATAAAATTTGAGGCGTAACAATGTTTGCCAAAAAAAATTAAAAAAAAGCTGTTATTTCCATTTTGCGTCTCCTGGCGTCTATGCGGCGGAACGTTAATGTCTCTGAACACCTTTATAAATGCCCAGTTTTATAGGATATAATCCTTTTTGAATTGAAAAAAACAATGTTTTATTATATAAATATATTTATTAACTATTTGTTCTAAATTTACATGATCATTAATAAGAGAAGTACGATCTTCATTTTCTCTACTGTTTATTAGGGAAATTCGGTTCCTTTAGTGATGCATTCGCACTTGGGTGAGAAAACCCCTAGAGAACCTCAACCATCACTGCTAAGATTAATTGCATCAGGTAGAGAAAAATTCTGGCTTCATTTGTAAAATCGAAAGTCGCCAGCATACCACAGTTATTGACCTAAAAAAATAGCATGGAAGTAACATTTTATACGAGGATCATTTTTTAAGTAACAACCGTTTTTGTAATCCAGTCAGCGAAATTTTATTTATGAATGTAAATTGTATCACAAACTAAAAACTTTCACTTTTCAGCATAGCTACCATAAACATTCAAACACAAGTTAAGTCGCGACATCAGTCTTTGTGTTAATGTAGCATCTGAAACTTATCCTGTGGTTTTCATGACGACGTCTATTTCCCTTGTCTTAATTTCTACCAATCACGAACGCGCAATTTTGTTTTACCAATGGTTTCTAAATGGAAAAATTGTGTGAGATTACCAGTCAGCATTTTTTTCCAGTTTACCCGCGGAAAAACTTAACAGCTGCTGTCATCAAAAATTATGTATTCAGGTAAATGATCCTGAAGTGCGTGTTTCTGGAAGAAGGCTCCTCAACATAGCAATTTAGGTTAATAACTTTACACCTTTGACATCGCTACCATCATATACATATGTATATTTTGGTTAATAGTATGGAATTTTTAACTAATGTCTAGATAATTAATTACAATAGTAATCAACGTTACTGCAGCAACTTGATTCAGTCATCTCATCCAGACTTGCAAGAGAAAATGTTTGAAAATTTTCAGATCCGTCTCTGTCCTCATGCCTCCGGAACTCGGTTTTATAGCCGTTTTATTACTATCGGCACAAAATGTAAACGAATACAATAACGTTGTCGTCTATTATACAACGTTGTTAAAATTCTCATTTATTTAAAAAACGTAGGATGTCAACCCTAATACACAAGTGATGAGTATGTAAGGCTCACCTAGTTTGCTCCACAGATATCCCGTTTCCCTCAGAAGAGTTGGACGTATACCTACCGTATTTCCACTTTGGATGCACACAGCTCTAAAGACACAATCGAGAACCCTATAGTGAACACCACGACTAAAAAAGTAGCTAAACCGAATAAAGCTCGGCAGGGAGCTGTGAACGCGTAGACATTCCGCTACGCCGACGGTTGTCGAGAGACTGATGCGTGTGAGTGCTGTACCTCGCTACGGCATACGGTACGGCCGGATAGTACAGCCACGCCACTTTCCAGCTCCCATTCCACGCGCCTGCTCCCGGTCAACGTAAACATCGAGTCGCTTCAGATAAGAAAACGCAGTATTCAAAAAGTATTTTATCCTATAAAACTGGGCATTTAAAAAATGTTCAGAGACCTTAACGTTTCGCCGCATAGACACCATGCGAATCAAAATGTAAATAACTGCTTTTGTTTAGTTTTTTGGAGAACATTGTTACGCCTCAGATTTTATATACCTCTATTTTTATTCAAAACTTCTTTTTTTATAACATTCTATCATAATAGTAGAGGTAGCAAAATCGTCCGACGAGCTGGCAATGCTGCAATCCAGGTGGCAAGAATGAAAAGGTTATCTGTCAAGACGGATGTCTATCTCGGGGTACTGAGTCATTTAGAACGTCAAAGCAAAGTTCCACACTCGCAGATGTACGCGCCTGCTTCACAGCTTAGTTCGCGCTCTTGACGAGTATAGATGGTGAAATTGCTACTGCTGCTGCAGGGCTACTTTGCGCTTTGGCAATTTATAATTACGCTTATACAGGGTGACTTTGAAGTTGAGTCATTAATTTTCAGATAATGATTGTAGAAGGAAGATAAACCAAAATATGTGTGTAAAAATAAAAATAAAATTAAAAAAAAAAAATGTTACCTTGTTTTATAAAGTATCTTCCCGACAAGTATTTCAGTGCGGACCTGTATTTGATCGTGCGGTCTTGGAACACCGGCATGCCCTCCCCTGTGAGGTCTTAAGTCACCTGATTCACGAGCCCTTTGTACTACATTAACAAAGGCATGAGGGATTGGTTGCACTCGATTGGGAAACCGATCCGCATAAATCCGTAATGCCGCGTAAATAAGAATCATGTCCACAAGTTCAGCATTTTCGTAAACATGTGCTATTTTTGATTTCGTTTGAGCCACGCAACAGACACCACTATTCACTCACGCGTTACCGACTGACACTGACTATATACAACTGAATAAAATAATTGTAAAAACATCGTTCCAAATTCTTTCGCTTTTTTGTTTCCGATGCGATGAACCGATAAGGCGGATTATATCCGTTGTCGCCAAACACGAGCACATAATATTATTATTGAGACAGGGCGGTACTCAAACTTCCAAAGGGCTATAACTTTGTTACTTTAATTTTACCAGAAAAATGGTAAAGGAAAAAAACATTTCTTTTGATCAGATCTACTCACTGTTAAAATAAATGACTCAACTTCGAAGTCACCCTGTATATGTAAAATTAAAACAACCAAAACGAAGTGGAAAAAACAACCATTCCCGGCACTCGCTATGAGACAACTGAAACACCAGCGAATGAGGAGCCTTGTCGTGTTCGCGCCTTGCGAACCCTTTGTCGCGGGACAAACAAACGACAACAAACGGGAACAACGCGCGAACGCGACGTGAAGCCGCCAAGAATACGCGAATGGGATCCACACTCATGGGTCGCGGGTAATTCGCAGCGGCTTCGCGCGTGAGTCTGGAGAGGGCATTAGAAATGTGACGTAGTAATAGTTACCAACAGATATTTCTAGAACAGGACAAAAATAACTAAAACCAGCCTGTCATCCCGGTGATTCTGCAAATGGCAGACGCAATGGCCGCGAGCAGTGGCGGAGTTGATTGGGCTACGATTTTAAAACCGTTTTTGTCGTCAAATTATGATTATTCTAACAAAACAGAACTTTTAGAATTATGCTCTGCCGTAATAAAAAGGTAAGTAGATTCAAAACCAATATTTTGTGAGAGATTTCATCAGCTGCGAAGCCCGATATATCACATTGACAGAAAGTACGTATGAGAAAAGGACATTTTGTTTATGCGGTTTTTGTTTGCCTTTTTGCAGTGAATCCGAGATATTGCGACATAAAGAAGCGAACAAAAGCTTATACAATTCCTTCGCAGTATTGGCCGCAGATTATATCAGCAGCAACACCAACGGACGTAAGTGTTTTTTTGGGTTAGGTCAACAGAAAAAATAGATGAAACATGGTAGTACGTAAGTAGGACGTCGGGGGGTCGATCGCCCCCCGACACCCCACTAACCTTCTACTGGAAACGACAAGCATTTCTATCTTCTGGCTCAAATACAAGTTGAAAAATTTATAAATAAAATGTTGAATTGGCACCAGAACCTTTCAGCTATTTTTTATTGATAGCTTTGTAGGAGTGCAAAAACCTTGGGTTGGGCATGTGTAGAGGACGTTCACGTGCATTTGTGTTTTTATAGATGCTCTATGCAGCTGTAGTATGAAATAAATATAGGTCACTTTTATTAAGTCATTGAAACACTTGATAGTCTATCTAGGAGACCAGGTTGACAATTTATCTCCCTTAAAATGGTGCTATAGTTTATAAAATGCGGAGCATCTAGTAATGTTTGTAGTTATATTTTTTCTTTTCTATTTATTTTGTATTACCCTGTTGTAATTTTGAAATATCTTCATTATTCTATCATTATCTTTCCATTCATTACCTAATAAAAGAGTTATCTATCGTTAATTATCCTTGACTACTTACTTTTCAAACGAAACTGACTAAATGAAAACCTTCCTAATATCAAACTTTGCATAAAATGCTTTTAATTCCATGCCATTAATGAAGATGCATATGGTTGTGTATAGTGTAATTTTGGTTAAGACAAAAAACTTACGACTAGGAAATTAGTAAAATTGATGGTAAGAAGTCATAATTATCAATTAGTCAGATTGTCATGTCCAGAATGTTTGGCTGCAGTTTTTGAGGGTTTAACGATAAGGTGGATGAGAAACCACAGAACATTTTACATCTTATATATTCAGAAGCTTCAATGATTTACTGCTTTAATTCTCACAAATAAACAGCTTTTCAATCATCATTTCATTTGAGGCAATGATTTTTGAATGTATAAATTTAATTTGCTGTTGGATAAGTAACAAGTTTTTACATATAATTTCATTTTTAATCAACATTCTTAAATTTGAGGACAAAACCTTAAGCAACAATTTGTATTTGGTTGCCAGCATCTAAAAAAGCAATTATTCAAATTTAACAACTTAGTCATAGAGCTATTATCCAGGCAAAAATACTGTTTTAAACTACCGAAGTTTCCAATGTTATTTGCTTCTTTTCAAAGCTAATATTTGGGGTACTTGAGAATGGCTACTACTTCATGTTACACTAAACCAATATTGCATGTTGACATAAAGAACCAAATAAGGTAGTTACATACTCAGTGGTCTCTTGGAGCATGTGATCTTATGTAATGAAATTGATCCTGCAAAGACTAAAACCTGAGGAATAGCTTGCTTTATATCTAGTTCCACAATATCTCCAATGTTTGTTACAATTACAATCTAAGTGCTGACTTCTTCATCATTTTAAATTGGAATCAATAATATCATCCTTACTATTATGAAGTATTTCACCATGCTTGCTAAAGGTTCATAAATGAGTTTTAATGATAGTTATAAAAACACAAATATTTATTAACAATAAAAATAACCTATTGCAATATAAATTTTAGTATCTGTAAGTCAACTGGAGACAGTCTCAGCAGCGAGTCGAGTACTCCTTCGCTACTTGCTGGGGGCACTTCGCTCCATCTCTAATTCAGCAGGTGACGACACAGAAGAACCTAAAGGTACTGAAGGAAACTGCACTGAAAGAGTTGAACGTCTATTGAACGCTGTCCGGCGGTTGTGCGTGGGCGGGCCTCCAGGTATTTATTCGCGTTTTATATTTCCTCAAAGTTTCGTACTGTTTCTCAAATAACTACCAAATTATTTAAATAAATAATCTGTTGATAGTGACTGTGTTCTTATTGCTGGAAAAATAAATTTTTAATAATGGCAATCTAATTGATTTAATTTCTTTATAATGCACTACTCTTATCAAAAGTAGTTTGACAGCATCTCGACTATTTTGCGGTTGTCATAGTTGCTTACTAGTAAGAATGCAGAATATAAAAAATGACCATTTTTATTCTTAAAAACATTGATTGGAAGAAAAGCGTGTAAGTGACGCATTCATAAATAAAATATAACCGTATCAGTCAGTGAAGATATGTGGTATTTTTTTATTTGCCAAAAACTCCCAATACATAACAATTATAGACTGCATTGACAAATCTGGGGAAAATAATACCTAGTTCGCAAACATACTATTAAGAGTATGATCACTCATACAGTATTAATTTGCTTGTCACATTTTATATATGAATGGGAACAACATGGTTGCCTCACCTGAATGACTTCAATTAATAGAGAAACGAGATGTAGTACTTTTATCAGATTATCAAGATTTTTTGAGGACTCAATCAAAAAGCTAGCTGAAGTGATGCAGTGACATACACAAGTCAATATCAGATTCAAATAAGACTTGGTTTTGGAAAAAACAACAAATGCGACATAAAGATAAGCAAATGTAAAACCTTAGTTTTTTTGTAATGTCAACCTCATACATTTTTCTCATCATATCATTGATACAAAAATAGAAAGATACCAATCCTTAGAGCTAATTTTTGATATTAGGTTTACATTTATGGGTTAAAAATAAGATATAGGGATATTGTATTAGAAATTGGTCAAGCTGTGATATTGATTGTGATGATCTCAATGGGATTCTGTCCCATCATGGACATAATTATACTGTGTTGATCTGTGCATTGCAAGGTGATTCTTATTAATTGGTATTCATCCATTTTTCTTATTTGTCTATTATAGAGCAACTATAATAGTGTTTTATATAGCAACTGTAACCATATTCCACTTGTTATTAAATTTTGTTTCTTTTTTTGTATCTACCACATATACGTGTATGACTGATGTCTTTGCTATATTAGTTTTAATTGTATTCTTCCTGCTATTTGGTGTACCCCATTGGATTGAAGATTATTTTTATGATGAGAAGTTTTGTTTTTCATATACTCCTTATGTGGTATAAGTTATTTAACAAATATTATTAAATAAACTATTATCTATTAGCATCAAATGACATAATTCATGTTCAGGTCGTTTGGCGGCTGCAGAGGCAGCTAGGTTGGTGGATGCAATGAAGGGAGAGGGTACACAACAGCATTCACCTGCTGTCAGCGAAAAAGACGTCAGTAACAAGCAAGAGGCGTCGAAAAACCGCTCAGATCTCTCCGTGAGCATATTCGAACAGTTGACATTACCCCTCAAAGATGGACATACGACAACCTCTTCAGAACAAGGCGCTAGTGGGTCCGCCAGTGCGCCTGAACCCTCGCCCAGTAGTGACCCCACTTCTGAAATTAATGTAAGATATCTTCTTTTATTTTGAGAAACATTGGTGTATGAGAGTCCATAGGTACAAAGTACATACATATTTGAAATTGTAATTCGGACTCACTTACAATTGCATGATTTTTAGAATTATGGAGTATATATGTGCTACACACTTCAAAAAATGAATGTATACCAACAAATAACTTTTTTCAAACAATGGATTACTCGTCGTAGTAAATAGAATTATTGTCTTGTTACTCCAGCCTATGTGTTTTTTATCAATGATCCTTTTATGGTAGTGTTTATTGAAGATGAACATAATTTTATTCATTTGTTTCAGAAATTGTTTTTGAAGGCCAACACGGAAAGTCTGCAAGCACTTAGAGCTGGTGATACTTTAGTAGATCTATGTCTTAGTTTACCAACAATAAAGAGAGCAAAGACCAAAGTAGAGGAAGCTTTAGCTGGAAAACCATTTAGTATACCTACCAATCACACTGAGGCGACCGCCTTGAAAAATGCGTAAGTTTAAGATCAATGCGGCATTTTATAAAGTTTTGTTCTTGCTCATGTGCAACGCCTGAAAATGATAGTGTCTGCTTAAATAATACATCCCATGTGCATGAAGAAAGTTTTGAATGCAAGAAAATCTTTTGCATTAATATCTTAGTCTTGTGTATTCGCCTGGTTGCTTGGTGATATTGCTTTCCAGCAAATGTCTGAAATGTTTGTGGTTCGGATATTAATGGAAATAACTGACATTTGGTATATTCGAGTTAAAACGTCGAAATATTCGCACCGTTACCAGGTTTCAATTGCCCCACATGGCACGGATTTGAACATAGAGACCACGCCTATATTCCACTATCAGTGCGCGGCGATCGATTCAGGACCCCACTATGCACTTCGCTCCCGGCAAATACTATAATTTGATAGTTGACGGTGCGCGCATAATTTCAACGATTTCTGAAAATATCAGTTTATTTTTTTGTTCGGGAGCTAAATTCAGATTCGTGAAAACGGGGAAATGAAACAACCAAGAAATGGAGTGGGTATAGTTATATTACTTTCGAGGCTTGTTCTGGTGCCGGTTGACGCTTCTCAAATGCATCCATTTTCGGCAAGGAAGAAAGAATCTTTGGTTTTTCGTATCACTAAATCTTTAAAAACTAATTTCGTGATCTAAGATATTATATTGATGGACAAGGCATCGTATTTTTCTCTTGCTATATTTGTCAAGAGAATGCCTAGGTAGTGAGGGCGCGATCACTTCAAATGGGCTGATGCTACGTCATTTCATTTTTGAAGTACTCTATCTTCATCTTTAGTAGCTTAAGCTGCCTTAATGACATATCATCAATAAACGCGCACTTAGCATAAACAAATACGCCTTATTCTCCTCGCTTCCAACATCTTTACAGCATATCACAAAACGCGTAAAACTTCTTATATTTTATCAGATATGAAACACCGTGTTTTGTTTGAATATTATTTCTATAACTTTTTTCAATTTGAAACATTTATTTATATAGATTATGTTACATATGATTTCTTTGGTGTATACAGGGAGGCCAATATACACCTTAGGAAAAACCATTGTTATACATGGGAAATCATTTCTTGGCAACAGCGCATCGGCTCGTCTACTTTCATCGCTATTCGTACATATTTCCTACCGTTAACCGCAGACCTGTATCACGAATGAGAATAATAGGCAGATACGCTGTGTTGCCAATTTGAGTAGAGCTTCCCGAATTGTGGGGAATTTAGAGTTAAGTGTTGATTCATTCAAGCTTTTAATCAGCATGGCCTAGACGTTAGAACTTCATAAAGATAACATTGAAGCTGAATGCTGCTGGAGTATAGTGTTTCGAATATTCAAAGCGGAGCGGGACACTATACTCGTTCAATGGGTCATCAAGCCACAGTCTTTTCAACAAAGAAATTATTTTACGAAAATGCGTTATATTTTTACGATTTTGTCGTCACCAAATCTCTGTTTCTCAAAATGTACGTCTATTGTAGAATTTTAGAATTTAGAAGCAAGAAACGTGATCTAGTATTTACTCAACATTACGGATTTCTCGAAATACATTAAAAAATGTGACCTATACCTAACTGCCCCAAGCTCTTTAAATATGACACCTTAAACCCGGGTTACCAGGTGCTCAGTCACGTTGATTGTCATGTTGTACTGCGCAAGTCAGCAAACATTCTGGCGTAATAAACGTTAGGAATTATCAGGTATTGCCAGATTCCCGAATACCGGGCACCATAGTAACCGTTATAGTTGTCCTTCCAAGTTGTCAAATCGCCCCTATGGCGCAAATTCGCCACACCAGGCAACTGTGCTATAAACAAACCCTGTTTATCACTACTATTTGATAGTCATATGGTATTTGTAGCCCTATCTAGCGGTCCATGATTTCTCTCAATACTGTTGTATCTCTACTGGCAACAAGAATAGGGATTACAAAATCATTTATACAACAATATACAAACATGAAAAATATGATTTGAACCATGAAACATTAATACAATTTTTTCATTTTTGGAATACTCTTATGTGGAATCCGCAGCTATTTTTCCCAAAATTTGGGTAGACTTAGATTTCTTAGAAATATGACATATTGGTATCGGCAATTCTGCGAATGGGAGAAACAAATCGCATTTGTTGAGCGCATCCGTCTAAGCGGTAGGCGCCAGCGCCCGTTCTGCCATCTCTCTCTTTTATCACTCTTCTACTTTACCCCGTTGTCCGTCACACTCCGACGCTGCCACATAGGATCCTACAATCGAGTGTCTTTCACGCACCTACATACTTTTGTATATTTCCATCTCTCTTCCTCATGATAATGTATAATAATGTTTTTTCCCAAGGTGTATACGTTTTACTTGAATAATGAGTCGATTTTTGCAAAGATTCGGAAGCTACAAGATTTCGGTCGAAATAATGTGCCCATTGTCAACACCATTCGTCAGTTGGTGAGGAAATTTGAACAAACAGGTGAAGTTAAAGACTTGCCAAGGTCGGGTCGTGTTCGAACTCTTCGTACTCCGGAAAATATCGAGGGAGTTCGTGAAAGTCTAGTGGAGCTCCCTGAGACGTCTACCAGACATCGTTCTCAAAAACGGGGTATTCGTCGCACGTCATTATGCACTATTTTAAAAAAGACTTGCATTTGCGGCCATACTAAATTCAGTTCTCTTACTGTCACTGGCGAGCACTACCGTGATATGGTGCAAAACTTTCTGGCTCCTCAAATCTAACAACTTAACATGCAAAACATGTGATACCAGCAGGACGAAGCAACTTGTCACACAGCTAGGGAAACAATGAATCTTTTGCGAACAATATTTCTCATTTGGTGATGTTAACTGGCCAGCAAGGTCACCGGATTTAACGGTTCCTGGCTTTTTTATGGGGCTTTTGCCAAAAAACCAAATACTGTAGAGCAGCTGAAGAACAATATTACGGAAGCGATTGAAAATATTCCTCCCAAAACCTACCAAAAAGTGATGGAAAATGTAATCAAGAGGGCTCAGGTTTGCGCAGCTTCTAGAGGCGGACATTTGTCTGATATTATTTTTCATACATGATTTCTAAGTTTCAATAAAATATTAAGATGAAAAAATGGACGTATTTTATTTGACTTCACAAATATTCAAGATACAAACCAGTCAGTTACATATCGGCCACCCTGTATATACATAATGATAAAAAATATATTGCTTCTGTATACATTCAATATGTTGGGAAAGAGGTGAAATACTAGGAGGATGATAGGGGTGTAGGATCAAATATTATTAAGTATAGTGCACATGATGCTTAATTTTGGCGACTGGATTTGACTTTGCTGGCTTGATTGGCTAGTTGGATCATCTACTTTAGTTGAAATCGGCTTCACTGCTTTGTCTTTCTGGTATTTTCAAGAAATTCCTTGTTGACAGTGCCACTTTTTATTATGCATCGGAACATTGCAGCAAGGCTATATGTTAGTACCAGGTAGATGTATGCTATTTTCGGTTTCACTTTGAGTGGAAGCCAATGATTGGAGACAGACCTTCAGATATGAAACACTGTCTTTTGTGTCAATATAATTTCTATCCACGACTCCTGTTCTCTAGAACGAGGGAATAGAATTACGTAGAGAAAGTGGGCGTGGCTCTTTTCTAGGAACTGTATTTCTGAACATTGACTGAATAAAAACATCTTATTTAACCAAAAATAGATGCATTCACAACTTCATTTGATCAACGTCAAAATGCAGATCAAAAGTTGTCAGAAAATGTAATAGAGCACTTTCTCTACTAGTTATTCTATTCCTTCGATTCAATAATTGGGTCCCATCTGTGCAACTGTTATTGTCATCACCAGAATGTTCAATTTCATTAAAACCTACATAACTGGTACATCTCTGCAGTTTTTAGTGGCATCAACTAATACCAACTCCTTACATTACAGACTACCAGCAACTGTATCCGAGATAATCCTCGTCGCCTCTGCTTTAAACCTCCCAGTGCTGGAACCCTTAACTCCCAGCAAATTGGACAAACTATGCAGTCTAGCCACGGCTGCATTATACTGCGCCGTTGCACAAGCGGCAGCCGGTGCGGTGCTGTGCGCCTCGACGACGCCGGCCCCCAAGGGCCCCCCGGGGACACAGCAGGGTGCGGGTGGTGCTGGGGGCGTCGCCAAGGAAGATGACGCAGAGGGCGGTGCAGTCACGCTGGTAGAGGAGGTGCTGGAGTTGTACGGGAACATCGGCGCCACTATCAAGGGGTCCACTAGGGCTGGAGGGCATGTAAGTTGGAAGTTTGTATATATTAGTTTCAAATCTAGGCTAAACTGGTCATCCTACATTGATTATTTATTTTCCAGACTGTCTACACAATTATTAGTTCTTAGGTAGCTATGCAGATGCCTTGATAACCATACTTTTCCGGAAGTGTACTACATGTTCCACATTACATATGGCAGAATGCTCTGGAGAAACTCGGTAGCATATAACAAAATTTTCATTTTACATAAAAGGGCTTTGAGGATAATTAGTAATTCCAGCTATGGATCAACGTGCAGAAATCACTACAAAAATTTACAAATATTACCACTTACATCTATTTACATTTCTGAAGACCTTAAAACTATGTAATCACTTACTAGGCTGCTTTTATTTCCAGGTATATCAAAACTACCTTCTAGCTGGCGCCTGGGTGCTGATTTCTGGCCTGCAGGCTCATTTAGCAGCGACGACGTCAGCAACCAGTGAAAAACCGCCACATTCTAGAGACAGAGAAGAGAAAGGCAGAAGCCCTTGTAAAGGTAGAGAATCGCAATCAGCAGGTAGTGGTAGATCAGGGTTGCAGAAATTTCAACAGTCATTCGGTGTTCTGAGCGTTGCTCTGGCAACGAGGGCATTAGGGTTGCTGTCGGAATTATTTGAAGATCTCCATTTGGAAGTTTGCGGAGGAGCCGCAAGTGTAGTGCAGGTAGGTAACCAACTATTCTCACTCTAGGCCGATGTTTTCGCAGTACATGAGGTTTCAAACATTGATGTATTATTCAAGCAATTTTGACTATTGCTATTATGTGTTTCAAACTACCGAAGTTTAAACCTAAATATTATTCAAGCCCCATTTGTACAAGCTCAAACACGAGTATGTTATTTTATTTCCAGGTGGAGCCGGCGCCACTAGCAATAATGGGTCAATTTACAGCTCTCCAAAGGGTAGCCCGAATTCTGAGCGCAGCGCCGTTAAATCATCTGTTGTTTTATCTAGCTATAGTCAGTTATAGAAAAGCTTGCACCTTGAAAAGGTTGCATCCGCCAGAAGGTGATACCTTCAGTCAATCTGACTCCACAACATACTATGAGGATATGATCATGTGCTCGGATGAGGGATCCACCGATGAAGGTAAGAAAATATTCTTTCCTCGGCCGCGCAAAAAAGTACGTTTCGTGACACACCGTCGAATATTTAGATTTGTAGTTTCACCTACGTATCAAAGTTACGACGAAATATTTATAGCTCTTAAAATTTGACATTGATTTTGATGTTTTTCTAAATTTAAATATCCTTTTTTCAGACGATGACAGCGAGCCGATATTGGGTCAGTGGTTCGAGGAAACGCTGGCACCGCCAGAACCCGCCGATTCGAAAACCCCGTCTAGTTCTGAGAATGCAGAAACGAAGACTGCCCAATCGGAGAGAGCCAGGTCGATAGTACCAGATAAAGGCGAGGCCCATGGATACATCCTCCTGGCGACGAATATATTCGTCTTTCTGAACAGGCATTTTCTCAGCTCGAAAAGCGCTTATATTGTCAGATACGTGAAAACCGGACTGACCGAGCAACAAATGATTATTCTCTCCGCGATCATCAGGTAAGCACTTTGCTACTTATCTTTTGTAATATTACAAGACAATATGGATTTTAAACATCTGACAAAAATAACCTTCTACAAGGTCACGCAATGCTCTTTACAATTATTGTACTTCAAGTTACCGGCTGCACGCCCACTGAGAGGCTGCTACGTGAAGAGAACCGTGAAATTTGTCATTTACACAAGTCAAACGTGACACTTTGGTTCGCGTTGGACCAGCGTGCGTGATCCCATTTGATTATACCGTGCTCATCTTTTACAGTTGAAGTCGGCCGGCACGGGTATTATGTAAAAAAACCTAGAGAACGTCAAGCAAAACCCATAAATAGTCATCTTGCAAACTAGGTAGTTTTTAGGGTGCAAACAGACATTCCACGTTTGCTCACTAGGGTCGTTGTGAGCGTCCATCTCTGGAGAAATGGCTCAACTACATGCATTGATGGTTGCATATGTTTTGTGAAACCGAGTAGTCTATAGTTTTCATCTCTGAGAAGAAAGTTGGTTGAATAGATAGACCGCATCTGGATGATTATGTGTATTGGTCTGCATGTACAGGAATGGACAAAAGTATATAGACAAAAATGAATATTTACCTAAATACCTTTAGAAAACGAATTCATACTTCATTGCTCCATAAACAAATGCGTTATTAGTAGAAAAACTAAATTCCTTGTTTTTACATTATCTGCACTGAATACAGTCTGAATATAAGCACTTTTTATGAGGGACAAAAATATGTAGACAAATTCTTTTCAACATTAGTTTAGTACAGTTTCATGTCAGAAGAGGATTAGTTTGTGTTCATCAAGTATTGTGGAATAGGTTGAGTGATTTTAAGACCATGCCAAGTGGTCCAGAAATTTCTATCGATGTGAAAACTAAGATCATTGAGTTATACAAAGATGGTCAACGTCAAGTCAACATTGCCAAACATTTGAAGCTGAAGCGTAAAGCAGTTAAGGCAATATTGAACAAATATAAACAAAAAGGTATCTTGGAAGCCTCTAAGAGAAATGGTCGGCCTAGAAAACTAAATGCTAGATCAGTTAGATTAATAAAAGTAATTTCGTCCAAAGATCCGTTTAAAACCCCAAGACAAATAAAAGCCGAAATCGATACAAAAGGAATTGTCAGTGTTTCTACGAAAACTATAAGTAGAAGATTAAATGATTTGAAGTTATTTGCACGTCGCTCGAGTAAGAAGCCGCTAATCTCGAGGAAAAACTCTAAGGACCGATTCCAATTTGCACGGTTGCATTTTGATTGGAGCATCTGTGACTGGAAGGGGGTATGTTTCAGTGAGGAATCCAAGTTTAATATGTTTGGATCAGATGGTGTTCATTACGTTAGACGTCCTAGTGGACAAAGATTGAACCCCAAGTACACTTTGCCCACTGTCAAACATGGAGGCGGGTCCGTTATGGTTTGGGGGTGCTTTTTGGGGTTTGGGATGGGACCTTTACATAGAATAGATGGCATTATGGATAAGTTTGTATACACAGACATACTAAAGCATGTCGTATTACCCTATATGGAAGAGAATATGCCCTTAAGATCAATCTTCCAGCAAGATAATGACCCGAAGCACACTTCAAATCTCAAGAAATTCTTTCTGGATGAAAAAATACCATTTCTCAAATGGCCTTCACAGTCTCCCATATAAACTCCATTGAAAATGAATGGGAATACTTAGATAAGCAAATACGAGATAAAAATTATTCAAACAAGGATGAACTTTTTGCCGCTTTAGAGCAAAAGTGGAGACAGGTTGATGAATCTTATATCAAGAAACTTCTACAATCTATGCCGAGACGATGCCAGGCGGTGATTGATAATAATGGTTATGATACAAAATATTAACACAAACATGGTTGGTTTTCTATAATTCAATGAACTTTGCTTTTTTTTTCTAACATATAATTGTTTTGCTTTGTCTATATATTTTTGTCCTTCATAGTTCCAGATTTTTTTAATTAATTTAATTAATTTTTTATTGACGGGAGTCTAATGAATTTATTTATGTATAAGTATTATGCTATAACGAATTATGTATACAGGTTGGAGTATTAATAAAACAAGTTAAAAAAGAAATACAGCCCAATATTAGTTTGTCTATATACTTTTGTCCATTACTGTATATAAAATCAGTGTTCTACTGTGTGAGAAAATCATTACTGAATATGCTGCCAATGACAGCGAGGAAGGCACCGACGATATATTTATAGACAGACGATTTAGATGCCGCGGTGGAAAGAATGATATTTGAACCAGAGGCGTATCATAATGCATATATCACCGCACTAACAACAAAATAATAATCGATTATTCAAGCTGTGGACTTCGCGTCGGCCGTATGTTTTTTGGAACATTCGATAAGTTAGGTTATGTGTATATAAAGAGGTTCTGTTTTCAAATGAGATATATGAAATTCTCCCAACGTATAAAAATCTCGCAGGTGAATGCAAAATCGATTTTAGGATCGTGCCGTAAGATGTAGAAATTCTGGAAATATAGTAGGCGGACAAAAGTTTGGAAACATTCTTAGTAAGTTTTTAAAAAGTGAACTAATTTTGTATTCTGTATTGTTAAGGACTATTTTTTTCTCATATATTTGCTTACAGTCTTGAGGATACAAATGACAATTTGTGTTTGCTGTGGTACTACAGACTAGCATTAAAATACCTTCATATTATTTTATGAGCAAAAATGCGACGACAAAAGAATGGAAACATTTTTATTACAAAATTAAATACAATAAATTTACAAAAAGATTTAAAAAATCCTGTTTAGGTAACATTTGGTAGCATTAGGCTTTAGCATTCAACACTGCCTGACATCTGCTGCATTTTTTACAGACGTCTGTTGGGATATTTCGCCAAATATTTTTTACATAATCAAATAAATCGTTCCTATTTTTGAAAGTTTTTCTCAGTTGCCTTTTAAGAAGCTCCCAGAGATGTTCTATAGGATTTAGGTCCGGGGATTGTGAATGCCATGTAAGAACATTAAACATTTTTTAGCCTTAACCAGTCCTTTACGAATTTTGAGGTATGCTTAGGGTCATTATCTTGCTGGAATGTCCATCATAAAGGCATTTCTTCTTCAGCAAAAGGGAGCATGTAGTCACTAAGAATATCTTTGTAAAGTCTTTGGTCCATTTTTTCAACAATTTTAACAGCTGGACCCTTTCCAGAACTAGAAAGACAGCTCCAAACCATGATGTTGCCTCTACCGTGTTTAAGTGTTAGTAACTGATACTTTTTGTCGAATCTTTTTCGTATTGGATGTCTCACATTTGCCGTACCTTCAGATCCAAACAAGTTAAATTTGCCTTCATCCTTCCGTAAAACTATTCCATTGTTGTTCTGTCCAAGTTAGATGAGTTTTAGTGTTTTTTTTTTTTTTGAAATGAGAGGCTTTTGCACTGAACGCCTACCAAAAAGCCCAAAATCCACCAAGCGTCTCTGCAATGTTCTGAAAGAAAGATTCTCGGCACCCTCTTCTACGATTCTTCTGTGTGGCTGGAATTCGAGGATTTTCATGGGACAATCGTTTAATGTAGCGATCCAAAACAAACTCTTTTTTTTTTCGGTCTTCCGCACCTGGGCTGCGTTGCTGTAGATCCGTATTCTTGGTATTAACTAATAATTTTCGAAATCGCCCCTTTGTTCATTTTTAATCTTTGAAAAATGTCAACATTTCTGACACTACTTCTAAATAATTCAATTATTTTGTCTCTTAAATTTTTTGAAAATTCTTTTACTTTTGCCATTCTCAATGATGTTAATATTTACCATACGTAATATGAGAGTATCACAGAACAAATAAATACGGCAAAACTGAAATGTTTCCAGACTTTTGTCGTTATAAAAACTGTGATGTTTTACAAAAAACGCGTGTTTTCATTTTCAGAGGATTTGAATATTGATAAGATAAACCTTGTATTAGTATGGGAGCCAAAGGTAGACTTTAATATTTATATTATCTGTTCCTTCAAAATTTTAATTTAGGTATATGAAATAGTTCATAATAATGTTAATATTTGTTTCCAAACTTTTGTCCGCTACTATATTGTAGATGTTTTCGTCTCAAAAAAATAAAATACGTCAGCGTTTTTTTTTTATTTAAATACTTGAATATTTCTATTAATATGATTTTAGTAAGAAGTCATCGTTAAATTTCATGTTTTATTTTGCAATTTTATAATGCATTTGCACTTCGTATTATAGAGTGTGTTTCATCCGGCGGGAAATACTGGTTTGGAGTGCAATCACGACTGCTATTTTTTAAAACGAGGGAGGAGAATCACCGAGCGGAAAGTGGCCGTGGTTCTCTTCCCTGGGCGATGATATCAAATTCTGACAGATGTTGACATATGTCAAACAAGTTTAACATTAACAAAACCTACACCTTCTGACTAATATACACAAGATACATGGGTCACTTATGTAGGACTTTTTCTTCATTCTATTATAAAATGTATGTTTGGGTTATCACATTGGTTAACATATTCCACCTACATGTAGTCACGAATCACTCAGTGGCATGCTGTTGGTTACAATTTTTGTATTCAACTTTTTAAGATACGTACCATGTGTAATAACTGAGTGGTTGACTAAGCAAGCACTAAGAACCCATCCTGTATATCAGGTAGAAAATTAGCTGGTCAGAGTTAATAGGGTACATGTGAGAAATTGAACAAAATAACAATGCCATACTTCAAAGCTTAGCGTATTAGTAAGGTAAAATTTCAATAATTAAGGTGAACTTCCAATCATTGGTGTATTCTTGAAAAGCAGCTTTTCGTGAAGTAGGTAACCTCATAACTCTAGGCACGAAAACTATAGAATGTCTCGCATGGAACAATTCTTGTTTAAGAGCATAATAGGATAATATGCTTAAATTAGTATTGGCACTGCTTAGCATTTTTATCACTAATGACTATTGTAATATTACCTAACGCTTTTTGTGAGTTCAAAGACAGAATGGACGGTAATTGAATCAGCATTAAGTCGCAGATGCCCAAATTGCATCAGTCATGATCACCAAAACACTTTTTTGAAAGCAGACAAAAGCATACTTTGCGAACTGATGGTGTTTTTCGAGCCCCATAAGTGATACCCATATTATAGACCTTGTAGGTTTGTACAAAAATAACGGAAGTCCTTTAAATCGAAAGTTGCCCTTAAAATACACATTTTGATTGAAATCATTAAGTATTGGACGGCAACCCTACGCCACTGGAGTTCCTAACCTAAACTTTTAAATTCACGTACAGATAAAAAGATAAACATTCTGCTACAGTCTGCTGACTGTATACCTTGCAAACACAGGCTTGGCGAAATTTTGTAAACAGATGTCTATCTCTGTTTGTCGTCGTTTCTCTCACCTACACATTGAAACTAGGCCGACCTGAACCGTAAATGATCCGCACGGTATGTACCAAAGACCCCAGCAGAAAATTTCCGTTCTCTTCCCCTCAATAGGTGTGCACCTTAAGGCTGTCTCAGAATTCAAGTGTCAAGTAGCTTGCATTTTTTATTGTTTGCAGGGATTTGGATAGGGAAACGGCGAGGTCAGAGCCGTGGACGGTCCCCGCGGATGGCGGACAAGCATTGGGCCAGTTATATTGTGATTTTTCGGGGTCTCTCACCAGGTTTACTCATAATCTAATCACAAACAACAACTTAAACAATCTGCAGGCATGCCTGTTGAATCATCTTGGAGTGTCGCCATGGAACACTGATGTACCACATGCTTGGCCCTTGCAAGTCTATCCCAGAACATTGGCTGTGTTGGCGCAGGTAATAATTTTCATCAGGCATAACGATTCTGCACCCAAAGTGTCAGGCTAAGATTACTTCCTTATTTCAAACCTATCATATGAATAAAATAAATTTATATGAATTAACTGCTTTCAGGTGTTACTTTTAAGGCCACAAAATGAAAAAGAAGCGTCTGTGATAAGTATTTGGCATAGGTTGGTAAATACATTGATAGAAAATGTCCTGAACCCTCCAACGTCTTCGTCTACCGATTCGGAAAATGAAGGTACATTTTTTTTTCATATTAGGCGCCCATTTGTAAAAAAAATGATTGAATCCCTGAGGCATTTATCATTTGCACTCGTCAAACTTATCACATTGTTTTCCTTGGCTTCACACCAGTGCGCGGGCTTTTGTTGGATTGACTCTCCTCTCCTTTTTGCTTCTCTTCCCCTCGATGGGCAGTCTCTGACATAATGTACATATTTCGAATTTTTCCAGACTTGAACGTGGAACATGCCCAAGTCCTGTTGTACCTCTTCCACTCACTGAACTTGATGCAGAAAAAATCTGTAGTACTTCTGATGGCTGGCGGTGTTCTTCGCTGCTCAGAAGTGGCTAGAGGTCCTTTGAAAGGCACACAACTACTGCACCTATCCCGACTTTTACTTTTATTCGACTATATAATGAAACACCTATATGATGCTCCCACGTCGCTCCTAGAGCAGATACAGTGGAACTTGTTCTATGCAACTAACTTGAATACTAACAAAGATGTTGCTGCGAAGTCCATGACAAAGATGTACACAGCTTGGCAAGATATCGAGGTGCACTATAGAAAAATTGCGGTTCCAGACGAGTTTGAAATGAAACCAAGATTTTATGTACTGACCAACTTGGAAATTAGCAACCAGGATGCTCCGAAACTCGATGGCTTGGCATGCAATTTCATTTTGGGCACTCCAGATAAGTTGAGGTATCCTTTACTGCTGGATGCCTTAATAGAGATTCTTAATATCACGCATGTTACATCCGGTACGTCAGCTTCTAAGATGAGCTTCTTGGGATTGTGTGCGGCACAGTACTGTTTTACAATTTGCTGGAGGTAAGTTTTTTCAACGACTTTTGTTTTATGGCGAAGGAATGTATCAGAATTGCGCGAACGTTCAGTCTCGCCTGAATTTATCGTAATTAATTGCAGAAGTCCGCCGGCTGGTGAGATCTTGTACTGTTTGACATTTTTTGCGGGATTCTCTAAAAATAAAGACTATTTAATCAATTCGCAAATATTTCTCAAGTTAGTGGTGCAACTGAAGAGTAATTGCCGAAATTCTACGTGGGTAATGGTAATCTATAGAAACAGCTGAGAAGGACATTTATTATTATTTGGAGATTGTTATTTATACTGAGTGACAAAAAAGGTGAACACCTACGTGTGCTTATTAGAATTCAAGACAAGTGATAAAATGGTCAGGTTTTTCTGTTTAGTGCTTTGTGGTAGCTGCATGTATTGTTTGGTGATAAAGAAGCATTTAGTTTTCGTACATTTTCGGTATCAGTTAAATGTTAAATTTCGCGTAGCTTATTGATTGTGATTGCTCAAAATGCCTAGAGTGCGTAGAATTCTCCGTGTGTCCCAGCTAAGTGACTTGAGAGGAGTCGAATTGTCCGGTTGCGTGAAGTCGGTCTATCGATAAGAGAAGTTTCTAGGAGGATCAACAGATACACAGTATCCTGCAGTGTGAACGAACGTGGACTCAGGATGGCCGAGGATAGCGATCGATGGGTTCTGGACGTCCCTGAGGGACCACAGAGCGACAAGACCGCCGGTTAAGAGTTCTGGTTCTGAGAGACAGATTCAGTAGTACTCGAGCCATCGCTAATCAGTGGTTTGAAGAGCATGGAAGGATGGTTGGTATGCCTACGGTATATCGACGATACGACAGTTTGGCTTTTTTTCTTATTGCCCACATTGGGTGCTACCTCTCACAGTTGAATATCGACGTAACCGTTTGCTCTAGTGTAGAGAAAGAATTCTGTCTAACCGGGAATGGAAACAGGTGGTCTTTAGTGACGAATCCCGCTTCTGTCTGGGGATGCACGATGGTCGGGCAAGAGTGAGAAGACGACGTGGTGAGAGACGTGACCCACAATTTGACAGAGAGCGTCACGTTCACCACACCGTAGGAGTTATGGTATGAGGTGCTATCGCTTAAGGCACCAGATCCTCACTAATTTTCATCAGGGGCTATATGACAGCCCGACGCTATATTCAGGAAGTAGTGGAGCCTCATCTTATTCCATACGTAAACACCATCCAAAACCCGATTTTTCAGCAAGACAATGCCAGAGCATCGTTAGCCTTCATGGATCAACATCGCATCAATCGTTTACCTTGGCCACCACTATCGCCTGATCTATCTCCAATTGAACATGTCTTGGACATGATAGGACGCAGGCTCTTGAATTTGCAACACTCTCCACAGACTTTAAGCTCTTACTCACGAAGTTGCAGTAGTCTGGAATGAGATAGTCCAACCGGATATCGACCGCCTTATCATCATGATGCCCAGGCGTGTCAATAAATCGTGGATCCTCCACACATTATTGAACCAGCTTCGACGAATCAAGCTGAAAATTTGAACATGTTACTAGTAAGGGACACTGAACATATATGCCAAAAATTATTAAATCGTATAAACGTAGATAGTTGTTTACCTTTTTTGTCACTCAATATACAGGGTGTCCCGAAAAAGGTGTGCAATATTCTAACAGCGGTTTCTAGAGCTTAAAATGGAAAGAAAAGTTTATATAAACATAGGTCGACAAACGTCCCTAAGAGCGCTATGGTCTTTTAAAGGGCCTCCCCTGAAGATGGTTTTTCCTTAATATTTCCGAAACGTGTTGAGATAAAGACATAAAATTTGGTATTCTAGCCTAGTTTTTTTATGCTGGATTTAAAAATATTAACAATTTTAGACAGTTTTGTTTGGAAGCGTATGTAACAAGCCCCAAAATTTTTGTGTGATTCTATTTTTGAAATTCATTTTTAGAATTTGAAAATTTAGGGTTTTCTACATAAACTCTTATTGAATATCGATAAATTGTGCCATTTTTGAATAAAATCAAACTAAAAAATTTGTCACATGATAGGAAATGTACTACGAATTTAAATGAATTGTTGAATAATTAGCCATGGCAACGAAAAAACTAATTTAATAATTGGTAAATATTACATAAATACATATTTCTATTGCAACATAGATAACATTTAGGCAAAAACAAAAGAAATAAATTTTTTCTACGAACGAAATTCAAATTTGTTTAAAAAAGAAGACATACGGTTGGATATACTTAAAACTAGCTTTACAATAAGTGTTCAAATAAATTTCCATTTTGTTGGATACAGAGTCTCGCTCGACGAACTAATGATTGCGAAAAGTGGAAAACCTTTTTCTTCTTATTTCATTTGCAGCATGATGGATTCTTTGAAGTAAATCTTCTTGAGTATCAACTTCAGTCAAGTAAACTATGTCTTTTAATGACCCCCAAAAATAGAAATCCAATGGATTTAGGTCAAGTGAACATGGCGTGGCAGCCACACTATAGGACCTTCTCGGCCTAACTACCTGTCTGGAAAATTGACATTCAACCAATTTCGAACATTGCGTCCAAAATGTGCACGGGCGCCATCATGTTGAAAAAACATATTTTCTTGAAACTGCTGGTGCACATCCAATGGTATTATATCCATGAGCTCATTCTGAAGAAAGTTCAGATACACCTCTGAATTAAGACGATTGGGAAGTACAATAGGCCCAATTACTTGATCCCCAATTACTCCTGGCCATAAGTTCAGTGAAAATCTATGTTGGAAATTTGTACGGCGAACAACTTTTGGATTTTCATCTGACCAGTGATGCATGTTATGGAAATTAAAAGCACCATTCCTAGTAAATATTGACTCATCCGACCATAATATTCTAGGAATAGTATTTTCATTTGCAAAAGTCGATTCGTGGTAAAAAATCTGCCTCCTTTACATGCTGCACCTGTTTAAAATGATAAGGATGTAATCCTTGCATTCTTGCCATTCTTCATATCTACAATTATTACTTTTAGGATAACTATCAAATAGGTATTCATAAATTTTTCTTACTATTGATCGAGATATATCCATAATTTCTGAAACATTTCGTATGCTTATTTGCGGATTATTTTCAAACATATTTAAAGCGATATCCATACGATGATTGCCCAGTGGCCTTCCTGAGCCCTGCATGCGCTGAAAACTTCCATAGTTTGACAAATTCCGGTGAATATCAGTAAACATTCGACGTCCAGATACTATGCGATTGGGAAATCTTTGATATTCTCTTACGGCTGCCAATGAACTGCCATTGCAAAACCCGTACACAAAATGCATGTCAGTCAGTTCTCTGTCTGTGAATCTTGGAATTTTAAATCGATTTAATAAAAATTTTGATTTTAATCTAGTAATATTACACTGCTAACAATGTCAGCTTAACGTCAAAATAAGTCATAACAAATCAAAACAACTTTTGTTTGCAGTCATGCTAACTATGTATAATCAACAATTCATATAAATTCGCAGTATATTTCCTATCATGTGACAAATTTTTTAGTTTGATTTTATTCAAAAATGGCACAATTTATCGATATTCAATAAGAGTACGTTTTTTATGTAGATAACCCTAAATTTTCAAATTCTAAAAGTGAATTTCAAAAATAACCTGAGTCCGTCCCTGTTACATACGCTTCCAAACAAAACTGTCTAAAATTGTTAATAGTTTTAAATCCAGCATAAAAAACTAGGCTAGAATACCAAATTTTATGTCTTTATCTCAACACGTTTCGGAAATATTAAGGAAAAACCATCTTCAGGGGAGCCCCTTTAAAAGACCGTAGCGACCTTAGGGGACGTTTGTCGACCTATGTTTATATCAACTTTTCTTCCTATTTTAAGCTCTAGAAACCGCTGGTAGAATATTGCACACTTTTTTCGGGACACCCTGTATAAAACTTACTTCTTTATTATGAATATTCAAGCCTATTTTTCCAAAGTTGGTTTTATTTAAAAAAGCAATACTGATGTAGGTATTATCATTGTCAGTTTTAAGTTGTACTTTGTGATGGCTATCAGCATGAAAACCACTGCATGAGTTTCAGGTGTTACATTACTGAAGTAGGTTTTCGAAAAAAAAACATTCGACTGAAACAGCTCTTCAGTATATAATAGAATAGAGATCAACCAAGGACATGGATGTATATATCGTTGCTGTTCTTATTAACATCATGCGAGTGTTTAAAACCGTCGACAAAACAAAATTGTTAACCAAATTATTGTCATATAGATTGCATAATAAAGTTTACAGTGGTTTGGAAGTTAATAAAAAAATCGTACTCAAATTACAAAAGTGAAATCATTGTTCTGTCAAAAGATCATAAAATGACAGGCGTTTCACAGAGATCCATTTTAAGACCTTTATTGTTTATATCATAAATGATTTGCCGAATATGTTAGATTAACATAACACCCAAATATTTTCGCCGACACTTTAATATACATTAAGACAAAAAACATTTATAACAGAATAGAAATGTTGATCAAAGAACTGCATTTTGTTACAAAGTAGTTAAAATCGAATAAATTAAATACAGCAAAAGCTAAATGTTCAACATATAAATCTGTTGGACCATCTACTCTCCAGAAGTCTGTGCCATCACTCTAAGCTTTATCTGATAAGACGGTATTTATAGGTGCCAACTAGGCCTTTTTATATTTTTTTAGGTTACTGCAACTACTACCCCCTTCAGCCCCTTACATGGACCGACTGGCCGCCGGAGAATGTCCTGCACCAGGACCGCTGCTTCTCCATACACTTATTTGGGGCCCCAGGACTGCCCATAAAAACTTTATAAGATGGTTTAAAGATTGCCTTGTGAAACAAGGTGTCTACACCCAACATGCTGACAAATTGCTTAAAGCTGCCGCAGATGCTGTGTCAGATCCTAAATATGACACTACCAATGCAAAGAATTGCATAGTGGCCTTGACACCAGATGTGAAGAAAGGTAACGATTGCGTTACTTTAAAAGAAAGCACCTAATTAACGTTTCCGTTTTACTTACTAAAAAAGACGAAATAAATAAAAAATCACCGAATCTCATTTCCAGACAAATTTTTGAGAAGCTTAAAATTTGGGGTTCTTGAGTCAACATACCTAATCAAGCTTCGGTTCAATTTGAGTCTTTTGAGTAGACTTAACCCATTCTTTTTTGAAAGTACATTAGGAGTACGAACGCGTGGCAAGTATAGGCTCACTCTACTTGACGGCGTTGACGCCACTTTTTAATTGATGTAGAGCTTTGATTCAGGCTGGTGAACGCTTTTTATTTTCTTATTTCAAGCTATCAAATCATTTTAGCACCTATTCAAAAACTATAAGTACAATATTTTGAATTTCAAAGCATAGGAAAAAAGTCGCTCTACTTGATTTCCTTTTTTATAGGTATAGTTACAAAGGAAGACCTCCCACCTCTGTGGCACCTCGTCCTTTTGGACGCCCTTCTGGGCAAAGTTCAAGCCTCCACAGAGGAACCAGAATCGGAATCATCTTCGTCCACCTCATCCGAAACCACTGCCCTTATTCAAGATCTTTTACCTCACGTACTTCGCCTCACTCAAGCAATTTTGCACTGTTCTCGTTGGGCGCTACTGCACAATGTGGTGATTCAAGGTGAAGGTGCTGAAAAGATGTCTCTGCCAGACTTTGAAGGATTGCAAGATATGCTTGCCATAACATCGACCAAGAATCAACTGACGAATACCTTAGCGCAGGAGCTCAGCAGTTGTCTACCAAGCACAGTGACTTCTGCCCTGATGTATTCCAATGGACAAATTTTGAAGGAAGTTACACTTGTAAGTAATTCACCAAATGCAAAATAGCAATGCAGCACGTCTGGTCATCTTACTTTCCAAGTGAACTGGCATATAGTGTGTGATTTGGCAATAAATTGGCCACAATTTGATTGCAGAAATCCGTGGGAAGTATAGAGTCAACGTACGGAATTTTTAGTATTAAAACATGAAGTAGTTGTATGGAGCATGAAACATGTATCATCTTTTTTCCAGGAACCTTTTCAAAACGACCTCATACCATCAGAGAGCTACATATTGAAAATAATAGACGCTCACATTCCAACAATGTCAATGTGTAGCGTCAACATGTCGTTGAAACGCCTCCTACAATCTCTGATTAAATTTATTTGTGATCATGCACCGAAAGCGGAAAACACGGACACAAAGAATAAAGCTATTGAAATGTTGGTTTCTGTGACCTTGGACTCAAGGACAGAGTATTTGCATGATACAGTTACAAAAACTTTAGATAAAATGATAGGTGATGCAGAGACAGACGAACATCAGAAGAGGGTGTATCTTAGAGTTTTGGAACACACCTACAGGTACATTGTCATTGGTTTTATTTATTTTGGTATAGACCAAATAAGAGCCCTGAATATTGAGCATATTTTTACACTAATTTATTTCGTAGATTGATCATAAACTGTACTTCACCAAGTCCAGGAAGCTATGGCACACACATAAACGAAAAAGTTCTTCACAACTGTCTTAAATTCTACGAGAAAATCATAGAGAAATCGTCTGGTAGACAAGCACTTGAAGCATTCTTCACAGGTGATAGGGATCTGGTGAAGGTATTGATGTCAGTGTCAAGTCCTCAGATGTCCCAACAGTACAGTACTAGGGTCTTGCATTTCTTCAATAAGTTGTTTCAAGCTGCAGAAAAAAGCTCTACGGACCCTAGCTTGAATTATCTGTGCTCCAGCATGAGTAAACTAGCTAGTGTAGATGGTGAAAAGCTTCAGACGTGGCTGAGACAAATCATAATAGGTAGATATTTAGTACTTTTATGTGAATTATTGATTAATGTATTCTTCAAAATGATGCCCAATCATTGGCTGTATTTAGACGTTCACTTTCAGAAGTTTCGGCATTTAAATATTTAAGAATTCTGCAACTGTTTGAATATGTTTTTTACTGTGGAATTCAGCAGTTACTATAATGATTAAAGGTGGAGCCATACTTCGGTATTCCATTTTTGGTACATTTGATTTGAAAGGTTTTGGTCGGTGTAGTAAACACCAGGTCCCATGCTGCTCAGATTTCGATAAATTACCTAATACAATTGCTCCCATGTCTTGCTATTACGAACGCTGACTTTAAATCCTAAAGATTCTGGTTTTACTTTGGGAGGAGGTAACAAAAGAATCATAAAGTTGCTTGATGCTGCTGAGATCAATACAGATTTGGGAAGAACTAACCTAAAAAATCGTGATACTCATAGTAAAAGTTTTCTTTGTAGAAACATGAGAATCTAGTTGTTCACGTTAATTGTGTTTTTGTTGTTTTTTGAGTATATCTAAGATAAAAGGGCAAATCAAAGTGCAAAAAGGCTATATGCTTTCACATCGTATCTGCAATTGTTTGACTTTCTGTGTCTTGCATTTAGACCAAGTAATTACCTGGCCAAGTAATTTATTAAATTGTACGGAAAAGTTCTTGCGGTTTTTAACCTTCAAAGTCAAATGAGCATATCTCAGCTTTAACGGAACTTTATTAATCAAAATAAAAACCATTAGAATCAGTACACTTATGCCAACGAGAAACAAGTTTATTTTTGCCGCTAACATATCCGTAGTTCTGAAGGCGATGAACTCATTGAAGGCATTTTTGGTATCGTCATGATTATTGAAGCATTTCTCGCGAAGGAACTTGTCGAGGTGTTTGAAAAGTGGTAGTCGGTGGGCGAGAGGTCCGGCAAATATGGTGGTCGAGGTAGTTTCATATCCCAATTCGTTCAGCTTTTGCAGGGTCGGTTGTGCGACGGGTGGCCGGGCGTTGTCGTGGAGCAGAATTGGCCCCTTCATATTGACCAATCTAGGGCACATACGTTTTCTGATGCATTTCGTCGATTTGCTGGCAGTACTTCTCCGCCGCAATCGTTTCGCCCGGATATAGAAAGCTGAGGTGGATGAGACCGGCTGCAGACCACCAAACAGTCACCATGACCTTTGGATGGAGTTTTGGCTTCTGGAAGTGTTGTGGAGCCTCGTCGCTGTCCAAACATTGCACAGAACGTCGCCTATTGTCGTAGAGAATCCAATTTTCGTCACATGTCACAATCCGGTCCAGAAACGGGTCGTTTTTGTTGCGTAGAAGGGCAGACGCCACCTCAAAACGACGATTCTTCTGAACTTCACTCAATTCGTGAGGTATCCATTAATCGAGCTTTTTTAAAAATTATCCGATCCGTTTCAAGTGGTCGGAAATGGTCGCAATACCCACATCAAGCTCCTTCGCAAGCTGACGAATAGTTGTGCGCGGGTTTGCTTCCACCAGAGCTTTTAATTCGTCGTAGTCGGCGTCAAGTGGCCGAACACTGCGTTCTTCATCTCAAGGTTCTCGTCGCCGCTGCGGAATTTCTTGAACCACCATGCTGCCGTACGTTCGTTAGTGGTTGCTTGGCCAAATGCACCGTTGATATCGCGAGCTGTCTCGGCAACTTCTCGACCTAATGTGTCCATACTATATTTGAAGTCCTGAAGAAAAAAAAAAACATTATCGTAAAATGAAACGAATAAAACGACTAGATAGAGCGAAAAACGCGCTTTAAAATGATATATAAAGTCAAAGTATTATAAATAAATGTTAGTGTAAAATACATCATTTAAAATTAATAACAAACTTTCCGAACAACCTAATAATACTCTGCAAAATCTTGTACAGGGTCCGTCAGAAAGAACGCATGTTTTTCGAATCAGTACTACATCGAGTGGGCTGGTCCCGTGTCGGCCGCAAACGCTTGTGACGCGTTCACATGTTTGTAGATCCTCAATCTCGCTTGTGCGCTGTTGACGAATTGTTCATTAATAATCTGACCTTGAGTAGTGTACAACTCAACTGAATTTCACTTAGCTTATCTCGGTACTTTTTATAATGAAAATAAATTAAGCCAAATGTTATGGCCAACACAAGTGGGACGTTCGTCATGTTTGCCTTTTCAGAACACACTGCTTCCCAAAAACAATCCAAACGCTTGTAGAGGTTTGGAGTTTGCGGCAGGCCGATAGTTAGAATAGAGATGTGATATTGTATTTATTCTTCAGGTTCAAGTGTTATTGACAACTCCCCAACAACTGTAACCCTAAGCAAGGAAGGTTCTCCGTCTTTATCCAATGGAAAATGGACCATCACAGCTGTGGAAAGTAAAAGTTCAGATCAACCGTCTCCTCCATCTAGTTCAACAGATGATCAAAGATCACTAGTACAAGAAAACAGTCAATTGCTGCAAGCCCTAACTGGGTTCATTGTTAAACAGAATAGCAATGTCCAAGAAGAGGTAAGTTTAGCTCCATTTGGCATGCAGTTATTTGTGACAAGAACTGGTGTTGTAACTAAAAAATATATTGTGATTTAGCTAGTAATATTCCTTATTTTAGGTTGCTGTAACGATTTTGAGAGCGTTGATAAAACTAGGGACGCATCTATTATCTCCATCACTGGATGGCACAGGCTTTGCTGACCTTATGGTTGTCATGACAATGTTAGCAGATGCTGGTTCGGGAAAAGGTAAACAAACAAATAATATGACAGCAATATTATGTATTCCATTTTGAAATAATATGTACATTTCTGAAGTTCAATCTATTTGGACCATTTCTTTCAATATAATTTTTGATTTTTCTTTCAAATTGTAGGTCACAGTTACTTGTTCCCTGCTACCTCCGAATGGATAGACCTCTGTAATAAACGTATTTCAATCAAAGAAGTAATCGGCAAAATTAACAGTGATCCTGATTCTGTGAAGAACAATACAATGCTGGAAGCCGCATCTTGTATTTTAGATTACGTCAGTGATGTCGTTTGTGGGGCTACTTCTCATTTAACTTCAAGGCCTCTGAGGTAACTTTTGATTGAAATTTCTTAGATAAATGTATAAAAAGCATTGCCATTTACAAAACTAACTACATAGAAATCGAGCAGCACTGAAATGCTTTTTCAATTTTAGCCCTCCATGGGAAAGTGAATCTCCATTGGATGTCGATTCTGAATGGCAAGATTTCGCAAACGACGATGACGATAGTGGAGAAGATAGCGATGAAGATTCTCTTTGCAACAAGTTGTGTACCTTTACTGTAACACAGAAGGTTGGTAGTTTTTTGACTTGATCATTTTAATGTGTTGAAGGTCATTGAATAATTCTAATATACGTCATAATTATGATATAAGAATTTTAACATTTTTTAAGTATTTGTTTTCCATTATTGAATGCTTTGATGAAAACCTGGATGCTTTACGATTTGATTGATTCTTATGGCCTTAAATTTTATGATGAATTGACGGTGCCAACTGAGATCTAATGAAATTTGTTTGAACACTATTTGATACAGTAGCGGACAAACATTTCCAGTAATTTTTTATTCTTCATTATTAAGGACTACTTTTTTCTCATATAGTTTGCTTACAGTCTCGACACAAATGACCATATGTGTTTACTGTGGTACTACAGACTAGCATTAAAATACCTTCATATGATTTTATGACCAAGAATGAGACTACAAAAGAATGGAAACATATTTTTTATTACAAAATTATTTACAATAACTCTACAAAAAGATTTAAAAAATACTATTTAGCTAATATTTGGTAGCATAGCCTTATAGCGTTCAACACTGCCTGTCATCTGCTGATCATAGAAGACACCAATTTTTTACAGACGTCTGTTGGGATACTTCGCCAAATATTCTTTACATAATCAAATAAATCGTTTCTATTTTTAGAAGTGTTTCTTTTTAGTTGTCCTTTATCATGCTCCCAGAGATGTTCTATAGGGTTCAGGTCCGGGGATTGCGAAGACCATGTAAGAACATTAACATCTTCTAGTCTGAACCAGTCCTTTACGAATTTTGAGGTATGCTTTGGGTCATTATCTTGCGGGAATGTCCATCATAAAGGTATTTCTTCTTCAGCAAAAGGGAGCACGTGTTCGCCAAAAATATCTTTGTAGAGTTTTTGATCCATTTTCCTAACAATTTTAACAATTGGACCCGTTCCAGAACTATAAAAACAGCCAAACATGATGTTGCCTCCACCGTGCTTAACTGTTGGCAACTGATACTTCTTGTCGAATCTTCTTCGTATTGGACTTCTCACATATGCTGTAGCATCAGATCCAAACAAGTTAAATTTGCCTTCATCGTTCCATTAAACTGTATTCCATTGTTGTTCTGTCCAAATTAGATGAGTTTTAACGTTTTTTTTTCTTTGAAATGAGAGGCTTTTGCACTGGACGCCTTCCAAAAAGCCCAAAATCTGCCAAGCGTCTCTGCACTATTCTGACAGACAGATTCTCGGTACCCTCTTCTACGATTCTTTTGAAAATCTGTGTGGCTGGCATTCGGGGATCTGCATGGGACAAACGTTTAATGTAGCGATCCAAAACATAATCGGTTTTTTCGGTCTTCCGCACCTGGGCTGCGTTGCTGTAGATCGGTATTCTTGATATTTACTAATAATTTTCGAAATCGTCCCTTTGTTCATTTTTAATCTTTGAGAAATGTCAACCACTTCTAAATAATTCAATTATTTAATTCGCTTAAATGTTAATATTTACCGCACGCAATACCAGAGTATCGCAGAACGAATAAATGCGGCAAAACTGTAATGTTTCCATACTTTTGTCGTTAAAAAAACTGTGGTATTAAAAAAAAACATGTTTTCATTTTCAGAGAATTTGAATATTGATAAAATAAACATTTTATTAGTACGGGAGTCAAAGGTAGACTTTAATATTTATATTATCAGTAGGTATATGAAATAGTTCATAATAATGTTAATATTTGTTTCCAAACTTTTGTCCGCTACTGTACGTCTTAATTGTGTTCAACATTTTCGAAGTACTTTTTTGAATATAATTGAGGTGCTTTTATGAAAACCTTTACGATTTGACTGATTCTTATCACGTTAAATTTTATTATGATGAACTGATGTTGCCAACTGAGATCTAATGAAGTTAGTTTGAACACTGTCTGACACCCATCTATGCGACATCCAGTCCTCATTAGGAATATACCAATATTGAATGCAATTTACCCCATTCGTAGGAATTTATGAACCAACACTGGTATCACTGTCACACCTGTCGCATGTTGGACGGCGTGGGCGTGTGCTCAGTCTGCGCCAAGGTGTGCCACAAGGGTCACGACCTCAGCTACGCGAAGTACGGCAACTTTTTCTGCGATTGCGGCGCGAAAGAAGATGGATCTTGTCAAGCGTTGGTGAAGAGAAGCAATCCTCAACAGCATGATCCATCGGGCGGTTCCGAACGACAAACTAGCACCATTGGTGGATTTGGCAGTGAACAGGTGCTGGCTAGCTCGTTGAGGAGGCGGACATCGTCGCCTATGCCGACAGATAAGGTGAGTTCTTTCTTTGAACATTTTATTATACACCAAACCTAGTCAAGTGGGGATGATTTGAAAAAAAGTGTCAGTACTTGTAGGGCAAAAATATATCGAACATCGCAAGAAACGTAGGTCTCAAATTGTCGACTTGCTCAGATGTAAGAGGTTATCATTGAGTCCTATAATGCCACTGTTTTACTAAGCTTATCACCTATCGGTCAGCCTCATCCTTATAATAATAATTATGAAACGTCTTCATCATACCTTCTACAAAATTACATTTTTCTATTTATTTTGCTTTCCACTCATTCTAGATCTATTACAAGGAAAGGAAAGTTGGAAGCATAGCAAAACAATTAGATGGTTCCAAAGAATTTTTGATAAATTACCTAGGCTCTGGACAAGTATCCTCGTCTCTATTAGATTTTGTTAAAACCTTGGTACCTGCAGTTGAAGAAACATGTCGAAGAAATTCACCAGTTGGTTGTAATGCCAGAGGTGTCAAAGCATTAGAACAATTGTACTCAAAGGAAAAGAAGTATGTTCATACTGATCAACTGATGGTTCCGACACTAGGATCCCAGGAAGGCGCTTTTGAGAACGTCAGAATGAGCTATGCCGGAGAACAAGGACAAACGATCAGGTAAAAAAGTGCACATATTACATTTTCTTTCCGCTTTGAATGAGGATCAAATCCAGAAAGAGAAAATGAGCATGTGTTGAAGTCATAAATACATCCCTATTGCCAACGGCCATTTTGCTGTACAAGGAATATTCAAGATTTTTTACTGTATTAGTGTTGATCTCAAGCCAAATAAAGCGAAATTAATATGTTTATGAAATTATAAATTCTTTTTTATTTTCAGGCAACTGCTCTTGGCTCACATAGTGAGACGAGTAGCGATGTGCTGTATGACCTCTACCCAAGGCAAAAGACAACACCTGGCTGTGTCACACGAAAAAGGCAAAATCACCGTTCTACAGCTTTCCGCTCTATTGAAACAGGCGGATTCTTCCACCAGGAAACTGACTTTGACACGCCTGGCAACGGCTCCAATACCATTCACTGTACTTTCGATGTCCAGCAATTTGTGTAATGAAGATTACCTCGCTGTGTGCGGCCTGAAGGATTGCCACGTCTTGACTTTCACAAGCGGAGGATCCGTTTCGAATCATCTTGTAATCCATCCCCAGTTGGAAACTGGGAATTTCATCATAAAAGCAGTATGGCTCCCCGGTTCTCAGACCCAGCTGGCTCTGGTCACAGCAGATTTTGTGAAGATATATGACTTGGCAACAGATGCAGTGAATCCAGAGTACTACTTCTTAGTGCCAAGCGGGAAAATCCGAGATTGTACTTTTATGTATGAAGCTGGAACCTACCATATATTGTTGATGTCATCCCCAGGACATATCTACACAGAGGTGCTTAATGAGCAAAGTTCTACAAAGTTTGGAAGTTTTTATGTAACCAATACATTGGAAGTCTTTCATTTGGAAGTTGTGGTGAGTATTCTTTGCAATGCCTGTTTATTTTGTTTTGTTCATGTTAGGAGATGTTATACTTCTATTTATTTTTCGGTATGAATGGGGAAATAGTAATCACCTCAAAGCAAAGTTGAACAAATTTTGCTTTTTGTTGTTGTTGTTGAAGATTTATTTAGCCTAATGCTACTCTGCCAATTTTGTATAACGATTCGGTTACATATTTTTCTTCAATCCGTTTTATGTAATTTTACATTCTTGTCTGTTAAAATTAAAATTACGTCACTATGTATTTTGATTATTCATAAACTGATTTTTGAGTTTCACCTTAAACATTTTTAAATTCGAACTCTGTTTAATATCATTAATCAATGTATTAAATTCAAATACTCCCTTTTGAAATATAGATTTACTAGTTATGCTACTATTTCAATTTTGCAGATGAAAATCTATACTGCCTCTAGTTTCGTAGTTATGATAATAATTTTGTGAAATTCTCTAAATGTGGTGGTAATAAATGATTTTTTAATTTGAGTATTACAACGAGAACTATATAATATAATGAAATTTTTCACATACAACCACTGCAGTTCTTCTAACATAGACTTAATCCTAGTATATTTGTTTTTATTTAAAATGATTCTCATAGCTTTATTTTGCAGATTGTGTAATTTTGAAAATATGTTTTCATTTGCTGTAAACAAGATAGTTAACCTTTATAAAAAATGGGGAAGAATTATAGTGTTATACACAATTTTTTTGGAATACATACTAAGGTTATGGGAAACTCTATAGAAGTAATTTATCTTTTTCGATATTTTTGAAATAATGTATTCATAATGTTCGTGAAACAGTAGCTTACTATACACATATATACCAAGATATTTAAATGACTCGACTACTTCAATTTTTTCATCGTTAATCATGAGCCTAATTGTATTGTCACCTATTGACATACATTTTGTTTTATTAGTGTTTAATTTAAGTTTATTGACATTTAACCAATTCATATTTTTTTCAAATTCATTATTTAACAGTTCTAAAGCAGTGTCCAAATGTTATGTTAACTTATAAGAGTGTTTAAGGTACGTTCCAACAAGTTACCTAACCACATGCTAGATTTCGATATTCACTTAATGTTGTCAAGTAGCATAACCAGTAATTCTCTTAGAAGTAATAAAAACAGTCTTAATTCTCCTTTTAAAGAAAATTGTTTATTTTCAAACATGACAACAATTTTCAAAGGAAAGGTCACTCTTCAAGCTCCCTCATAATTGTTCTTACGATTTTGTATTATCAAAATTTCTTAATGTCGGTAAAATCCCCTAACCTGCGGCAACACTCTGTGAGGTGACAGCGCTGACACCTAAAGACGGTGGCCGACAGGTATACGAGGGCTGTCCGATAAGTTCTTAGCCTACAAAAGAACGAGCATTTTGGAAAAGTGGCGTTTATATTGCTCAACATAGTCTCCTTTTAGCTCAATACATTTGACCCAGCGATGCTCCAACTTTTTAACCTTTCTGAAAAATACGGTTTCTGGACGTCTTCAAAATAGATCTCCTCATTCGCATCAAATTGCTGCCCGGCGAGTTACTTGTTTAAGCTTGGAAACAAAAAAAGTCGCACCGGGCCAAATGTGGAGAATACGGTAGATGGTGCAGTAGTTCATAATTGGGGCCGTTTTTTTTTCTACAATTAGGCATCGAATCAGGCGAATAATTCGCCATAATAGAGACCTGTTACCGTCTTGCCCTTCTTCAGGTAGTCGATGTAGATCACACCTTGTGAATCCTAGAAAACGGTGGTCATCAGTTTTCCGGGCGATATCACAGGCTTCGCCTTTTTCGGAGCACGTCCGCCGGGTAAAGTCCACCGATTCGACTGTTCCTTGGTCTCTGGTGTGTACCAGTAGACACATATTTGGTCGACGTTCACTAAACGACCGAGAATCGCCTTCGGGTTGCGCTTAAAGAGCGCCAAACACTGCTCTGGAGTGGTGTCACGGTTGCGCTTGTTATCCGAAGTGAGCAAACGCGGCACCCATCGCGCAGACAGCTTTCTCAGCTATACCGACGGCGACCACGTTGAAACTCGTTAAACCAATTTTTGACGGTCGCCACCGAAGGAGAAGAGTCACCATACATATAATCCAAGCATGCTTTGATTTCGCTGCGCGATTTCCCTTCCAACATCAAGAATCGAATCACCGACCGGTATTGCTCTTTTTCCATTTCACTTCTGGCGGTGACCCTAAGTCCTCGCCGGACCGCCCTCGTATAGTTGTAAGCATAAAATGCAATGTGGTTTGGTAGCTTTTGAAAATTCCGCCTTTTTTTAAACATTTTGTTATTTGTTTTCAGGACATCAATGGTCAAGTGGCCGGCGGCGGCGTATCTATTTACTACTCCCACACTCTCGGCCTGTTGTTCTACAGTTACGCCCAAGGCAAATCTTTTGTCTCTCCAATACTTCCAAAAAACAATTGCCTACCTTTCGTCTTTCCCATAAACCTGCCCACAAATACTGGCGGCAGCGGAAACAGCTACAACACCACAAAAGGAAATAGCGGCGCAAGGATCCCACCAAACCAGCCGTTGTGCCAATGGTCTGAGGTGCCAAACCATCCCGGACTCGTCTATTGTGCGATGCAGTCTAGCAATAATCCCGTTGTGCTGTTTTTGAAACCAGACACCATCATGATACAAGAAATAAGGTAACTCTCACTGAAATCTTGACTAGTGCCTTTTTTTTCATTTTCGTGTGTATTCACACTCTTACTGACTTTAGCTGTTGATTGTTGCCAAATAAATAAAAAGCATCCGTTAACAATGAAGTACCTTCCCCGAACTTCAATGTTTGATTCCTCCAGTGATTCTAAGAACATAGGTTGGGCAATGCATCCTTTTCATAATGCAGTGTGTCGTACATTTTTTGAAAATCTGTTTTTTTTTGCGAAAAAATCAAATATGCCCGAAAATGTAACTAAAAGCAATCAAGATAAATATTTCATTAGAATGGTCACAAATGATATTTGCCTTGGAAGATACCAGATTTTCCGCAAAATGTCTATACCTACTCGATTTGAACAAATTTTGACAAAACTTTCTGGAGTCTATTGCGATTTCCACTCAAAAAACAACTATAAAAGGTTTGTCTGATAGTATTTTAAAACGAATGTTAATTGACCTAGATTTATTTGAACATTTTCTAGTATCACGGAAGAAATCACCCCTCCAACTTTGGCCAGATTCTGTATTAACATCCTATTTACTATTTTTCCAGGTGGCATTGAAATTCACGGATGTATTCATTATTTTTACATTCTTTTTCAGGGTTGTGCCTTCTAAATCGAAAATCATGGACATGGTAGCCATAAGACACGCTTCAGGTCACGAGATGAGGACAACATTGATTCTGTTGTGCGAAGATGGAAGCTTGAAGATGTATATGGCAAACATGGATCAGACAGGCTACTGGATGTCGCCAAGCATCCAGCCCAGCACACCAAGCGCATCTGTCAAACCTAAGAAGAAGAAAGTTGTTAAAGCAGGAAAGACCTCTAATTCTGTAAGTTTTTCACAATATAATGAAATACATAAACATGGGTGAAGTATGACACGCCATTTGATGTTTTTTAAAGTTGAAATAGAAATACATACATAATTTACAATGCAATACAAAATAACACATCTACTTTCTAACTTGTTGGAACATTTAACATTGGATGTGGATATGTGACAAGCTTATGAGAGCTTTAGAAGAACCATCTTCAATAATAAAAAATGCTCAATTCTTCCTGGAATGAAATGCGACTAAATTACTGCTAGACAAAAAAATGCATTTGGTAAGACTATACTTTATCGCATATGGCAAATACTTCATTTCTTACTTTAAAATGAAAGATTAGAATGTAAGTTTTAAGAAAATATCATTTTTTCTTTAAGGAACCCTCTGCTTGCTATTTCATAGCACTTAGAAGTTGCATTTGCATCCTCTAAATCAGAGCTGCCCAACTTAATGTGGCCCAAGGGCCACTTAAAAAAAATGCAGGTTGGAGGGCCGCATTATAAAATCTTTCTATACAACATTATTACTGAGTTTTAATAGGGGCCACATCAAAAAAAAAATGCAGTTTGGAGGGCCGCTTTTAAATGTGTCGCCTTTATAAACATCAAGCTTGTAACTTCCAATTTTATCAAAATATTTAACAATCTACACTAGGGTACACACATAGAAAATTAAGACTATGAATTTTCAAAATTGTTTCAATAAAAGTATGAATTATTGGATTTCTTCATCAGATGTCTGATTTCTCACACAAGAGGCGGCGGTTACTTCTGTCTTGTAGGAAAAACCGCAAGCTTTCAATAGACGCCTTAAACGGAGACTACAACTATATTACAAAGAATTTGGAACCACAAATAATTTTTTGTTTCAGTTAACCTTCCCGGTAGACTTTTTCGAGCACTGCGTCGCCATGAACGATGTGGAAATAGGAGGAAATGACTTGCTACAAATCTATAACCAAGCGCAGTTGAAACACCGACTTAACACAACTGGCCTTTACGTCGCCTGCAATAAACCTCTCGGCTTCTCGGTTGAAGTAACAAACAACGATTCTAACATGGTTATGACCGGCATGCGAGTGCTTGTCGGCAGTCAAGATGTTCAAAGATGTCCGTCATATGTTGACGTGTTTGGAAGAATAATCCCCATAACTGCAACAAGGAGCAGATGGTACGACATACCTTTTTCGAGGGAGGAGAGCCTGCAGATGGACAAAAAACTAGCGATTCTATTCGGACCTTCCCAAGATCCTGAGACGGTGACGATGGTGGATAGCATCAGGATATATGGAAAGACCAAGGATTCATTCGGTTGGCCAGAAGAGAACGAAGAGGCTGTTGTGCCTGGTACAAGTGGAACTTCACAACAGCTGGTTACAACTAGCGAGTCAGACCACGGTAGCGCAAGTGCAACTCAGTTGACCAAGATTGAAAAATTGGTCGTCAGTATCCTGGAATCGCTAGATGGCACATTCTCTTTATACTCTACTGAAGAAAAGCTAGCTGCATTCAAACCAATTGCTCTGAAGGTAGCCACGCAAATGATCACTCTTCCTACACCACCATCTATCCAAGTGCACTCCAAAGCTTTGTTATCGGCTTTGCATTCTTCCAAGCAGCTGTACCACAACTACAAAGATCATGCTCTTCTACAACACGTTTTAAGTAGCCTTACAGCGATGACGACAGCTGATGCTGTGGAATTAGACGCCGAGAATTACTACAGACTCGTCTTGATCGTCAGAGGTATAGCGGTTGCAAGACCCCAGAATCTGGTCAAGTTCGCCGACAGTCAGTGTTCTATCCAAGACGTGGTTATTGACGATCCTTTGGAGGGTACCCCGCCAAACGCAAAAGAACTTAAGGAGCAGAAAGAAGTCAAGCCTAGAAACCAGCATTTGCTGTTGCAGCTTATGGATGTTCTATGGCTTCTGCATTCGTTAAATCCTGAAATACCTGCTTTGGCGCCGGTTGTTGTCCAAGGTAAGAGCCAAAACTCATCGAGACTTACTTTATTTTGAATTCAGTAAATAGCAGTACCTACATAAACTATGACTGTTATTTTTTTTTTAGGTCTGAAGCATACTGAACAAGTCGTCCATGCTCTGGTAGAGATTGTGCATGCGTTTAACAGCTGTGATACCTACAGTAACATTACAATTGGAGTTTATTTGCAACTCCTCTTGTGCAAGGATTCCATGATTGCTTTCAGCGCCAAGCAAGCTCTCAGTAAGTACACTTTTAAGTGTAGGATAACTAGCTTTCTAGTCGCGGCTTCGCAAACGTAGATTTCTGTTTTATCTAAGAAATTACTAATTAGCTCCGTTTGGATTTGTCACGCAGAACGAATTTTGCTTTATGAAGTAGATAGTACAGAAGTTAGTACTGATTTTAAAATTGTAAATGTATTATTTTATTGTGAAATGTATATTGTGTAAAATCTTTAGCCTCATTGAAAAATTAGGCTATCTAAAAATTCTAACGCACGCAACGCAACGTATATAATTACAGAGTTACATTTATCAAGGCTAACCTGGATGAAAAATACCAAAGTATCAAACATATTCAAACTGGTTTATCCCAATAAACAACGAAAATGAACAATGACTAAGACCCCAGTCGTCCGAGACCAACTCAACCTAGAATTAATGAGATTCATTTTTTCAGGGTTATTTATTTCGTTATTTCTAGAAAACACAAACGGTGTAATAGAAATTTGTTGGCTCTAATTAGTTTTTGGCAATTTTTCTTTCAATGGATTTACTTGAAATTGGTGTATTTAAAACTACAAATAATCGATAGTGCAAATAATGGAATACACGATATAATGTAAAGTTCAAATAATGGATGTGTGCTTTTTCAAAAATTGTTTTTTATCAATTCATTTGTATCTCATTTAAAAAAACACTCCACATTATGAATGAGTATCAAGAAGGAAAGTGGGAAATTTTCCTTATTTCATCCTCGTAGGGGTTGAGTTTCCATAAATACCGACTCGTGTTAATTTTTGTTGTTGAGTATATGTACAAAGTTTTTATGAATATTGAAGGAATAATCAATTGGATACAAACTTCCAATCTCTATTTGACTTCTTTTCTGGATGAGTTTTAAAAAATGTTGATAAACGTATTTTTAATATCATGTATTGTAGAGGATGTGTCTCGTAAATTTATTGGAAGATTAAAGTCAGGCAATGATTACCAAACAGTTTAATATCTTTTTATGTATATTTGTACGGGGTTTCAAGTAAATCCATTGAAAGAGTAAAAGGTTTCATAGAAACCCACCCCCTTAGGAAACGAATTTTCAAAAATTCCTTCAGATTGCCAACTTGCACTTTACCAAAGACGTCTCTGTAAAATTTAGAAGTTTCCACGTTCAGCGGTTTCGGCACCGCGTTCATATGTCAGTATGATTTTAATGTGTTGTAGAGTATTTGTACAGAGTTCCAAGTAGATCGCCCCCATATTTGACCTCTTTAGAGGATGCATTTCCAAAAATCCTTTTTTAGTGCTAACTTAACTCTTTATGATAGGCATCTCTCCAAAATTTTAATTTTTTTTACGTTCAACGGTTTCGGCTCTGCGTTGATATGTCAGTCAGCATCCTCTTTTATATACAGATGATTACATTTTTTGTGTTATTCCTAAATAAACTTCATATTTACTTTTTATATCACGTTCCAATTAAGCAAATAGGATGTAAAACATATAGATCATGCATGTTACATTATTAATCACTTGTTCGAACTAGTTCATTTTGTCGCATTTTACAAGTATGCTAGGTAAACTTCTCATTTTTTTATTTTACTCTGTAGGTAAAGTCCTGAAGCCAAAGACAAAACGTAGGCGAGTATTCATCCCCAGTCCGCCTCATTGTGTTTCACCACCACCTCCGACCAGAGACTCAGAGACACCAAAACACCTACCGCAATCCTCGTCTAATGTGGAAGAGCCTCACAGACAGAGGCAGAGCAGCAGATATGACGTGGATGCCGCCGAAGCTATCGGTTCGTAATTGTGTTATCTAGTAGTTTTTACAGTCTTACACCTCAGAGACAATCGAACGTTTGTCTGCAACTCGTTATAAATTCTCTCCATCTGGAGTAACATGATCGGTAATGGAGGTATTCTTTATACAGGTCTGTTAGAGCAGCACCAAGATCAAGAGGGAGGCAGAAATGACATGAACCCCTTGGAAGCACTTTTAGGTGGAGCTGTCGGCTTTCCTCCGCTACTTGACATCCCCATACCTCCAGATGCGGATGACGACACCATGGTGGAGCTTGCTATAGCTTTGAGCCTACAGGTATGTTATAGATTATTCTACTATTACCGAACCAATCTTTACAAATGAATTCTCTGTGAAAGATTGTCAGACGCAAAGCTTCTTCATCATTGTCAAGTATGGTACTACGATTCACCCCATTTAATGTATTAAAGCTCCCCAGTACCCCCACTTCTTTTCCTCTTTTTGCGATTCAGTTTAGGCTTATGATAGTGAGGAAACACCTATTCATCTAGAATCATTTTTCTCTTGTCACTGTCTCCGTAAAAAATAGCACAGTATCCTTTTTCATCTAAGCTATGCGACCTGGTGTCAGTGCTTCCATCTTTGTGCTGTCAACCTTCTGCTAATTTGCTCAGGTTAGACTTTCCAGCGTTCTGATTGGTAGGAATAGAGTCATGTGTTTAACAACAACGAATTGTATTGCGAATTTATAAAATAGACCTGAATCATCACAGGTCGGGTGTTAGCAATCTGTACAGGGTGCGCCATCTTTTATGTCGGTATGTAAACATGAAAGATTCATTAATTTCGTATCATAGATTAGTAATGCGGAAAAGATATTTATATGTTGGAGTTTCCACAAATTACATCATGCTTATATCAGTATTCAATAGCAGCTCGTATAAATCTATTTTTGATAATGATATTCGGTTTTTCTAATATATGCGTCTAACTATTCGGTTTACACTCTATGTTTTTCAGGAACACGAAATCGGCGAGAACGACCAAGCTGGCGTGCAAGCCTTACAAGGCCTCCAAGCGCAACTTAATCAACAGGCAGCTGCAGCTGCCTCGTCGTCTGCGCGCTCGTCCGCCGCCGTAGCCGCTCACCAGGAGGCGGCTAACCTGAGCGACACTACAGCCTCGGCAGCCGGGTCCGACGAAGACGAGGGCTCCACGGCGGCCACCGATGGCTCCACGCTGCGCACCAGCCCTGCGGAACAGGCTGGCAGTGCGGCAGGGTCGGATAGCGGTGGCAGTGGTGTTGAGAGTATAGTAGGGGAGCATAACGTGTCTGGAAGGTCATCCGCCTACGGAGATAACGTTCAAGAGGCTATGGGCAGTTTGGTGTCTAGGTAAGCGTTTGTCTGATTTTTGAAATAATAGTAATAATGAGTCTCTATTTTTGATTAAAAGTACAAAAAAACTCATTTGATCAAGGAGGCGGCATTCAATATTGTTGCTCTTGCATGCAATACCCGCAAACAATGCTCTACAAAGATAGTTGCAATTCATACAAAGAGGAGAAATAAAACTATCGTAATCTTTTCACATGGAATTTAACTGTATTTCGAAAGCAACTAAGTGAGGGCGAATTTTTTACTATATCTGGCAATGAGGTGTACAGTGTAGACGCTTTTGTATATATGTGCCCTTAGCCCGCTTTAATCCAAGCCTTACGCAAAATGCTTTCTGAGCTGAGATGTCCTGCTATTAAAGTATTTTTCTCTTAAATTTCGTGCTCATAGGTCAAATAGTTTTAGAGATGAATATCTACAGGGTCCGTCAGAAAGAACGCATGTTTTTCGAATGGGTACTACATCGAGTTGGCTGGTCCCGTGTCGGTGGGGATATTGGAAGAAGTGCCGTTTCAGTTAGCAAGGTGGTTTGGAAAGTTGAGCATCGTGTGTTCACTGTACGTCGGTACTTTCAAAATGGCGAGTCCGCCATTCGAACGCAACGTGAGTTTCGCGTTCTCTTTCGTGTTCCTCGTCGTGGGACAGTACCAGACCGTAACACCATTTAGGGATGGGTGGAAGCATTCAACACAATAGGTAATGTGAAGAAGAAAAATCCGCCTGGGCGAATCCGTACTGTTAGAACCCCCGGAAACGTAGACAGAGTGAGAATTGACACGCTGCAAAGCCCGAATCGTTCCGTCCATTTGCGTGGAAGTTCCCTAGGGAACCACGCGTCCTCTGTACGTCGCATCTTGAAGAAGGATTTAGTGTTCCATCCTGACAAAATCCAAGTTTGTCAACAACTGTTGCCAGGGGATAATGCACAACGTATTAATTTTGTACAGCTCATGATTGATAAACATTTTTGGTATCTGGGTAGCCAGACCTAACACACTAACAGACCTACGAGACTTTTAACTAAGAGCCATGGTCCACCGGACCGCTCTGTTGAATATTGTCATGATTGAACAGTTGGATAACAATGACATGACGCTTATGAGTGATGAAGCACATTTTCATTTACATGGATACGTCAATAAACAAAATTGCCGATATTGGTCTCCAGTGAACCCCCAACAGTTGCATGAGCACCCCCTGCATACCCCGAAAGTTACAGTTTGGTGTGCAGTAGGCCCAATGATGATTATTGGCCCTTATTTTTTTTAGGATGATGGAGAAACAACTACTGGAAATTCAGAGCATTACATCCACATGCTGAACAACTTTTTTTTCGGAACTTTGACGTCGACGTGTCTGTCTCAGAGCAGTGTGGTTCGAACAAGACGGGGCAACATCTCACACAGCTCGCACTTCGATGGAACTTCTTCGGCAACAATTCCGTTGACGTCTCATTTCACGTCATTGCGATATTCCATGGCCCCCTCGCTCCCCGGACCTGTCACACGTATGATTTTTTTATGGGGCTACCTGAAATCAAATGTTTACCAAAGCAAGCCTCGGACCTTCGTCGATTTGAAGGAGGAAATAAGAGAAGTAACCCATTTCGGGTGATGCTTGATTCCTGCATTTTGGTTCATGGGCGCCATATGGTCGACATAGTTTTTAGAACGTAAATTTTGTTTTACTCAAAAAAATGGCATGTATTTCTGAGTATATTTATACAATAAAATATTTTTACTATACTTATTTTGACTGTACTACTCATTTAAAAAACATGCGCTCCTTCTGACGAACCCTGTATAAAGTTAAAAAGCGATAAGATTCTCCATAGAGAATTGCAATTCCCTCTACTTCATCTTAAGGATATAATTCTGAATTCTTTGTTAATGTTCTTTATATTAAAGATAAAATTATAGATAAAACATACTACTACATCTAGGTTGACTTTAATTGAAATGTTCTACGTTCTTCAGCTTCAGGACTATTAACCCCCACATCACCCCTTTGGGGTCTAATTTCCATTTTCTAAGGGTCCATTTATTATTTATATAAAAAACCTATATCCCATATGAAGATTACTTTTTTAGACATTTCAAATAAATCCAAGAAAAATTAAACCGATTTTAGGAAAATTCTGTTTGATCTCCAAAGATACGCGAAATTGCGAAACTTACTATCATTTTCCTAGACACCTAAATGCATAAATTTGTCCCCATTTAACCGACTACGTATCTCTTGCCGTTTTCGATCTCGTAATGGTGATAGTTGAATTTGAATTATGCTAAAAGTCAGTCATCAAAATCGGTTCAACCGCTTTGTCGTGAAAACGGAACACATACAAAGATGCATACACCCTTTTGCATTCATAATATATTAGTGATTGACACTATCATTTGTTGCAGATCTGACACCGGAAGCACGGCAAACACCGCAGCCGGTGCCATCAATCCAATCGACATCGATCCCTCAGCCGTCGAAGACCCAGATGAAACTGAAAGCGGAGGTGGCAGACTACACGTCCTCCGACTACAACTACTTGACAAACTGATCGAGTACCTGCCCAGACTGACGAACGTTGAAGGTGTGAGAGCGATCCCTTTCTTACAGGTCTGATTCAAGCACTTGTTTCTAGTGTCACTAACTAACCTTACGATGTTCTTACAGGTGGTGCTCCAGCTGACAACAGATCTAGACGGTAACTGCGAAAAGGATAGAGCTTGCTTGGATTCGCTTTTAGTAGCCATCGTAGATTCGTTGGAGTTGGACAAGCCTGATGTGGAGGAGGTGTGCACCAGAACGAAAAAGAGGGAAGTGCAACTGATTCTGATGAGGTTATTAAGTAAGTACTTTTGAATTGATTCGTAATGGATGATGCTTTAAGCACGCTCCATAATAAGACTTCCCAGATAAATAAGGGAAATAGAAGATAACAACGAATCTTCAATCATGTAATTTGAATTTTACCTATAATTGTTTTGGCTGTATTAATTAAAAATATTAAACTTTTACTGTTATAAAAACTAAAAGATGGATAAACGCATCAAAACTGTGCAAAAATACTAAGAAATTTCACTCTCATTTTTTCATAAACAGTACGATGGGGGAACGGAAAATCTTCACGGAGAGCATAACTACAGTTGTGGACTTTTCGTGGCTCTAACTGGATAATTTCCTCCTTTCGAAATAACTTTGGAATTGTCGCTGTTGCCCGAGTGATTTCCCGCAGTGGCTCTGCGAGATCATGCAATCTCACTTCGCTTGACATTTTTTGTGGAGATTCAAACAATAAGCAGACGAACCTGGAGCAAAAAATGTCTCAAATTGTCGTTAAAACTGAGCTACAACTGTTCCAACAAGTTACTGAAAATATGTAAAATCTAATCGAAGGATGGTCATCTGTAGATACAGCTGAGGGGGCAACTGGTTAATATTATCTATCAGACATAACTGTCGTACTTCTACAATTTAAGAACACAAACAAGCTATTTTTCCAAAAAAAAATTATTTTAATTAAATACCAAGTCGGCTCCGTTAATAATAGCAGCGATTAACCGACCATATCAAATAGGTATATGAAGTCACTTATTCCACAAATATTGCTGATTTTCAATATTATTTCTTTATTGCAGGTGTTTTCATGCAGAGGTGCAAGACTTCCACACCGTCGTCGTCAAGTAAGGTGCCTGCTACTGATAATTCCACATTTGTATCTCGTACAACCGCTACTGCTTTACACAAAGCTGGAATCATAAACTATTGTAACAAGTTGCTCGTAGCACTGCACTCGTATTGGCGTAATTTGCCCGAGGAGGAGAGTTCCACTGGTGTTTCTGGAAACCTCTTGAAGGTAAGTGGAATCCATATTCTTATATTTTAATTACTTAGTGTTAGTAATGTAATGAATATTCGCATGTTTTTTTGATATTCGTAAAATCCAAGCAAAAAAATATAAAAATCTATAATACCAATTTCCGGCTAATTTCGTCGTATATTGTTGATTGCTCACTGCTGATTTTGACTGCCGCTTATAATTCAGAAATCATTATCCTATTCTGTGGTGCAGATATGCTAAAAAACAAATTGATACTTCTAGGAATTTATGTGTTTTGAGTCAGCAACATTCGGCCGTTGTGCCGCCAGGATCCCATATCTCTCTGCAGTCAGTGATCTTGACATCCTCTATATATTTTATAAACAGAACAGAGTTAAATGAGATTATCAGATTGTTTAACAAAAAAACAATATGCGATATCGCGCAGTGTCCAAAAAATTAACAATTCAAGCTACAGTTTTTTCCTCAGCTAAAGCGACTGCTTAGCTATCCCTCGACGGCCGTCTGGTGACGATTCAAAACACTTTTATATACTAAGTGACATATAAATCCGAACACCCAGTTTAAATGGTTTTATTTTAATAAAAGTTGGTGAATGTATTTATCTTACTGTAAATAACAAGTGAAAAAATTTTCAGCCTTATCAATTGGACATTCCGGTTTTTATACTGCTTTTTTTTAATTCACTAACGCTCTAAAAATGAATATTTCAGCCGCAGTAAAGAATCAACGTTGGCAGATTTTGGTTCTTGACATCCTTTACGATCGGTTACGATGCCTAGAGTGCGGAGACCTGTACGATTTCGTCAACTTAGTGAGTTTGATAGGGGCCGTATAGTGGGACTTCGGGAAGCTGGAGTTTCTTTTCGGGCAATTGCAGTTAGAGTGCAAAGAAGTGTAGACACTGTGGTTAGGTGTTGTCAGGCATGGCTTCGAGAAGGCCGTACGCAAAGAGCAAGGGGCACTGGACGCCGCCGTAGAACAACAGACCGTGAATATCGCCGCCTAATATTATTGGCCTTAAGGGACCGTTTCTCCACTACCAGGTCCATTGCAAATGAATGGTTTGCAGAACACGGAAGACCTATTGGCATGCGAAGTGTTTACCGACGAATGAGAAGTTTTGGCTTGTTTTTATACCGGCCACACTGGGTCCTCCCTTTAACTCGAGAACACCGACGTAATCGCCTTGAGTGGTGCAGACAACGGTCACTCTGGGATCAGGAATGGAACAGTATTGTCTTTAGTGACGAGTCTCGATTTTGTTTAGGCATGCACGATGGTCGTGCCAGGGTTAGAAGGCGACGAAGTTCTAGAACCCCATCTTTTACCCTATCTTGACACCCTGGCAGATCCAACTTTCCAACAAGATAATGCCCGACCACATGTTGCAAGAGTCACAATAGACTTCTTTCAACATAATGATGTCACATTGTTACCATGGCCACCAAGATCTCCAGACTTATCCCCAATTGAGCACGTGTGGGATATGATGGGTAGGAGACTGCTCAATTTGCAACGTTCTCCTCAGACTCTAGAAGCACTTCGAGAGGAATTGGTGGTTGCCTGGAATGAGATACCACAGGAGGACATTGACCACCTGATCAGGAGCATGCCTAGGCGCGTTGGAGAATGCGTAGCACATCAGGGTGCATCCACACATTATTAAAGGTCAAAGGGCTTTAAAGCAGTGCAATCATTTTGAAATTTTTATCATTTACTTATTATGCTTCATTAAGTACTTATACAAAATTTTATTAAAATAAAACCATTTAAACTGGGTGTTCGGATTTATATGTCACTTAGTATAAATCCCTAATGAAGTAAGCTTGCCATTACGAATCAGTGCTCCAATATTTATATTACTACAATCCAATTACTTTTATGTTGTTTTGCTATTGTTGAAACATTTTTATAGGAACATCCTGCCCACCCACCTCCAGACATGACACCATTCTTCCAACGCCAGTACGTCAAAGACAACCAGGACGTCTTCCTGACGTACCCTCAACTGCTGACAGAAATAGCCCTTCGACTGCCCTACCAAGTACACAGACATTCTGAAGTATCAGAATCGATCAGCAAAGCCTTTGATGTATCTTGGTACAACCTACTCTGCGATTATATGATGACGCCGCAAACACCGTTTGTCAGAAGACAAGTGAGGAAGCTACTTATGTTCATCTGTGGCAACAAGGAGACATACAGGCAGCTGAGAGATCTTCACGGCCTTAGGATGCATATGAAGGGTGTCAAAGAATGCTGTGATAAGGGCGGATATCAACCGATGATAGATGTACAACACGCCCTCAGTCTCCCTTACGACTCACTGGTTGAGTTGATCGAACATCTCAAGTACTGCGTTGAGGTAGCGCAAAGTCGCACTGGAAATTGGCAGAGATTCTGCATAAAGGAAGACGATGTGATACAGTTTTTGTTACGCGTGAGCTTTTTGCTTGACGACGGTGTCGCTCCTACGATCTTACAGCTGTTGCAGTGTGCTTTGGTAGTTAATTCTGCAACTGCTAAGAAAGCTGAAACGAGTAAAGCTAGCACTTCGAGGAAAGACAGGGAAAAGTCGGACGACTCTGCTATCGAAGCACTTTTTGAAGAAACCAGTTGTATCACTCTTGTAGAGCAGATCAATAAGCAAGTTTCCAGGGAAGTGTTCGCGCGATTCATAAAAACATTTATGCTGGAAACCAACACAACTTCTGTACGCTGGCAATCGCATGCGTTAGTACAAGCTATCTACAAAAACTCGAAGCCCAGCGAACAAGAATCTTTGATGGAGCTTCTATGGCAACTGTGGCCTATGCTACCAGCATATGGAAAGAAAGCTGCCCAATTCGTAGACCTACTTGGATACTTCTCGCTCAAGTACACTGAAAAACCCGAAGGTGCTCCGATGATCCCAGAGTATGTTGAAAGAGCAGTCAGTGTGCTTAGAGCCCAGAATGAGCTATTAGCTCACCATCCTAATGCTAACCTTTACGCCCATATGAGCCAGTTTGTCGAGCTTGATGGGTACTATTTGGAATCGGAGCCTTGTTTGGTATGCAACAATCCAGAAGTACCTTTTTCGAATATAAAATTGAGCTCCATCAAGGTGGACTCGAAATTTACCACCACGACTCAAATTGTTAAATTATTGTCTAGTCATACAATTAGCAAGATAACTTTGAAGATTGGCGACCTAAAAAGAACGAAAATGGTGAGAACGATAAATATCTACTATAACAATAGACCCGTACAAGCTGTAGTCGAACTAAAGAACAAGCCAGCATTATGGCACAAAGCGAAAAAGGTCACAATGCAATCAGGTCAAACTGAGGTTAAAATCGAATTTCCGTTGCCTATAGTTGCTTGTAACCTCATGATCGAATACGCTGATTTTTACGAAAATATTCAAGCCTCTTCTGAAACTCTGCAATGTCCAAGATGTAGCGCTTCAGTACCAGCCAATCCTGGAGTATGCGCGAACTGTGGAGAGAATGTGTTCCAATGTCACAAATGCAGAGCAATCAACTATGATGAAAAGGATCCTTTCTTGTGTCATGCCTGTGGCTTTTGCAAATACGCTAAGTTTGACTTCAGCCTCCTCGCTAGACCGTGCTGTGCTGTGGAGCCCATTGAAAATGATGAAGATCGAAAAAAGACCGTAGCTAACATCAATTCTTTATTAGAAAAAGCAGATAGGGTGTATAAGCAGCTGATTTCTAACAAACCTACCCTTGAAACCTTGGTATTGAAAATCACAGAGCACAGATCTGACAAAAAGGCAGATGAACCAAGTACGTCAGGTAATAATGCTGCAAATGCAGTCTCTTCATCTGGTACGCAGGGTAAAGTCAATAAGACGATTCAGATGTTGGCACAGCAGTACTGCAATGAATGTAAGACGTCGTTTGAGGAGCTAAGTAAGATCATCCAAAAAGTCCTGGTGTCAAGAAAGGAACTCGTGGCATATGACCGAAAGCACAGGGACACTGAATTCCCGAAATCTACTCCAGTGCTGAGTGATGCGTCGATGAGTCTCGCTAGACCGAATCACAGATGTTACGGTTGCTCTACAGCCGCTACTGAACATTGCCTGACGCTGCTCAGAGCCTTGGCACATAACCCTACGACGAGGCAGGTTCTTTGTTCCGAAGGACTGATCCAGGAGCTGGTTTGGAATAACTTGAGGAAAGGTATGGCCTATTTAGTAATTTAGTGGATGATATTTTACATTTATTTTTATAGGTAACGTTCATAATCAAGAAGAGGTTAGGCAACTATTGTGCGTGCTGACTAAAGACAATCCGACAGCTACTGAAGAACTGTGTAACTTGCTCATGGAGAAGATAACCACGAGCCTAAATGGACATGTTAACAGGTAGCTTTTAATTTGTGTCTAGTTTGTCATCTGCTTTTTACTACAGGGTGTTTGTTCTCAATACTGGAACTTTCCTTTACACGGCTTATAGCTCTTGTAGAAATAAGCAAATTTTCCTGATATGTATATACCAAGATATTCGAGGTATTAAGCTCCGAAAAAAATCGCGGATATCAAATGCATCCATGCCTTCGGTATTCAAGCAAAGGATTAGGTGAAAACGACGCTTGTCAGTATCCCGACGCACAGTATTCCGAACATATGGTGAGGGTGGGCAAAACTCACGAGCCTTCAAACTCTTGTAGTAATTCACACGCTGAATAAAAAAGTTCTTATAAACATGATCTGTAAATGCACCCTTAAAAAGTTACGGCAAGATAGCAAAGTAACCTACTAATTGCAGGTTTTTCTCTTTCTCATTGGTCGTTAGACTTTTCCACGTTTATATACGAACGTAGTTCAAGAGTAACTACAGCTATTCGACCTGCGTTTTTGAACGAAAAACATATTTTAGCATTTGGTTATACTGACTATTTCTATAGAAACGAAAATAATAAAACAGTATAGTAGCAGGCTGACGCATTTGACGCAAAATTAAAGCATTGCAACAAGACTACGCAAAAAAAAACAAAAAGGATATTTGCGGATTTTTTTAAAGTGTCTTAAAGTTTGAATGACATTCAAACTGCCCAACTAGCAAAGTAGTGGTATAAGCTTTTGGTAAAAGAACCGTTCAGTCATAAAAGCTCTCTATTGTTGTTGCCTGAACACCAAAATGCTGCCTTAATGTTGTGTAGAATGCAAATTTGCTTTCTGCAACATATTTTCTCTAAAATGAGGTGTTTAAAATATTCTTATAGCATAGTTATACAACATCTTATGGGGCAAATTTTTAACTGTTGCATAAACGTTTATACAACTATTGTATACGGCATATTTGCACGTTAGTCAACATGGTTGTGTTGTGGCATCCATGGTAACGTTTATAAAGCAAACCCGAGCCTTGTTGTTTTGCTGTGCAATTTACTACTTTAGCCAACAAATTGCTCCCAACGGAAGCACTTATACAACTGTTGTTTAGTAACTGTTAAAGGCTGTACATATGCTAAATATGTTGGTAAACAACTTCACCATAACCTAACTTTCTGCTGTCATATTTTTGTAAAATGCCATAACCAATGTTTTAAGACAAACAACACATGAATATTGGTTCAAAAGGTTTATCAACTGTTCAAATAGAAGATATAGATCTGGTACAAATTCTGGGTAAATCATTCGACTCTGTCGGTATTTCATTTCAGACATTTGTCAAATTGTTGTATTCAGCTGCAGGCAACACCAAAATATTCTAATAACCTAAAGAGAACATGGACGATGCCATGATTGTACACAACCACCCGCCATATTGGGCAAACATTTATTCCTCTATTTAATATTAAATATACATGTATTATGTTTCAGTTCGAAATTACAGATATAAAGAGATAAACATTAGTGTAATTGTGTCTAAATATAGGATTTGTGGAAAATTTAACGCAGATTAAGTTCAGTTATCCATCTTCAAAATCTAGACATACTTTTGATCATTGTCAAAATATGAATCAAATACGAAGCCCGTAGAAATTGGGTAACTAATTTGCACGATAATCACAAGAAAATTTGCTGCGCAAGTAATTCAATAGCCCTATATCACAGTGTAGAAGTTTATCATATACCTGTGTATGAAATTCACAATGGCCGATATGTAAGTAAACAAGATGACTGTAATGTGTTAGTTATATATCCTTCACTTCGTCTATACATTACATAAGAAATAGTTTGGTTGCAATAAAGTAGAATCACGTAACAGAATAGTTGTATAGTTGACAAAAACTGAATCTTGCACTTACGCAAATATCCTATAGCGGCTGCAACTTTTGTTTTATAACTGTTACCTGCAGCCCTTATACAACCTCTTAAATGGCTGAAGTGTCCTATTAGGTGTGCCCATTCCGCTTGTATAGCTGTTCTAAGAGGGTTTTGCCAATGTTCTTACAGTATACAATGCTGTTTAAGGAATACTGTATAACCATTCTTGCAACTCTAATAGGAGTGATAATTGTTAGTTGGGTGGTCACCGAAACTTCACATACATTCAGTTAACATAATAACTTCTGCAGTTGCCAATTAAAATAGCACATTTTAAGATACATACCTTGACCTGTATATTCCATCGTTGACAGTGATTATTTTCTCCCTGCAATGTGATGCGAATGGAACAAAACGTAATTTGCGACTAATACGATATAAATCGCAAAACCGAAATACTCCAGAAATGTTTCCATTACGTTGAATTAAAAAATGATATAATCCTACTGAACAATTGTCTGGTGTTAAGAATACTAAAATGTAAACAGTTGAATACTAGACTAGATAATGGAATTTGAAACAACCAGAATCACTCAAAATCGTACTTTCCTTTCGCAGTAGCAGACTTGTCGATATGATGTTAGTTTACGATGTGTGTGTTCAAGATGCTGTTAATGTTTGGCGAGATTTTCAGGAACGTTACACATTGAGCGAGATGTTAACAAACTTGTTTTTGAACGGTATTTATAAGCAACGTGACAGTACAGCACTTGGCGTTTCCTAACGGCAAACATAGTTGTTTATAAAAAGGAAGGGCCCAACTTTAAGAATAGATATAATATCTGTTTAGAAGATGCTTAAAAATAAGACATGTCTTTGTCATTTTTGTAAAAAATTAATACCTGAGTTAAAAAAATCTGCGACATGAAATTCTAGAATTATCGTTTTTACTCCCCAAGCCAGTAGTAAGGAAAGTATACTAAGTGACATATAAATCCGAACACACAGTTTAAATGGTTTTATTTTAATAAAAGTTGGTGAATGTATTTATTTTACTGTAAATAACAAGTGAAAAAATTTTCAGCCTTATCAGTTGGACATTCCGGTTTTTATACTGCTTTTTTTTAATTCACTAACGCTCTAAAAATGAATATTTCAGCCGCAGTAAAGAATCAACGTTGGCGGATTTTGGTTCTTGACATCCTTTACAATCGGTTACGATGCCTAGAGTACGGAGACCTGTACGATTTCGTCAACTTAGTGAGTTTGATAGGGGCAGCATAGTGGGACTTCGGGAAGCTGGACTTTCTTTTCGGGCAATTGCAGTTAGAGTGCAAAGAAGTGTAGACACTGTGGTTAGGTGTTGTCAGGCATGGCTTCGAGAAGGCCGTACGCAAAGAGCAAGGGGCACTGGACGCCGCCGTAGAACAACAGACCGTGAAGATCGCCGCCTAAGATTATTGGCCTTAAGGGACCGTTTCTCCACTACCAGGTCCATTGCAAATGAATGGTTTGCAGAACACGGAAGACCTATTGGCATGCGAAGTGTTTACAGACGAATGAGAAGTTTTGGCTTGTTTTCATACCGGCCACACTGGGTCCTCCCTTTAACTCGAGAACGCCGACGTAATCGCCTTGAGTGGTGCAGACAACGGTCACTCTGGGATCAGGAATGGAACAGTATTGTCTTTAGTGATGAGTCTCGATTTTGTTTAGGCATGCACGATGGTCGTGCCAGGGTTAGAAGGTGACGTGGTGAAAGGAGGAATCCACAGTTTTTTGTTGAAAGACATGTTCATCACACTGTTGGAGTTATGGTTTGGGGTGCTATAGCTTATGGTTCCAGGTCACCTTTAATCTTCATCAGAGGTAACATGAACGCGCAGCGTTATATCCACGAAGTTCTAGAACCCCATCTTTTACCCTATCCTGACACCCTGGCAGATCCAACTTTCCAACAAGATAATGCCCGACCACATGTTGCAAGAGTCACAATAGACTTCTTTCAACATAATGATGTCACATTGTTACCATGGCCACCAAGGTCTCCCGACTTATCCCCAATTGAGCACGTGTCGGATATGATGGGTAGGAGATTGCTCAATTTGCAACGTCCTCCTCAGACTCTAGAAGCACTTCGAGAGGAGTTGGCGGTTGCCTGGAATGAGATCCACAGGAGGACATTGACCACCTGATCATAAGCATGCCTAGGCGCGTTGGAGAATCCGTAGCACATCAGGGTGCATCCACACATTATTAAAGGTCAAAGGGCTTTAAAGCAGTGCAATCATTTTGAAATTTTTATCATTTACTTATTATGCTTCATTAAGTACTTATACAAAATTTTATTAAAATAAAACCATTTAAACTGGGTGTTCGGATTTATATGTCACTTAGTATATTTTAATTTCGAAAGTGTTACCCTTGGCCCAGATTGTGATGAAATTTTACAGAAGGTGACAACTAATCCAAGGGCGAAAAAGCTTTGTAATCTTCGAAAATGGATCCAGTGATGGCCAACGCTAGAGGCGCAAAAACGAAAAAAATGTTTTTACGTTCCAACGGCTCATGATCATTTTACAAAAAGATGTATGCAGGGGTTAAAAATAGGGTTTTTTATGGGGTGTGGGAGGGTATATCACAACTTTCTGGCGTTAATATGTTTATACATCCGTAATTATACGCACTTGTTAATCATATTCCACACATCATAGGTTTCGCGGTACATTTGCCCTCATAACATGGAGAAATATTTTGAACACACGCGTCTCTGGATAAATAAATAAATTTATTGTTCCAAGAAACTTCGATGAAGCTTACGAAACCTCATCAACACATAGATAAACAACTCATTATAAAAAACAAAAAAAATCAAAACCCAGAAGTTCCACAAAAAATTTCTCAACTTCTTTCTAATTTTATTTTGTAAAAATGGAGCCACTCATAAATTTAGTAATTTAGTTAATAAATGAATAAATAAACTTTGCTTTTGAACTTGCCAATATTGTCATTACCTCTAATTATAGAAATATAATTAGGACTTCGTATAAACTTGAATTATGATTAGGAACAATAAATAACTTCATGTAGACCAGAGTTCTTCATAAATTTCTGCATATTGCTCCGGGAAAATCTCTTCAATCATGGGATGGGATGGATATACCTGCGTCGCGCGTCGGGGTTTGACCAATGGGTGGCTGGCAATGACGAGTGGTGAGACTAGTCAGCAACATTGCCAGATGTTCAGTATTGTGTTGTATTCAGGGGATACATTTCTAGATCGCAACATTGTCAAATTGCTTGGGACATTGGACTGTTCGACAAACTTGATCCATTTAATTTTTCTGTTACACATGTAGTTAGCCTAATATTTTCTCAGAGGTCTTGTGCCGAACATAATCCTTTATGATTCTGATGACAACAACAACCTACTTGACGTTTCTTTTTTAGTCCGGATTTGGGGACCAGCGTCCGTCACGAAATAGCACTGCTTGCCGCCATGGTCCAAAAAGAAGATGAGTGCTGGGAGCTGAAACTACGCTGCATGATGCACTTATTCCTCAAAGCTTGTGAAGACTCCAAGAGCCCGTTAGTGATGGAATCGGTTGTGCTGCCTTGCTTGAAGATTCTGCAGGGCTTGATGAAACCCAGCACGCCAGCCAGTGAGAGCACCGCCAAGAAAGTCAAGGAAAAGATGAACATCAACACGGCGGGCACCAGTGCCAAGTTGCAGTTGACTGGAACTACCGTAGACGTTTTCAAATTCCTAGATAAGGACCCCCAACACACTTTTGCTGGATGGAGGAAAAGAATGCCAAGGAGTATTGAAAGCCCAACGCCTACTCCACTTTCAAAGAAAGAGGTAATTCATCTAAATAGTGCTCATTTTTTAAGGATTAATAGAAAGATATTAATAAAGATATTTTTTTTTTAGTTTGTACTAAGAGAAATGGGATTGTAAAACGCTCTCTCTAAGCATATTTTTATCCATATATCCGTCTAACAAACACGTCTCATTTATTTACAGGCAAGGAATTACTATTTACAAGAAAAATATGGAAAGAAGTGGCGAAGGTTAGCCAAGAAAACATATGTTAAAGAGAAACTGCAATTGAGCGACACTTCTTGGCTGAAAGCTGTCATTTTCAATCCAAGTTCACGATTGGCTAGGCAAGTGGCTTGTAACATCATTGAGCTGATGTGTAGCAGCTTCGAACGTAAACGAGAGGTAAGTTTTATATCTAGTAAAATTCCCAATAGTAATTATAGTAAGCTCAGAACCAATCCAAGATCTGATGTTTATTTTTCTCGTTTTCTATTGAGCGAATTTTGTTCCAGATTCTCAACCTGTTGACGCACTTCTTGACCGAGTTGAGTATAGCGGGCGAAAGCTCTGCCGAATTCCTCTCTCTATATCAAAACCTCATCCAAGAGGTTCCTTGGAAGCAGTATCTCACAGTCCACGGAGTTTTGCAAATTCTAGCGAACTTGGTAACAGTGGAGATAGAACAATTACACTATCTCGAAGAAACGACGCTTACTTCCGATTTAGCCCAAGGTTATGCGCTCAATCAGCTTACTGACCTTCTGGCTTCATTCTTGGAAGATCCTTGTATTCGTAGGCAACACAAGAGCAGGCTTGTTGGTGCTGTCTTAGATGGATACTTGTCATTGAGACGACTGGTTGTCCAAAGAACCAGGCTCATCGATGATACGCAGGAAAGACTTTTGGGACTTCTAGAGGAAATGACCACTGGTGAGTTATTTGTAGAGGCAGTGTTCTCGTTATAATTTTAATTGAAGTCTGAAACAGTTAAAAACCGCCGATTTTAAATGTGGAACGGTGCTTTTGAAGAAATTCTACTGTACTCTGCTTTCACTTGACTATGTTTTTATGTTTAGGTACTGAAGAAGAAACCAAAGCATTCATGGCCGTCTGTATCCGAACAGTCGAGAAATATAGTCTCCAAGATATTCTCACACCGGTGTTCATTTTCGAACGTCTTTGTTCGATAATCTACCCAGAAGAGAACGACGTCGGTGAATTCTTCTTGACACTGGAGAAGGATCCCCAACAGGAAGACTTCTTGCAAGGTCGCATGCTTGGTAACCCGTACTCCAGTTTGGAAGTAGGTCTCGGACCATTGATGAGAGACGTCAAGAACAAAATCTGTCAGGATTGCGAACTAGTAGCTCTCCTAGAGGACGACAACGGCATGGAGCTGCTGGTCAACAACAAAATAATGAGCTTAGATTTACCTGTGAAGGATGTGTACAAGAAAGTATGGTTAGCTGAAGGTGGTGATCATGAGGCGATGAAGGTTGTATATAGGATGAGAGGACTGTTAGGTGATGCCACTGAAGAATTTGTAGAAACGTTGAATAACAAATCACAAAGTGCTGTAGATAATGAGGAGGTGTATAAAATGGCGAATGTTTTAGCCGATTGCGGAGGGCTTGAGGTATGGATTTCTAAATCTTGTAGTTATCGTTAGTAGTAGAAAATTATAGATAATAAAAAACATGTGATTAAACTTTTGAATTGAAAAAATTGTCATTAGTTTACTAACCAAAAATCGGCCTTAATGTTATCAACGAGCTTTTTTATAGATAGAAAATAATTGTAATCAATGAAATCTATTTTGTTTTTCAGGTTATGGTGACAAGATTAGGAGCAATACAAAGTGTAGTGAGAGCTCGACCTTTGTTACAAGTGCTATTGAAACTATTTAGGTTATGTGTTAAGGTGAACCGCTGTCAAGAGGTACTGATAAAGCCTGAAGTAGGAGCAATGGAAGTATTTTTGAGAACGCTCAAACTTTGTTTGGACAGCGAGTCCGATTCTAGTCAAGCTGCTGTTACTGAACAACTTCTAGATGTAAGTAGTCCAACAGCTCACAAATGGAGGCAATTAATATTCAAAACTATTAAACCTAAAATGAAAAAAAAATGCTTGATTGTTTTTCCGCGCAAGTCAGTTTTCATGACTCTATTTATATATTTTTTTGTTTCAGATAATGGAAACTATTCTTTCAAAAGCAACTAGTGAATCACTTGAAAACTTCGAACAGTTTTCTCAAACCTTTGGAAGTCCTGAATATGTCAGATCACTGCTTACATGCACTAGTCAGTCATCAGTAAAAAATAACACCTCTGTTATGGTACATCTCACCCGTGTCCTCGCCGCGCTAGTCTATGGAAATCAAGAGAAAATGAAAATACTATTAGACCACTTCATGCCGGTCTTAGATTTCAATAGATACGATCTGGAGCACACTTCAGACGACCAACAAAAACTAGAAATGTTCTGCATACTGACCAACGGTATAGAGAAGAATGCGATAGGTAGCACCTTGAAAGATTACATTATATCTCTGGGGATAGTAAAGAATGCCCTAGATTATATCACATGTCACGCACCATGCGTGAAGCCCACTCTACTGCGAACTGACAGCGATGAGCTGAAGGATTTCATCTCGAAACCGGCGTTGAAGTATATTCTCCGTATGTTGACTGGCCTGGCGCACAGTCATGAAAATACACAACGTGCCATTGCAGAGGCTGACACCATACCAATCATACATCGGCTTGAGCAGGTAAGAGCAGTTCAATATTTTATCCGTAGATCAATGCTTAGGGATCATTTCAACGCTAGAACAACTGATAGTAATATTAAACTGTAGCTTTCCTAGACGGTTTTCAACTTAGGTGCTTCAACCGAACCACTTCAGAGAACGAAAACGCGATGGAGATATACTTTTTTCTGGTTATAAATAACTCTTAGAAGACAGGATCGGAGGTTTACTTTTGTGATACTCTTTTGATACACGTTGTCCAAATAACGCAAATATCCAAATCTTGTTAATTTGTATCACGTACTTTGTTGTAAATCGTAATTTTCTTCTACTGTAGTAAGGAACCTTTATTAACTCTCCTAGGTGTCTTCCGATGAGCATGTAGGCTCTCTGGCCGAAAACCTACTAGAGGCACTGTGCACTAACGAAGAAGTAGCAGGAAAGATCGACGCTGTCAGAGAATTCACCAGGTCAGAGAAAAAGCGATTGGCTATGGCTATGCGAGAGAAGCAACTTGGACAACTGGGAATGAGGACTAACGACAAGGGGCAGGTAACTTATTACTAAATATCTTTTAAACTAGTAATATTTCCTTCAAAATTAAAATGTTCTACAATTACCCCTGTTCCAAAAGTGCAAAATTCTGAGTTATATACAAACATGCGGCCAATTAATGTACTGCCAGATGTCGAGAAGCTCTTAGAAGGAATCATATATACTGAGTGACATATAAATCCGAACACCCAGTTTAAATGGTTTTATTTTAATAAAAGTTGGTGAATGTATTTATCTTACTGTAAATAACAAGTGAAAAAATTTTCAGCCTTATCAGTTGGACATTCCGGTTTTTATACTGCTTTTTTTTAATTCACTAACGCTCTAAAAATGAATATCTCAGCCGCAGTAAAGAATCAACGTTGGCGGATTTTGGTTCTTGACATCCTTTACGATCGATTACGATGCCTAGAGTACGGATACCTGTACGATTTCGTCAACTTAGTGAGTTTGATAGGGGCCGTATAGTGGGACTTCGGGAAGCTGGACTTTCTTTTCGGGCAATTGTAGTTAGAGTGCAAAGAAGTGTAGACACTGTGGTTAGGTGTTGTCAGGCATGGCTTCGAGAAGGCCGAACGCAAAGAGCAAGGGGCACTGGACGCCGCCGTAGAACAACAGACCGTGAAGATCGCCGCCTAAGATTATTGGCCTTAAGGGACCGTTTCTGCACTACCAGGTCCATTGCAAATGAACGGTTTGCAGAACACGGAAGACCTATTAGCATGCGAAGTGTTTACCGACGAATGAGAAGTTTTGGCTTGTTTTCATACCGGCCACACTGGGTCCTCCCTTTAACTCGAGAACAACGACGTAATCGCCTTGAGTGGTGCAGACAACGGTCACTCTGGGATCAGGAATGGAACAGTCTTTAGTGACGAGTCTCGATTTTGTTTAGGCATGCACGATGGTCGTGCCAGGGTTAGAAGGCGACGTGGTGAAAGGAGGAATCCACAGTTTTTTGTTGAAAGACATGTTCATCACACTGTTGGAGTTATGGTTTGGGGTGCTATAGCTTATGGTTCCAGGTCACCTTTAATCTTCATCACAGGTAACATGAACGCGCAGCGTTATATCCACGAAGTTCTAGAACCCCATCTTTTACCCTATCTTGACACCCTGGCAGATCCAACTTTCCAACAAGATAATGCCCGACCACATGTTGCAAGAGTCACAATAGACTTCTTTCAACATAATGATGTCACATTGCTACCATGGCCACCAAGATCTTCCGACTTATCCCCAATTGAGCACGTGTGGGATATGATGGGTAGGAGATTGCTCAATTTGCAACGTCCTCCTCAGACTCTAGAAGCACTTCGAGAGGAGTTGGTGGTTGCCTGGAATGAGATACCACAGGAGGACATTGACCACCTGATCAGAAGCATGCCTAGGCGCGTTGGAGAATGCGTAGCACATCAGGGTGCATCCACACATTATTAAAGGTCAAAGGGCTTTAAAGCAGTGCAAACATTTTGAAATTTTTATCATTTACTTGTTATGCTTCATTAAGGTCGGACGTCCCTTTTTTTCAACTGTGCGTTTGGAGCAGTATTATGAGCACTTATTGTCTGATTATTTCAGGGTGTGTATAAAAATGACTAATTTATGATAATCTCATGTTTTTTTGTCAAAATGACAACTTTTTTTTGCCAATTTTTTTACAGTCCCAGCTTCGAAACAAATAATCGTAAAGACATGAAATTAAATGATTGCATTATGAATCAATAAAGGATCGTCCTTTATCGCTCATTTTCCACATATATTTTATTTTTCGCATAAAAAATTTATTTTTCTTTTGAAGGAAAACGATTTTTTGAAAGTATGTGGATAAAAGACATAAAGAACTGAAAGAACAAGCCATCAAAGAAAAAATCAACTCATTTGCTCATTTTGGCAAAAAATAATAATAGTTTCTTGATGCACATGGTCACATTTACCCCCATTTCAACCCCTTCGTCTCCAAGGTCTAATCTATATCTGTTCCAAAATGCATCGGAATTGGTTCAGCCGTTTTGGAGTGAAAACGGAACATACAAACACACAAACGTACACACATTTATAATATTAGTAGGGATGCTCATATCTGTATCTAGCAGGTATATATACTTAAGTGGGATTTTGAAGTTTATTTGTCTATATGTATGCATTTGGATTGTTGGGTCCACTGAAACTGTATATATGTGAATAAAAAACTTATACTACCTATGATGTCTATTTTTTCAAAGTAGCTTATATACATACAGTGCTTTTTGTTTGAACGGGTCACGTTAGCTAGCTGAAATTCATGGGTGCAATAATTTTGGAACATTTTTTAAATGGACTGAAAGGTCAGGTGCTACCTCATTCTTACTAGTGCTTTATTCTAGAATATAACATTTCCAAGACTGGCGAACTGACAGGCTGTCAAAGTTGACGGATAGTTGTATGGAAGGGTGAAAATTTACCAAAATCCCATATAGCCTGGCGCCGGCAGGATGACTAGGCCGGTGCGCCGTTCTGGCAACGTTGTGTAATCACACGGCGGTGGGTAGGCGTCTTCAGAGCCCAGTGGGCCAGGCGTTCGATTTAATCATGAATTTCGTCATTGTACTGCCACCTTGCTGATATAATTTTTTTTGGGGGGTGGGCTGAATGCCTTTAAATACTTATACAAAATTTTATTAAAATAAAAGCATTTAAACTGGCTGTTCGGATTTATATGTCACTTAGTATATGAACAAGTCATTGAATATATCGAAGAAAATAAGACATTTACAAAATTTCAAACAGGATTCAGAAAAAACTATTCTACTGAAATAGCAATTCAAATGGTAGTAGAAGAATGGAGGCGAAATATTGATGAAAAAAAGTTTACAGTAACATTGTTCTTAGATTTCAAGAGCGCACTTGAGACTATTGACAGGGAGAAATTGTTAACGAAATTGCATTGCTATGGATTTCAAGGTTCAGTAGTCAACTTATTCAAAATTATTTGATCCTTAGAAGTCAAAGAACTAAAATTGGCAATACTTTATCAAACATTAAAAACATTTCGGTAGGTGTGCCACATATTTATTTTATATATTAACGATATTCCTGATAATTCAACTATTTGCTGATGATACATCAATATATATATATATATATATATATATATATACTTTGAAGTTGAGTCATTAATTTTCAGATAATGATTGTAGAAGGAAGATAAACCAAAATATGTGTGTAAAAATAAAAAAAAAATTAAAAAAAGATGTTACCTTGTTTTATAAAGTATCCTCCCGACAAGTATTTCAGTGCGGACCTGTATTTGATCGTGCGGTCTTGGAGCACCGGCATGCCGCGTAAATAAGAATCATGTCCACAAGTTCAGCATTTTCGTAAACATGTGCCATTTTTGATTTCGTTTGAGCCACGCAACAGACACCACTATTCACTCACGCGTTACCGACTGACACTGACTGTATACAACTGAATAAAATAATTGTAAAAACATCGTTCCAAATTCTTTCGCTTTTTTGTTTCCGATGCGATGAACCGATAAGGCGGATTATATCCGTTGTTGCCAAACACGAGCACATAATATTATTATTTTGACAGGGCGGTACTGAAACTTCCAAAGGGCTATAAACTTTGTTACTTTAATTTTACCAGAAAAATGGTAAAGGAAAAAAACATTTCTTTTGATCAGGTCTACTCACTGTTAAAATAAACGACTCAACTTCGAAGTATATATATCTTAAATAAAGACATTGAAACTGCAATAGAGCTGTTAAACAATGACATGAAAAACGTAATAAATTGGTTAAATGTAAATAAACTTAAACTAAACACAAACAAAACAAAATATATGCTAATAGGCAAATCTTTAGATCAAAATACGATAAATCTCACAATTAATCATGAAAAAATTGTGTCAATCGAATCATTTAAATATTTGGGCATATACGTAGACAGTAAATTAAAATTTGAAGGGCACTATGAATATATTATTTCAAAAATATCCAAGAAAATAAATTACTGTTATAGAATTTCGCATAGCCCAAGTGTTTATTCTAAAAAAATTGTGTACAACACTATCATTCTTCCTCATTTGTTATATTGTTCGACTATTTTGATCACTGCAAATGAAACTGGATTTTCAAATTTACAAATATTACAAAATAAAGCTATGAGAATCATCTTAAATAATAATAAATATACTAGAATAAATTTTATCCTGAAAGAACTACAATGGTTAAATATCAAAAATTTCATAGCCTACTTGGTTTTCATTAAGTAAAATTTTGTTTAAAAATATGTCGTCTTGAAGACATAATATATTTTGTGATATACTGTGTAATATGGTTATTATGGACATTGTAGCATTAATGCTAAAGAAATCTGAAACAAACAAACAAAATAGCTTTTTTCAGGTCTATGGTGTAGGCTTATTATCAGGTAGAACCACAAACGAAAGCTGACCAACTATCCTCTATCCAGAGGATAAGGTCTTTGGAAATAAGACAAGTGCCATCTATTACTCTCGCAGTGGTCGATTCTGGTAATAGTTGGCACTGAGTGCTGTCTTATTTCGATAGAATATCTATTTATTCGTCTAATTCAGACTCGTATAATCAGCCTACATTGCTTATAAAACATTTTCATTGAATTCACTTATTCAAAATTTTAACTCTTGAAATCGTTCAATAAAGTCACCTCAAGTTTATTAGCTATATTTCAGCATACCTTGCAATCAGGTCATAAAGTGGTTTCCTCTGTTTTAGGAGTCACTATAATACTAGACTTACCTCAATGATTTCTTTTTCAGGTTACAGCAAAATCGACTATTCTCCAACAGATCGAAGAGCTGGGCGAGGAATCAGGCCTGGTGTGCTGTATATGTCGCGAAGGGTACAAGTATCAGCCTACAAAGGTGCTGGGCATCTACACATTCACCAAGCGGTGCAACGTGGAAGAGTTCGAGTCGAAGGCACGCAAGACGATCGGATACACGACAGTCAGTCACTTCAACGTGGTGCACGTGGATTGCCACATGAGCGCTGTGCGGCTAGCTCGAGCAAGGGACGAGTGGGAATCGGCTGCGTTGCAAAACGCTAACACAAAGTGCAACGGGTTGCTGCCACTCTGGGGGCCACCGGTGCCCGAGTCTGCCTTTGCCAGCTGTCTGGCTAGACACAACACCTATTTACAGGTACAATTAGAATTACTATGAGTATTCGTATAGTGTATATATGATTCACTGTTATTGCATTGGCCGCCTGTTTAATCTTTTTCTGTAGTGTCATACTTGACTCTGCGCGCACCACTCAAGTCAATTACATGCAACGAATTCGGACTAGGTAGGAGGAGCAATCATATGATTTGTATTTAGAACAAAGTTAGATAATCTGCCTCCAGTTTGACAGTTGATATTTCACATTAGATTCTCATTTTTTTGCGAAAACATAAAAGTGCGTGTATTCAATACAATCCTAGTGTTCTAGACGATTGCCGATAATGGTGAAATTTCTTTGATTAGCCAAACACAGTGTAAACCAAATAAAAGCAGTTTTATCGATAAGTGTTAATATAGTCATCAGCATTGTGAAAGCGCATATGGCTCAACATTAGGCCTATGTACATTGTCAGTTGTGAGATAATTTTGATTTATTTCATTCTACTTCTTGTTCCTTTGAATATTCAGTTCCAAACAAAAGTTTGTTAACATAATTGCATATATTTAGCAACAACAGTGAAAATGCAGAATATTGGAGATAAACCAATTTTTTTCTGATGGATACTGGAAAGAGCCAACCAAAACTGTATATGTATGAGTTCTATCTACTTTAATTTTGAATCTAAAAGTTCTTAGGAAAGGTCTTTACTTTCGCCTTGCAAATCGTAATTTCGATTCCTCATTTTAGTTTCAGTACCCAAAAATTCACAATTCACATCGCGACACAAACAATATTTCTACGGTATCCCAGTACGATTGACACTTGACTATCCTCTCCAGAGAAAAAAAACCTACGTCAATGATTTGTCACTTTGATAGGCAATGGTAGGCAAATTGACCAAAAGTATGCACTAAAACTACACAATTTTGGCGACAAACAATTCGTTGGTCGCAAGTTGCATGTCAAAATCGCGTAATGAGCTTAAGGGTATTGAGGTTAGGGAATTTCAAACTGACAGTCCTCTTTTGATACCGAACTAAATCATGTAAACTCACGCGTAGTGCCCAAAAAAACTAATTAGCAAGGTTCATTTTACTAGCTATTCAAATAACTTCTATTTTCAAGTTACAAAAATCATCCGCGAAAAGTGTGATTTATAACTTTAGTATCAAAACAAAAAGATCACTTTGGAATTCAAATAACTCCTAACCTCAATTCTCTGCGAACCTCACCTCAAGGTATAATGCCACTATTTCGGACTAAAGAAAAAGTGATTTTTTGTCATTTTTTATTTCAGTGAAAAAATGAGCATACATTCATATATTTAACAAAGAAAATCATAAAAGAATATTGAAACGGCTCACAGCAAAACTCAAACAATTCTTTTCAATATATTCAAAATAACATTTTGAGGAGAAATACTTAGGAGATTTTCTATAAGCCAATTTAATCATTACCCATCAGCCAAATTGGCAGAGAGGTGCTCTGCTCGCGGCAGCGCCTCTCACTATATATGCATCGCGAACATGGATGCGGTGCAGTCTTTCTTGACGATTTCATATGTTCAATAACTTCCTTCAAGATTATTTTTTTATTACCTTGTCTTGACATTTAAAATATTGCATTTTCAATAGCTGTCCTAGATCGCTTGTATTGAAAAAACGAACTTGAAATTCTTACTTCACTCACACTTAAATCATTTTTATTTCTCGCCGCAGGAACCATACACTAGGATACTATATTTTCTTCCGGATATCGGTAGATTGTTCACATGTCAATCCGTCAACGAAAACCCTCTGACTATACTTTTTGCAAGCGACATATTCATATTCCATTTTATAAAAACAAACTCCATTTCAGTTTTTGTCATATGCACGTGATTTAAAATGAATATGTGGTTGTCTACATCTTCATATGTTTAGACCAAATCGTAAAAATCCGAAAAATCGTACCCAAACTCATAAGTATTAGAATTTTAAGGTCCAACCGTGTTCTCAGGGGGAACAACTATACATCCTGTGCTCATGCGAGACAAAAGATAAGTTGATGTAGACAACCTCTGGTTGGTAGCTTGAAAAGCAGTAAAAATGAAGCAAACATTTTACAAGCATTTTCGATGGAGACTTGAACAAAAGATGGACGTCCTATTCGGGATCCTGTGCTGGTGATCAAATAATAATAGGGTCATTATGCGTATGAAAGTTGCGAACAATAGCGTGAACCATCGAATATATACTTGTATTTTCTATCATTACCGGCGAGAATATGGGGAACATAGAAAAATTAAATGAGTACTGTTTCATTGCAAACGAGCTTTTTTCTACAGATAAAATGTTCCTCACTTTTCTTAACCACATTGAAACACGTTTCTTTTTAATAAAGTTATGATCCATAGCTTTATGGAAATAGAAGTTATTCGTAAGTTGGCACCTAGATGATTACCTTTTAGAGGCGAAAACAGCACGATCTTGTACGTGGTGATCCAAAAACGATTCATTATTCCAGGAAAGTACCAACCATAGAGACATCGGCCATTCTTCAACCGTACACGACATAAAATTGTTGCTGTTACGATTCGCCCAAGAGAAATCTTTCCACGAAGACACTGGCGGCGGCGGTCCACAGAGCAACATGCACCTTATTCCTTATTTGATCCACGTGGCGTTGTATGTCATCAACACGACACGTGTCAACGGAAGAGAGGAGGCTAGCTTGGTCTCCTACTTGAACAGTACGGAGAGGTGAGTCGGAACTGTAGTCTAGATATACTATTTGAAATGAAATTCCGTATACATACCCAACACTTGATAAAAAATAAATATAAATAAATCGACCTGCTTTTAAGATTCTAAATTTCGATTTCATATATTTTGGCACTCAAAGTTTTATGGCCCTCACTAAGTGTAGTTAATTTTATATCGAAGTTTATCTTGTTAAAACACAATGAGTGATGATTGATCATTGAAAGATCACATTTCCCATCATATACGAGGAATAGCAATTGAGTGCCAAAAAGTCAAAAAAACAAGCATATACAGTTAATAGTACGTTACTTGTCTTGGTAAAGAAGTAGCCGTTATTAGACGAGCACTTTCACATTCTGAGGTGCACAGCCCTGAAGAATGTAACGCAATAATTGCATTCTCCACCGAGCTATGTATAGAATTTTCACTACTAACTATAATATGTTACCACATTTAATTTAATTAAGCTTTGAAATGTATCATATTTGAGAATTTTATGCACGACCGCTAACACTGCCCGAATAAAGCATATACAGTGCATAGGAGAGAAGATAGAAGATGCTACGTATGGCGGCACCTTATTCGTTTCATACTCATTTCCAAATATTCCAAATTTATAAAGTAGCATTGAACTTTCAAGCTGTCAAATAATGGGATAAATAAATACAATCTACAACAATTTTATTTATAGACTCTGCATTTTCTTGTAGCAAAGAATAATCATTAGTAATATTTAAAAATGGATAGAGGGCAAGTGACAACTCTGTGCTCAACAAACCTAAGGAACTCTACATGAATGCACACATTCATTATTTACTAAGGGATTTTTCCATCATCATTATTTATCTATAGAGATAAATGTTACTTCCCCATATAGGTATGCGGTGAACGCTCGTAATGGGAATTTCCCAGGTTAGTATTGAAAAATAAAATGTTATCAAACCTTACAATAATTCTTCATCTCGACGCAACGAATAAAATGTTGCTTCCGTGATATGAAACACCCTTGATAATGCAAAGAAGTTGACATTCGCGTCAGAACGAGATAATATTCTACTGAAAAGACGCACAAGCGACATGAGCTTGTCTTCATATATCATCCGATATTTTCGATTCTCGAAGATAAAGGCCTTCCGCTTCGTGGTTCATCTTCAATCGACTCTCTTCCTTCTTAAAATGCCTTAAATCACCGAAAAGCCTGGGCTCTTGACAAACACTATCTCCGTAGGGCTGCTGAAGTTTGGCAAGAGCTTCTGTTGCACTGTGCGTGTACAATAAAAGGAAGGTCATAAATCAAATACATGTATCCTAACGAATTAGTAATATGATGTCGCATAGTCTCAACTGATCTGGTTTTCTGTAAATAACTATTCTGGAAACCAATTGTTGACAATAACCTAGCGTAGCTTGATTGCCACACCTATTATACAAATTATTTGTAATCAGCCATTATTTTTGACCAATAGATGGGTGGAGTCATCGTATGAAGCCGAGGGGCCCCTCTATTGGCTCACCATGTCGGTACTGCTGCATTCATCTCAGAAATGGCGGACATACCGAGTAATACACCTGCAACGGTTGATAGTTCTAGGACACGCTAGGGCAGTGGGATCTTTCGAAGACAAAAAGGAGAGGCAGTATTCGGTGTATAAGCCTTACCTGGTCTTCTTTGGGCTGATCAATGGGATGTACGAATATTTCTTTAAGGTAAGAGACATAAACTATCACTGCATAACAATAAAATAAAAATTAAACGACTGCTTACTCACGAGTATACTGCGTGCGATGTTACTGATGAAACAGCTGGGGATTTGTTACTACAGACATTACTTGGCATAAATTATCTCGAATGAAATCTCAATTTTATCTTGAAAAGACCATGAGGCGTATTCATAAAAGAGGAAGCATATCCTCGGATACATAAGGTAAAAGTATAAGGTCTTGCTTCGGAGAAAAAGGTAGAAGAATAAGCATATCCTTGTTTTCATATTCATAATGATTGCCTTATACTCGCGAGGATATCCTCCAAGAAGAAGTAAAAGGTTGACTGGTATTTGTATCTTGAGCGACATGTCTTGACTTGTTCCAGCTTGTAGTTGACGTGGGAGTTCGTTCACTCAGCATCACTGACAGTTGTACTCCAGAGCTTACACAGACCGTTCCGTATTTTTACTGGATACAGTTTTTTATCAAATTCATAAGCATGTCATCCTCAAGTGATGAGGAAACTATAGAAAATAATGACAACGACCTGCAGTTCTTCCCAGATGAAATTGCCATTGCTCCCATTATTTTGCAAAAGTCACAAGTTCCAAAAATACAAATGAGTAAGGAAGATGTTGAAAGAATACGAATCATCATTCGGTAAACCATTAGATACTAAAGGCTTATTAAAACAAATCAACAACATGAAATCAAGATTGAAGAAAAAACATCTAAAAAAACTGGTAATAAAGCGATTAAATTATTAGATTGGGAAAGAAAGTTGCTGAAAGCTATGGAAGGTGACTGTAATCCTACAATTGGAAAAATTAGAGGTGCCATTCAGGTTGGTAGTGTTCAAGAAGAAGGAAGTGTACTATATATCGAACGCAGTGAGCAAACAGATAGTATTACAGCGCCAGCAATTCAGAAGGCATTGCCACCAAAAAGAAAATTAGCAACAGAGAAATACGAAACTGAGGAAGCCAAATGGTTAACTACAAAAGAACTGCAAAGTCTAGTGCTATTACAGCAGTGCCAAACAAGTATTTTACAACAAGAGTATTATAAAACGAAATTAGAAATGATGCAGCGTCAGAAGCCACCTGTAACTTATGATGTTCATGAAAATAAAGCTTATTATAACTTATAAATACACTTTAATCAGTCAAACTATTTATTAAAATAATTAAGTTTCTTCTTATTTGTTGACCTAGTTGGCGGAGAGGAAGTTCGACATTCTCATGATTTCCTTCATCTTCATCTGGGTCGTGTTCAACTAACTCAAAGTCAGGATCGCCCAAGCTCTTCGCAACATTATGGAGTACAATACAAACAATAATTATTTTCGGCACATTTTCCAGCTTTATGCGGCAAACATACTGTAGGATAGGAAACCGGCGTTTCAGTTGTCCGAAACAGCGTTCAATTATAACTCTTTCTAGTTTTAAAAGCTAATTATAATTTATTACCTGGAGTAGGATTTCTGAAAGGAGTCATAAGGCATAACCGCCATCGCCAGGTTTGCTTTATTTATTAGTTGTGAGTCTGTGAATTTCTCCATATTTTGGAATCATGCACTGATCCAGGTCAACTGATATCAACACTTGAGAACATCTCTCTGGCATCACAAGTGGCTTGCACATTTAAATTAGGTTTCCCTTTTCGGTTGATATACTCATCTCCATGGCGATTTGGTTTTACGATTTCTATATGTGTAGAATGAATTACACCAGTTGCTGTCGGAAATTTATACATGCTTTGCCATGCCCGTTTGGCCTCCATCAGTCCATGGTTGGTAGTTGGAAACTTGATCCATTCGTTCGACTGTGCAGCTATGCTGTTCACAACTCTATCCACAGTCCGAGATACCGTTGCTTGACTAACACCAAGTTCCTGACCAATACCTTGTTGATATCCAGGGTCACCGAGATAGCGTAGGCATACATATCTTCATTTTATGAATACATGAAAGTGCTCCTCCTCGAGTTTCCTCACTCTCGACTAAAAATCTGTCCGCAAGCAATTGTACATTTGCTTCGTCGAACCGATATAGTTTTTTGAAGTCACGACTAAACGAGGTTTGTACGTTTTAACATCCCTAACTTCCACAATTTCCGCCATCATCGTTTGACTACCTTTCGTTACGAAGTTGAGTCTGCTACTGACCACACTCAGAATTTTTGAAGGATATGCTTCCTATGCCAAGTATAAGCTGAAGATTATGAATATCCTTTTACTTATGTCGCTGCTTTGAAGGATATGCTTATACTCAAAAAGCAAAAGCATTTACTAAAAAATATTATAAATACCGTCTGGAGGATTTCCTTCAAAATTTGCAAGTACAAGGATATCGTTTGTTTTATGAATACGGCTCATTATTTGAAATTGCATTCAATTGTATCCTGAGAAATACTTATCTTTATTTATATCAATTTCAGAATATATCAGGACCAGATGATCTGTGGCCTAGCAACCTTGCTGATTATATTAGGCATAATGATGAGGCTTTAATAAAATCATCCGAGAAGCTGCTTGCGGCATATACTGATGAACTATTACCATGTACTTCCTTTGCTGAATTCTGTGATGTATCAGGTATGTACTTGACTGTGCTGTCAATGTCTGATTCCAACAATCGCGCTTATCAGAACATGGCGCTAATTCATCAAGGAAATATACGACTGATGGTGCTGATTGGTCAAATAAGCAATTTCAGGTTAGAAAGATATTTGATTTCATGCTCTCCGACGTAGCATTTTATGTATTTAATTTGTGCTAATTCTCAAAACCTGTGAATTAGCACAAAGCTTAAACTTCTAGGACTTTACGCGGAATATTATACGGTTTATTTCAGTAATAAAAGCGAAATATCTGCTTGAAATTCAAATTTTTTCTATCTTCAAATTTGTTATTCGACCACCCATGAAAAGTGCGATTTATAACTTTATTCTCAAAACCTGTATGAAGTCCGATAGCTATTCAACTTTTAGGAGTCAATGCGACATATTACACGATTTATTTGAGTAACAAATGCCTGAAGTTCAAATTTTTTCTATCCTCAAATTGTTTATTTGACCGATGAGCGTCGTCAGTCGTGTCTACAACTTTACTGATCGTTCTATCCCGATGAATGCGATTAATGGTAATCTATGTATTTTATTTTTTTTTTATTCCCTTGGAAGATTAGCCTATATTCGTTTTTGAATGAATCATGGGCGTTACACGCGTTTATGTTCTTTGGTGAATTAGAGCAGGCCACGAGCCCAGATACATAAATAACAATTGGGTTAGTGTTAGAAGTCTTGAAGGTCGTTTCATGCAGTCTAGAAAGTGGAGCACCAATTTAGATGCCAAATAACTCAAACGGTAATTTATGTGTTTAAAAAAAACAATAATGGGGTTGTTCAGATATTGGGGATTTATCAGAAAATATAACCGAGCTCCACTTTTTAGACTAACGTAAGTCATTCGCTGTGGGATTAAAGATTTCTTGTTTTATTTAGGTTTGTTGGACGAAATAGAAAATCCGGAAACCTACATAGCTGACACCTTGAAGTCAATGTAAAAAATCTGAATGGGAAGAGTATGAACAAAGGCTGTATATTTGAATTTTATTATTCGCTCGCTTCTAAGGTTATAACCAATAGGTAGTAATAATAATTATTTGCTTTGTTGATGGATTATTTCGATTACTAAATTATTGTAACTCTTGTAGACAAATAAAAGAGTTGGAAAAATTTTACACCCGTTTTAATATGAACCTTGTAACAGCGCATACTTAGGAGAAGAGAATACTGAAGCTGATTCTAAATGAGTTTCGACCTTTGAAATTGATTTCGATGGCGCCTTGTGACGATATACTTGATTAGCTATGATAATTTGAATATAGAAGATCAATATCTATTTCTACAGTCGAAACTTCTTTAGAATCCAGCCCCTGGACACTAACCAAAAAGGACAAGTAGGCCATTTTCATGTCTACCACGACAAAGCAGCTTTTGTTTCCCAAATAATAAACTCGCAAGGTTATTTGGAAATTTTTTGCTTTCGTTGTATCCTGAAAATTCTCAGTGGTTATATATCGTATGCAAATCGTATGTATGAATAGACGTTCCTTGCAAAATGATACCAAACTGAAGGTATGGGAATTGCTATCAGGATAACAGAAACGGGAGGTGTGTTGTTTCTACAGCAACAACGCAGTTCACTGGCCTGCATCGTTTCTCTAGTCCTAATAGACAATCACAATACTTGAGTATCGCACATTCGAACAGACATCCTTGCATAGCTGGGATTTGCTATCAGGATAAAAGAAACGAGAGGAGGTGTAAAACAAGTCTTGCTTGCATAAATGGTGGAAAATTAAAATTACTGGCGTGTCTACCTCTCGTCATTTCTGCGATCCTGATACATTCTCCCCAAAACGTTCCTTGCAAAGTCATACCAAACTGAATGGGTGAGATCTGCTATCAGGAAAACAAACGCTAGGAGGTGTGACACGTCTATTGCTCCTGGTGTAGAAATAACTGGTAGGAAATTCAAATTACTGGTGCATATATCTCAAATGATAACAAACATTAGATGGGATTTGCCATCAGGATTACAGAAACGCAAGGGGGTGCGAAATGTATTTTGCTCCTGATCAGACGGTAGATCTCAAACGAACTCTGTTGACAGACTACACATGCACTCAGCTAGAAAATACAAGTATTACGGTTCGCCATTTTCGTTTCTACAGCTACAACGCAGTTCACTGGCGTGCTTCGTTTCTCTAGTCCTAATAGACAATCACAATACTTGACTATCGCATATTGGAACAGGCATTTCTTGCATAGCTAGAATTTGCTATCAGGATAACAGAAGCGCGAGGAGGTGTGACACGTCTTTTGCTTCTGATCTATAAATAACTGACGGAAAATTCAAATTACTGGCGTGTCTACCTCTCGTCGTTTCTGCGATCCTGATACAGACTCCCCATTGACTTGTTATCGCATTTTTGAGTAAACGTTCCTTGCAAAGTCATACCAAACTGAATGTGTGAGATCTGATATCAGGATAACAGAAACGCGAGGAGGTGTGACACACGTTTTTTGGTCCTAATGTAGCAATAACCGACGCGAAATTCAAATTACTGGCGTGTCTACCTCTCGTTGTTTCTGCGATCCTGATACATACTCCCTATTGACTTATTATCGCATTTTTAAGTAAACGTTCCTTGCAAAGTCACACCAAACTTAATGGGTGAGATCTGCTATCAGGATAACCGAACCGCGAGGAGGTGTGACACACGTCTTTTGCTCCTGATGTAGCAATAACTGGGGCGAAATTCAAATTACTGGCGTGTCTACCTCTCGTTGTTTCTGCGATCCTGATACATACTCCCTATTGACTTATTATCGCCTTTTTGAGTAAACGTTCCTTGCAAAGTCATACCAAACTGAATGTGTGAGATCTGCTATCAGGATAACAGAAACGCGAGGAGGTGTGACACACGTCTTTTGCTCCTGATGTAGCAATAACTGGCGCGAAATTCAAATTACTGGCGTGCCTACCTCTCGTCGTTTCTGTGATCCTGATATAGACTCCCCATTGACTTATTATCTCATTTTTGAGTAAACGTTCCTTGCAAAGTCATACCAAACTGAATGTGTGAGATCTGATATCAGGATAACAGAAACGCGAGGAGGTGTGTCACACATCTTTTGCTCCTGATGTAGCAATCACTGGGGCGAAATTGAAATTACTGGCGTGTCTACCTCTCGTCGTTTCTGCGATCCTGATACAGACTCATCATTGACTTATTGTCGCATTTTTGGGTAAACGTTGCTTGCAAAGTCATACCAAACTGAATGGGTGAGATCTGCTATCAGGATAACAGAAACGCGAGGAGGTGTGACACACGTCTTTTGCTCCTGATGTAGCAATAACTGGCGCGAAATTCAAATTACTGGCGTGTCTACCTCTCGTCGTTTCTGCGATCCTAATACATACTCCCCATTGACTTATTATCACTTTTTTGGGTAAACGTTCCTTGCAAAGTCATACCAAACTGAATGGGTGAGATCTGCTATCAGGATAACAGAAACGCGAGGAGGTGTGACACACGTCTTTTGCTCCTGATGTAGCAATAACTGGCGCGAAATTCAAATTACTGGCGTGTCTACCTCTCGTCGTTTCTGCGATCCTGATACAGAATCCCCATTGGCTTATTATCGCATTTTTGAGTAAACGTTCCTTGCAAAGTCATACCAAACTGAATGTGTGAGATCTGATATCAGGATAACAGAAACGCGAGGAGGAGTGACACACGTCTTTTGCTCCTGATGTAGCAATAACTGGCGCGAAATTCAAATTACTGGCGTGTCTACCTCTCGTCGTTTCTGCGATCCTGAGACATACTCCCCATTGACTTATTATCGCATTTTTGAGTAAACGTTCCTTGCAAAGTCATACCAAACTGAATGTGTGAGATCTGCTATCAGGATAACAGAAACGCGAGGAGGTGTGACACACGTCTTTTGCTCCTGATGTAGCAATAACTGGCGCGAAATTCAATTTACTGGCGTGTCTACCTCTCGTCGTTTCTGCGATCCTGATACATACTCCCCATTTACTTATTATCGCATTTTTGAGTAAACGTTCCTTGCAAAGTCATACCAAACTGAATGTGTGAGATCTGATATCACGATAACAGAAACGCGAGGAGGTGTGACACACGTCTTTTGGTCCTGATGTAGCAATAACTGGCGCGAAATTCAAATTACTGTGGTGTCTACCTCTCGTCGTTTCTGCGATCCTGATACATACTCCCCATTGACTTCTTATCGCATTTTTGAGTAAACGTTCCTTGCAAAGTCATACCAAACTGAATGTATGAGATCTGATATCAGGATAACAGAAACGCGAGGAGGTGTGACACACGTCTTTTGCTCCTGATGTAGCAATAACTGGCGCGAAATTCAGATTACTGGCGTGTCTACCTCTCGTCGTTTCTGCGATCCTAATACATAACTCCCCATTGACTTATTATCACATTTTTGGGTAAACGCTCCTTGCAAAGTCATACCAAACTGAATGGATGAGATCTGCTATCAGGATAACAGAAACGCGAGGAGGTGTGACACACGTCTTTTGCTCCTGATGTAGCAATAACTGGCGCGAAATTCAAATTACTGTGGTGTCTACCTCTCGTCGTTTCTGCGATCCTGATACATACTCCCCATTGACTTCTTATCGCATTTTTGAGTAAACGTTCCTTGCAAAGTCATACCAAACTGAATGTATGAGATCTGATATCAGGATAACAGAAACGCGAGGAGGTGTGACACACGTCTTTTGCTCCTGATGTAGCAATAATTGGCGCGAAATTCAAATTACTGGCGTGTCTACCTCTCGTCGTTTCTGCGATCCTGATACAGAATACCCATTGGCTTATTATCGCATTTTTGAGTAAACGTTCCTTGCAAAGTCATACCAAACTGAATGTGTGAGATCTGATATCAGGATAACAGAAACGCGAGGAGGTGTGACACACGTCTTTTGCTCCTGATGTAGCAATAACTGGCGCGAAATTCAATTTACTGGCGTGTCTACCTCTCGTCGTTTCTGCGATCCTGATACATACTCCCCATTTACTTATTATCGCATTTTTGAGTAAACGTTCCTTGCAAAGTCATACCAAACTGAATGTGTGAGATCTGATATCAGGATAACAGAAACGCGAGGAGGTGTGACACACGTCTTTTGCTCCTGATGTAGCAATAACTGGCGCGAAATTCAAATTACTGGCGTGTCTACCTCTCGTCGTTTCTGCGATCCTAATACATACTCCCCATTGATTTATTATCACATTTTTGGGTAAACGTTCCTTGCAAAGTCATACCAAACTGAATGGGTGAGACCTGCTATCAGGATAACAGAAACGCGAGGAGGTGTGACACACGTCTTTTGCTCCTGATGTAGCAATAACTGGCGCGAAATTCAAATTACTGGCGTGTCTACCTCTCGTCGTTTCTGCGATCCTAATACATACTCCCCATTGACTTATTATCACATTTTTGGGTAAACGCTCCTTGCAAAGTCATACCAAACTGAATGGATGAGATCTGCTATCAGGATAACAGAAACGCGAGGAGGTGTGACACACGTCTTTTGCTCCTGATGTAGCAATAACTGGCGCGAAATTCAAATTACTGGCGTGTCTACCTCTCGTCGTTTCTGCGATCCTAATACATACTCCCCATTGACTTCTTATCGCATTTTTGAGTAAACGTTCCTTGCAAAGTCATACCAAACTGAATGTATGAGATCTGATATCAGGATAACAGAAACGCGAGGAGGTGTGACACACGTCTTTTGCTCCTGATGTAGCAATAACTGGCGCGAAATTCAGATTACTGGCGTGTCTACCTCTCGTCGTTTCTGCGATCCTAATACATACTCCCCATTGACTTATTATCACATTTTTGGGTAAACGCTCCTTGCAAAGTCATACCAAACTGAATGGATGAGATCTGCTATCAGGATAACAGAAACGCGAGGAGGTGTGACACACGTCTTTTGCTCCTGATGTAGCAATAACTGGCGCGAAATTCAAATTACTGTGGTGTCTACCTCTCGTCGTTTCTGCGATCCTGATACATACTCCCCATTGACTTCTTATCGCATTTTTGAGTAAACGTTCCTTGCAAAGTCATACCAAACTGAATGTATGAGATCTGATATCAGGATAACAGAAACG